CAATTCACCCAAAAATGAAAATTTACTCTGTATTTACTTACCCTTATGTTTCCAAACCTTTAAGAGTTTTTTTTCACCTGTTGAACATAAAAGAAGATACTTTGTAAAATGCTGAAAACTTGTCCGCATTGGCTTTCATGGTATTTTTTTTCTACCATGGAAGTCAATGGTTACAGGCTTCTAACATATTCCGAAATAAATTATTTAATTTTTTTTAACAAACAAATAATGGTCACACTTTACAATAAGGTTCATTAGTTGATGTTAATTAATGCATTTACTAACATGAACAAACAATGAACAATACATCTACTACTGTATTTGTTATTATTAGTTAACGTTAATTAATGAAAATACAGTAGTTCATTGTTAGTTCATGTTAACTCATGGAGCATTAACTAATGTTAACAAGCATGGACTTGAATGTTAATAATGCATTAGTAAATGTTCAATTATTAATAAATGCTGTACATGTGTTGTTCATGATCAGTTCATGTTAGTAAATGCATTAACTAATGAACCTTATTGTAAAGTGTTACCCAAATAATAAAAGTGGTTTGAATCCACTAGAGAAAAACTAAATAGTAGTAAAACTTTGATTTTAAGGTGAACTATCCCTTTAATTAGCCAGATTTACACTATTGAGGGAGAGTTTCTTGAATCTTGTAGCACATACTGTAGTAAAATCATAACAGCAATAAAGCAACATTACCAGGACCACTTTTAATAGAAACTGAGTGTTTGCATGTCCACTGATAACACTAGTTTCCTCCACGGCTTTTTAACAATGTGATGATCATAGATAAGGTAAATCGAGATAAAAAAAAATGAGGAGAATATGGTAAATTAACAGGGTTATACAAAGCTAAAGATATAGTTTGCACAAAAATGAAAATGTACTTAGTATTTTCTCACCCTCAAATGTTTCCAAACCTTTATGAGTTTATTTTGGCTATTAAACACAAAAAGAAGATTAAGAAAATGCTTAAAACTTGTCTGCATTGGCTTTCCATAATATCTTTTTCCTACTATGGAAGTCAATGGTTACAGGTTTCAAACATTTTCCAAAATAACTTATTTTTTTCTCAACAATATAAAAATAAAAGTGGTTTGAATCCACTAGAGAGAGAGTAAAAAGTTAGAAAACTTTGAATGTTCTTCACAGCTTTTCAACAATGTGATAATCATATATAAGGTAAATTAATAAAGAGAAATAAGGAGAATATGGTAAATTAACAGGGTTACATAAAGGAGACAGTTCAACCAAAAATGATAATTCACACAATATTTATACACCCTAAATGGTTTCCAAAATTTTAAGAGTTTATTTAATCTATTGAACATAAAAGAAGATACTTTGATAAATGCTGAAAACTTGTCTGCATTGGCTTCCAGTTTTGTTTCCTACTATAGAAGTCAATGGTTACAGGTTTCTAACATTTTCCAAAATAATTTATTTTGTTTTTAACAAAAGAATAATAAAAGTGGTTTGAATCCACTGAAGGGAGAGTAAATTGCAAGAAATCTTAGATTTTTGGGTGAACTATCCCTTGAACTAGACGGATTTACACTATTAAGGGAGAGTTTCTTTAACCTTGTAGTATATAGTAAAATCATAACAGCTATAAAGCAGCAATAACAGGACCGCTTACTGCACTATTAATAAAAACGGAGTGTTTGCAAGCTCACTAATTTCCTCCATGGCTTTTCAACATTGTAATGATCATATATAAGGTAAATAAGTAAATTGAGATGGAGAAATGAGGACAATATGGTAAATTAACAGGGTTACACAAAAGTTAAAGGAATATTTCACCCCAAAATTTAACATTAACTCAGTATTTACTGACCCTTAATGGTTTCCAAAGCTTTATGAGGTTTTTTTTTCTTCTGTTGAACACAAAAGAGGATATTTTAAAGAAAACTGAAAACATGTGACCATTGACTTCTCTAGCAGAAAAGGAAGTCAGTGGTTACAGGTTTCCAACATTCTTCAAAATATCTTCTTTTAAGTTCAATAGGAGAAAAAAAACCCAAATAGGTTTCTAACAAGTGCATGATATGATAAATAAAAAAAGTCAGTTGTTTAGATGAACTATCCCTTTAAGATATTTTAAAAGAACATATGCTAAGCTATATTTGGTAAAAAAAAATAAAATAAATCTGCAAAACTGAAATATTACTGATATTTAAAACAATTCTATTATTATGGATTTTTAAAATATATTTTTTTCTTCTGACTCTTTTTAGCATCATCACTTCAGACTTTCAAGAAATAATTCTTATATGATGATCTGCTGCTTAAGTATCATTTTGGTTATTAATAATATAGATTATAAACTTTATTCTGAAAACAGGAAGCTCAAAAAACAGCATTTATTTGAAACAGAAGTCCCCCTGTAATGTTATAAGAAACATTATAAATTGAACACATCCTTACTCAACAGGTTCGCTTATAAAAAGAAATCATATGTAATCCACACTTTTTAACAGTAGTGCACAATTTATTGGCGGTTAGTTTTTTTTGCATGAAACTGTAAATAAAGCTGCATGACCACACTTGTACACAAGTTTCTATCTATTACAGATGTGTTTAACTGGATAAAACCCAGATCACTGACTTTCAGTTACTGGTGTTAAGTGATATGATTGTTGAGTAATGTTTTCCATTCTCATTTTACAGTTCCACTGAAGTGAAGTAAGTAAAACAGCGTGAGATGCTATCAAGTCAAATAAGCCTGTGTAGGCGTACAAATTAAACCTGAAATATGTAATCAAATTTGAACACACAGAAAACTAAAAGTCAAAACTAGTCACATCACATCACTCACAATATTTCACAAAATTTACAAATATATATATAAATAGTACTAAAAGTAAAGCTGGAAGTGGCATTTGGAATTCACAAGGTATATTCACCAAAAATAAAACATGATATACTCTTTATCTTATAATAGAGCATTGCGATAAAATTTAAATTATTTATTTCTTCTCTTAAAAAACTATAGAATTGCTTTGGTAGGTCATAATTAGGCCCACATGGAAACTGGCGTATAGAAATCTGCAGATTTCCGAAGATTTTCAGCCCATTGAGTCTAATTATTTAATCGTGTAAATGTGTGTAAATTTATATATATTCAGTTTTTAATTAACGTCAGTAATATTATTGTGATATAATTATATTAATAATAAAATGGTCATATGATTTGTTTACAATAGAGCATGTAATGTCATATTCTCTGTATTTTAGTAGATATATTATTTGAGAGACTTGCTTTGTTTACCAAATAAATGGATCTAATTGAATTTGTATTGTAAACATTAATTTAAAGTTAACATGTATTATTTTTATTTTATGTATAAAGTTTTACGTTATGTTACTCTTAAAATTGTTTTAAAAATTTTATTTTTTACAAAATTTTCCACAGAAATAGCAAAAAATGTCCACAGATTCTGTCTGGCCCTAGTCATAATTACAACTTGTATGTGTTGTAATTCTGTGTTGTAATAATCTAAATCATTGCTTTTTATGCTATAAATTTTACTTTCATCCCATTTTATTTTATTTCAATAGAAATATTTTGTGAAACTTCATCTCATATAACAAGACAGAAAAAAGCATTCATAAAAAAAGCACAACATCCAGCACAACTTAAACATAGTATCATTTATATACAGTTAAAGTCAAAATGATTCGCCCTCCTTTCTTTCTTTTCATATATTTCACAAATTATGTTCAACTGATCAAGCAATTTTTCACAGTATTTCTTATAATATTTTGACCTCTGGAAAAAGTCTTATTTGTTTTATTTCGACTAGAATAAAAGCAGTTTTTCATTTTTTTAAAACCACTTTAAGGTCAATATCATTAACTGTTTAATTAATTTGAGCTGAATACTAGTATCCTAAAAAATACCAAGTACAATATTATGTGCTGTCATCATGGCAAAAGATAAAATAAATCATCATTAGAAATTAACTTTTAAAACCATTTTGTTTAGATATGTGTTTCCGTTAAACATAAATTATGGAAAGAAATATACAGGGGGCTAATAATTCTGACTTCATATCTGTATACGACATCTGTTACTGTATATCCAGCCTAACTTAAACATTTTATATGATACCTGATAAGCAGTCACTGTATTACTAAAAAGTAATGAACACCAGAGATTGCATCTGTTCAACCTTAAATCTGGATTATTTTCCAGTAATTAAACAGACCTAAGTCAAATATTGCACTTATATTAGTTAACACACCTAAAGTCATTGTTAAGACATGTTTTTTTTATATTTGTTAATTTTTTTTTGTCTTAAAACCACTTTTTTCTTTTTTTTAATTCCCAGGTCCTGCAGGTTACAATGTCCCAAATTGTGCTTGCCAATCTAAAGCCAATTGTACTTGATTGTTTTGGTTCAATTTAGAATTTCCCCAACCAGTGAAGAGCCCGGGGGACCAGAGTGAGTGCTTCCACTTGGCCCCCCGGTCCAAAACCACTTGTGCATGTATCATGCAAAGCTAATGGTTTTAATTGATTTTTGACTTTCGTAGGCTACGAAATAACTTGATAATGAAACTGTAATTCATACCAATTTAGTACGTAAATTATATTACTCATGAGCCAATCAGAATCAAGCATTCAACAGATTCTTAAAATATAACTGAAATCAAAACTAACCATATTGATTTTGTAAGCGCACACTGCAAGTTTTGTGGTGAACTATTCATCTGTGCATGTCATTAAGAAACAAATGGTTTGCCCATTTAATCTAAAATTGATGAGTTAAATTCTCAGATTAGATCTGTCTGAGGTATTGGGCATGGCTAACATGCTTAACCACGGCCCTCCAACTGTCGGTTTTGACAACAAACAGAAATGTTGAGGAAGAGGAGTCTGTAAGGTTGAAATAACTCTCCCCAAACCCTTTTCCCAATCTATCTGAATAAAATGCCTAATTCACTACATCCAATCAACTCGCAGTAGAAAAAAAGCCACGCCCACTGTTTTAACATTTAATATTGTTTCTATAGGAACAGCATAACAATACCAAAAAAAAGCTTCCAGCTTCCAGTTCATGCAGACTTTAATATAAATAACTTGTAACATTTTTATCATTTTGTCCCTTAATCCTTTAGAAACGAAACGATCATGTATGACCGTGAATGTGCCGCTTTCTGCTGTGAAACTGAATACAAACCCTGACATTTCTGCTCATGTGGGTGTCATGAACAGCTCATGGCATGCTTCTGGATGAGACTCGGGTCCACCACGCTCTCGTGTAAAGGCCGATCGACGGTGAACTCGTGCGGCGGCTGCATGCGCTGTCTGGAGTGTTTTCCTCCACGCTGAGGAATGGGCAGCTCTGAATGATGAGCCGGGAGCGGATCCGTGAAGAAATATGGATGGAGCAAAGCCTGAGGAAAGCGACAGTGTTATTATGAGTGGATTTGAGTTTGATGATTGATTTAACCCTTGTGTGCTGTTGGGGATGTTTTCATCCACTCTGGGGGGATTTTGAGTCTTAATTTGGCCACGAATTTCTCTGTGTTTCAGCAAATATAAAGATTTTTGGTGACAAATCTTATTTTGACACATATTTTTGGAAAATGCTTTGAAATTTTTTTTAAAAATTCAACAATACACTCTAGGCAAATTGACTACCCTTTCGTTATGTTCAGGGCTGTTTTTGCCCCGTTGACTTTTATCATAATGAATTTTTTTGATTGCGAAGCCATGATTGTTGCTGGTTTTTCCGGTTGGGAAGAGGTCAAATGTGTTATTTTTAACTGTTGATTATCGGTTGCAGAGCAAATAAAGCTTAGTTTCGGCCTTCTATGTGAAGTATAGTGTGTGTGTGTGTGTGTGCATGTGTTAAAAATTTAAAGTGAGAACTATTTATGCTTTATAAATCCCTTATAAATGATAATTCAACTTTAAATTAGGTCACAAAACTGGATAAAGTCGAGTTAATAAAGCATTTATTAACATATTAGTTAACTATTAGTATATGCCTGAATAATAATATATATAAATGTTGAATTCAATAGTTTATTAATCATTTACTAACTCATTCTGAAGGATCTTAAAAAACACCAATTATGCTTAAATAACTGGTTTGTAAATAATGCAATACTTAATTTAGTAATAAAAAAAATCATTAACAAAGTATGAAAGTACAATTGTTAAGCACAAGTCAAGAATCCAGCATTCATAGCTGCAGTTATAAACTTCTTACTAATGTTTATTAATGTAGAGGTAATGCTTAACAGATATTGAATTCACTATTTGCTAATGCTTAATAAATGATTCACAGTGTGTAGTTATTATAAAGTAATACCTAAAAGTGTAGTCAATTTAAACATTACACAAGGGTTAAAGTATTAGTTCACCCAAAAAAGTAATTTCCTTTAATAATTACTCTCCCTCATGTCATTTCAAATCCCCTGAGACCTTTGTTCATCTTCAGAAAACAATTGAAGATATTTTAGGAGAAATCTGAGAGCTCCCTCATTCTCCATATACAGCAATGTTCTCTTTTCATTCAAAATCCAGAAAAATACCAAAAACATCCTCAAAACAGACCATAAGTCTTCAGTGGTTCACTCAGAATATTATTAAGCTACGAAAAAAACTTTTATGTACATAAAAAAACTACTTTATTCAACATTTTTTTCTTCTCAGTGTCAGTATATTGCGCATACCAAATTCATGAGCACAGTGATGTATACACCCTCAGATGCCCATGTCCAAATTTTAGTTTGAAACAATACATAGATGCATAGGTAACACCAAAGAATATAGAATACACAAGATGTGTCATTTGTATAGTTTTAAATGGGGAGAAATGTAACGATCAAAATGGCAAACGAAGCCCCGCCTACTAGTACAGGAGCCAATCATCATTCGCTATTGACCTTATTCTAAAATGCGGAAGTGCGCCTGTTTTCGCGATTGTTTTAGAACTTTCAATTCAGTCGCCTATGGGAGAAATGACTAGGAATAATAAACGTCAGAAAACGGTCAAACTACTTGCTCTAAAAACAAATGTTTGCATGACTATACAGACCAAGTAAAATAATATAATACGAAAATATCAGTTTGCAACATCAAACATTTAAACGAGCAATTTTTAATGTCTAAAAATGAATGGAAGCGAATGAGACCGGAAGTCTCGAGCCAAAAAGATTCAAATGGCTGCGCCCGCTCGTCGGCGAAGAATAAGGTGAATAGACTGACGGAGGAGCTCGTAACAAACGAGTGCTTTTACTACAGTTTGTGGTAAACAAACACACTGGAATCTCAGCGAATACTTGCTTCACAGACATAAGAAATATCTTCACATAAAGCTTGAAATTTCCAAGTGCACCTGAAAACAAAAGATTTCTGACTTTGTAATCTGTATGAAACGATTGCGAGGTACAGTCCATCCTGTCAAACACACATCACATGACAGCAACTATTGAAACGGCCACAAACTTGTAAACAAAGAGTCGCTGTCATTTCTAGAGGACATTCAGCATCAAGACAAAGTTGTGAATTACTTCAGAACAGCAGCGCGATTAGATGATCATTATCCAGAGAATGATAATGTGTAGAACGTCCATAAATGAGGTTGGTGTTGTGATCTCGTTCCTTTATGCCTAGTTCAGACCACATGATTTTAGCCCTGATTTTGGCTCTCCGACAGGTTTTGAGAAATCCCCGACAAATGCCTGAAATCACAGGAAAATCGTTGCTCGTGCATGTGAGTGACAATCACACAGTATGACCTATCAAAGAGGCGATCTGAGAGAATAGCAGATGAGTCGCCGATGCCTGTGAGATATTTGGCGTGCTAAATATCTGGAGATGTCGGCGATTCAGATCATGCCGTGTGAAATGAGTTTTGACCAAAAATAACATCAGCGACAGCCAACAGCCAATGAGAGAGCAGCATCCACTTGTGTGTGTAAACCTGAAGGCCAGCAGGAGGTTGGGGGAGCGCTCATTTTCGGTTTATTTGGACCCAAGAAATAGAGGAAAAACAAGTGGAGGTTTGACAGGAGCACCCGTGTCTGTTTGACGTTTCATACAGAAAGTTAAAAAACGAAGTTGAGGAGAAATTGCTAATTTCCTTCAAACCTATGTGAGCAAATATGTACATTTTCTACCCCATTAAAGGCTTCTTTCTCGTTATGTATTTAATAACAAAAGATATACTATGTGTTTTTGGCTGTGAGATGTAGTTTGGACAGTTGTCGGAGATTCTTCCTATTGATACGTCATGGAATATGAAATCCCCTGTCGCTGATCCATCTTGCAGTGTAAACAAAGCAGCGACAAAACGCTAGCCCAGATAGTCATGAAGTGTAAAAACATCTGTGACTACTTTGAAAATCATGCAGTCTGAACTCGCATTAGGGCAACCTGAAAATATGCAGATTTTGTTTGATTCGGCCGTTTAGAAACTAATCTTGAAACAGTTGCTTTTTAATTTTATTGGCGATTCCAAATATGTAATATAATCGCAAGCTTGGCAAACAGTTTTGGAGAATTTGATGTTTTCCCAAGATGGCCGCAAAGTGAAATGACTTGTCTGAAAGGACTTTGGTAATACATCAGAGGTGCAAATCAAGCCCCAAAACATAATTGTGTGCAATACACTGACACTAAGTAGAAGAAGCTGCTGAATAAAGTCATTATTTTTGCTTTTAGTGCAGATAAATGTAATTTTGTAGCTCGATAATATTATGATGGAACCACTGAAGGCATATGGTCTGTTTTGAGGGTATCTTTTATTAGTATTTTGAATGAGTCGGAAACCTTGCTGTCTATTAAGGATAAGGGGAACTCTCTGATTTCACCTAAAATATCTTTAAAATAGATCTAATGAGGTTTTAAACAACATTTAGGTGGATATTTAATAACAGAATTTTTTTTTTTAGGATGAACAAAGCTTTTATATACGTTTAGTTGCGTTACGTTTAATATACTTTTGCTGCTTGTTCAAACTACCCATGATGAAAATGAGTTGAAACAACACAATTTTTAGGGTTTATTTGGAGACAACTTAATTGTTTTATGTTCAAACCACTTAAATTTGTAAAAACTATTAAGTTAACAATCAATTTGTGTTGGGACAACTTGAGGGATTCAATTAACCTATTAGTTTTTACAAATTTAAGTGGATTAAACATAAAACAATTGTGTTACATAAAACATCAAGTTTCAGCTCTTCTGAAATAAGTAGGTTAAACAAACAGCAAAACTAATTTTTTATGTAAGTGTACTGGAGTTTATCAGTCTTTCCATGCACACCTGTCTAGCACTGATCCTCTGTTTGGATGGATAGACCAGAAACTTCTTCAGCAGGTCTACAGCTTGTGGTGACGTGTCAGGTACGATCTCCTCCAAAGGAATGGGTGGGTTTTCTTTAAATGTGATCTTGTTGTAGTCTGGTAGTTCGGTTATCTCCTATTTTTGATAAATCAACATGACAGGCATTTAGGGGATTTGTTCACATGTGACATGTGAACATGTGAAGAATAAGGTCAATAGTATTGATGAACCGTTGCTCACCGGCCAGACTTTCTGGTTGGGAGTTCCCAGCACTCTGAGCACACAACACAACTGTTCAATGTCATTCTCCCCAGGGAAAAGTGGAGAGTTATTCAAAAGCTCTCCGAAAATGCAGCCCACAGCCCTGAAACAAGCCAGAAAAGATGCACTGAGACTGGATGATGTAAAATGACATTACTGCCATCTAGTGGACGCTCAAGTGAAAAGACTCATTCTAAAATCATAATTGGAAATTCTTTCTTCTGTATTCTACCAAAATGTCTCCTTGTTTGAGAAGATATTGAGATATTCTTGTGCATAGATTTAACAATCAGGAGTTTTGGCCCTTGTATGCTTATTGTGATGTATTGTTGAATCCATTGGAAACTGATTGATGTTTCATATATGATATAGTACTGCACTGAAAAGAACCTATCTTTTATAAACTAAAGGAGTATTATAAAATGTATAATCTGTTTCTGGAAAATAATCAGATATCACCACAAGCAACAATACATTTTTACACCAGTATAACAGATTTTTTTGAATGCTTTGGGGAATGGGGATAACAAAATTATTAGCACTCCTGTGAAACTGTATTATTTATATATATATATATATATATATATATATATATATATATATATATATATATATATATATATATATATATATTTTTTTTTTTTTTTTTTTTTTTTTTTTTTAAAGTTATGTTTAATAGCTTGGAAAGGAAACTTTTGCAGTGTTTTCTATTATTTTTTTGTCTTCTAAAGTCTAGAAAGTGTAATGAAATTTCTATTAGTTTAGCTGGAACAAAAGCAGTTTTTAACTTTTTTTAAAAACTATTGTTAAGGTCATTATATTTAATAATAATAATAATAATAATAATTCCTTACATTTATATAGCGCTTTTCTGGGCTCTCAAAGCGCTATTTATTAAGAAATACTTTTATTTTTTGAATATTATATATATATTTTTTTACCTTAAAGCAGCACAGAGCAATACAAAAAAGCAACAACAAATATAAAGACAAAAATAAAAGGCAAAACAAAACAAAAAAGACAAAAGACAGAAAAAATTTAGATTTTAAAACCATTGTTACATCAGTTCCTTCAGATTTATACATAAGTTAACAATGTTACACATATATTTATAGGCCAGTGGGCACAGATAATAAGGTGATCTTGCAAACAATGACAGGGTTATACCTTTTAACTGTTATCTTTGGCATTTGACAAATCATTAAAAAAAGGGTTTCCAGGTAGCTTAGAAGCCAGCAATGCTATCAGAAAGATTTTGTTTAAGTGTGTCTAAATGTAAAGTGTTATAAAATTCTGAAAGCCAGGACTTAAAAAGTAGTTTTGATGCCTTTTTCCATAGACAAAGAATATATTATTTTAGCTATCACATTCAATATTAAATACCTTTTTAATTTAATGACTGAACCCACAAAGTGAGACAGACCAAACCAAAACCAGCGATTGCTGGATCAGGGGCGAGCTCACAAGAATAAGCCTTAGAGTAGAATCTAAATATTTCTCTCCAAAACTCAAAAAGTTTTGCACAGAAATTTGAATAGCTTAATCTTATTCTACAAGGTAGATATGTCGAACTAATCAGTAAACACATCTATAAATGGGGAATTAAATTAGAGGCATCAGAAGAGGTAGAAAGAAATTTAAATATATATCATGTTCATCTACTAATAGTTCAAAGTGGGTGAGAGATGTGCAAACATAGTTTCTCAGATGTTGATATCTAAAAAAAAATGGCACGATAAAAGATCAAAGATTCTGTTTCAGTTGAGGGGAATCGAAATCCTTTTTTTGATTGGTGACTTCCCTAATTAACCCAATTTGCCTAGTTAAATATTTAACCTAGCTAAGCCTTTAAATTGCACTTTAAGTTGCACTCTAAATACAAGTATCTTGCTAAATTATAATTCAAATATTATTTAAATAAAGAAATTAATTATTAAAAATATTATGTTTAAAATCTCTTTTAAATATCACTTGGGGGATATCTGAAAAGTAATTACAATTTCACAGGAAATTTCTTTTATTTAATGAACGTTTTCATTTTTTTATGAACGGTATCTTCCAAGTATTTTTACAATTAAAAAAACACTGCAATCTTATAAATTATTATGATTTCATGCCGACTGGAAAAATTAATGACAAAACAACTTAATTATTACCAGAGATCAACTCCTTCGTCATATTTTCGGGCACCGTATAAAAGTTCTGGTGCTCTGTACCATCTGAAAAATAACACAAATGTTTTAGGCATATGATTTCGTATTTATCTTAAACAGACTCAAGTAAACTCACCTGGTGGCCACTTGGTGACTGTAAAGACGATCTCCTTCATTGGAAAAAAGCCTTGCCAGACCAAAGTCAGCGATTTTCAGATGACCAGTCGAGCTGATCAGAAGGTTTGCAGGCTTCAGATCCTATATACACACATACACAAACATAAAGCATAGTACCTGAAACACACCCAAGATGTTGAACACGGGAACACTAGCTCACCCTATGCATGATGGAGTTCTCGTGGCAGAAAGCCACTCCTTTCAGCAGCATCATCATATAACTTTTGACCTGGGATGCGGTGAGAGGACGCTGGGAATTCCTTATGACTTCTGACAGATCTGATAACATGTACTCGAACACCAGCACAAAGCCTGTGCCGTGAGGGAAGACGTCCTTCAGCTTCACAACCTATACAGACGATACAAACATTTATGAAATTGAAAGGATAACGTATACAGTTGAAAAGTCTAAATTATTATACCTGATGTGAATTTTTTTTCCACTTTCAAATATTTCCCAAATGATGTTTAATGCCGAGTTCAGACTGCATGATTTTCAAAGTAGTCGTGTCACAGATGTTTTCACACGGCATGACTATCTGGGCTAGCGTTTTGTCACTGCTTTGTTTACACTGCAAGATGGTACGGCGACAGTATTCGTTTTCACAGTATTTCCTATAGTATTTTTTCTTCTGGAAAAAGTCTTATTTGTTTTATTTTGGCTAGAATAAAAGCAGTTTTTAATTTTTTAAAAAACTTTTAAGGTCAAAATTAGTAGCAATGTATTTTTTGATTGTCTACAGCAGGGGTCACCAATCTCGGTCCTGGAGGGCCGGTAAGTTGGAGCTAAACCCTGCAGAAACACCAGCCTCCAGGAACAAGTTTGGTGACCACTGGTCTACAGAATAAACATTGATTTAAAATGACATGCCTAATTACCTTAATTTGCCTAATTAACATAGTTAAGACTTTTAATGTCACTTTAAGCTGAATACTAGTATCCTGAAAAATATGTACTAAAATATTATGTACTGTCATCATGGAAAATATAAAATAAATCAGTTATTGGAAAAGAGTTATAAAAAGTATTATGTTTAGAAATGTGTTGAAAAAGTTCTTGTTTTCGTTAAACAGAAATTGGGGGGAAAATATAATGGGGGGAACTATTCATCAACTGTACATCTGTTATATTTATTATATTACATGCCTAACATAAATCTGCTTCGGTTGATTCTCTGTTTATCAATCTTACAATTCAAAGCCCACTTCCACTACATACCCAAACAAAAATCATAACCCTAACCCTATATTAATAATAGATGAGTGAACATAAGGGAGGGTTTATCTACTTGTATTTGTTATGTATGTATATATCATGATATAACGTAAAACAGATTAAGAATGTGCAAAATATAGTATATTCTATAATATATAGAAATGGTGCAGTGAGACAGGGTGCTCTGTTAGAGCAAAGATATTCTTCAAATCTTCTTGAAATTGTTGTTTCATTGAGTAAAATGTCAATAATCTGGGAAGAAATAATGAATACAGAGATTATGCTATTGTTATTTTGATAATCAAGAGTAATTCTTCCTAAAACAGACACGAAGGCATCATTCACATCATGGTTTGCTGTGCACTAATTTCAACATTTAATGTAATAATTTAAACATTTATTGCAATAATTTTTTTATGATTGTTTTAAAATTATTGGTGGTTCATTCCGCTGTGGCGACACCTGATAAATAAAGGGACTAACGTTAACCCGAAGAAAAAATGAATGAATAGTTATCATTTACTAAGCGATTCACAGAATCTGAACTTGGTACGACACGGTTTTATGCAAAATAGATGCTCTTCATTCTCCACTGCACAGGTTTGAGAAATGAGTAATGATCATATCTCACATATTGGTTGTCCTCAATCTCTTGCAGGGCTTTAATTTCTCTTAACGCCTGGTTCGGGATGCCATCTTCAAGTCTTCGCAGGGCCACTTTTTTCAAAGCCACTGTCTCTCCTGTCTGAAAACATCAACAGATGAAGTGCACATAGGCCTTTTTATTAGAAAACGGCCTTTTAACATAAAATAAATGAAGATATACATGACACAACCTCAATGTGTTTGGCTTTGAAAACAATCCCGTGAGCTCCTTCCCCAATCCGGCCAAGAATACTATACTGGTCCATTCCGATGCTAACAGTTACACGACTAGCTGGCTAGCAAAACAGAAATAAAAATCTGTTTTATGTCTCAATTAACACACTGACATATATTCCACGCCGTTATTTGACAAAGACAAAATAAAAAGATAAGTTAAAACAATCACTTGCGAGCTGAATGAGCATTTATTGCGAGAAATAACACGATGCTCCGCTGAGGCGACTTGCAGTTGTCATGGAGATTGATTCTGTACGGCAAGCAAATGGAGACAAACTGTATTAGAATGAGAGCGCACTGTGATATAGAACTCATACATTAAAACAAATATTTTTACAATAAAAATATAAATTTAGCATATATTTTAAATATTAGGCTCTTCTAATACGTTAGAACTGGTAAGGCATAAAAAAGCCGTCACGTGGATCGTGTTACTTTTCCCATCGCTGGTCTATGTATACCTAAGTTACCATACTGATCTGCGTTTTAGTTTGTTAGCCGATTTATTGCTTCGTATATATCAGGTGACAGATGCGATTTCCTAGTGTTCAAAATTTAAGTCATTGCGTAGTATATATTACATTATATACGGGTTGTTGAATTCTCAAGTCTTATTGCCTGACTAATGTCTGCGAAATCTGACTCTTCTCTGAAAAACCTGTTCTGATGAAGCTGCAATCAAATAAATTTGCAAACTTACTCTACATAAAGCAAAATACGACATCAGCATAAATGATAAGTGACCTTTTAAACCTGTATTTGTAGAGGGAGTAAACAATTCAATCTGCAAAATGTATGAGACTTACTTTAATGTTGTACAAGAAGTTTGCTTTGAATATTCCACTTTAAAGACTATATGAACATAATATAAAAAAACCAATAATGAATAAATAACAAGCTGACAAAATATATAAACAACAAAATTCAATAGTAATGGCGTAGGCTACGTAATGGGACAATTATGTAAACACAATTTCTGTAGGCCAGTTAGACAAAAAAATAAAATTCAAAGCAAGTTTCTAATGCAACAACATTAAAGTACACAATTCCCATATACGGTGCAAATTAATTTAAATTGTGTCCCCCTTACAAACAGAGTTCACCTATAAACCTATTTACGCTGCTGTATATATTTAGCCAGCAGCTAGCTCACTACAACTCTCATATGGTAGCCCACTGAAGCAAAGTAAGGCTGCACCCGGTAAGTATCTGGATGGGAGACCACATGGCAAAGCTAACTTGCTGGTGGATGTGGTGTTAGAGAGACCAGCAGGGGGTGCTCAACCTGGGGTCTGTGTGGGTCCTAATGCCCCAGTATATTGATGGGGACTCTATACTGCTCAGTGAGTGCCGTCTTTCAGGTGGAGACGTTTAACTGAGGTCCTGACTCTGTCTCCGTGGCATCCTTGCCAAACTTTCCTCTGTCCATCATGGCCTCCTAACATCCCCATATCATAATTGGCTTCATCACTTTGTCTTCTCTCCTCCAATCAGCTGGTGTGTGGTCTGGCGCAATATGGCTGCCGTCGCGTCATCCAGGTGGATGCTGCACACTAGTGGTGGATGAGGAGAAAAATGTGTAAAGCGCGTTGAGTGTCCAGAATAGCGCTATATACATGTTAGGAATAATTATATGATATATCTTGCTCTATAAAGAAAGTTTGCTAAATGATTTAATAGTAGCTTCTTCAGAACAGATTTTTCAGCTAAGTGAGTCAGATTTTGATACAACGCCGTTATTTTCAGGTAGAGCACATCTGAAGCAGATAGACATAAAGATAATAGTAGAAAGCTTTCTAATGTCAAAGGTCAGCTGGCAAGTGCTAGCAACAGATGCTAGAGACCATGGTCTTTAACATCCTTGTAAGAGCAACCAAGTCCCATACAAATAATTGCCGGTTCGACCCCAGCTCAGACCAGGTTTGGGTGCAGTAAGATTGGCGAGTTATACTTGGGGCTCGTCTGCAATGATGGGAGTGAGGTTTAGGGGTGCGAGTGTAACAGAGGTCAGCTAGCAAAGTGCTATGCAGACAAACCTCACTCCTATAGGCCATGGTTGTTTGCCTCCTTGTTAGAGCTACCACCTTCCATACAAAGAATCACCGGTTCGATACCAGCTCAGCACGGGTTGGGTGCAGCAGGACCGGTAAGTTTCACTTGGGAGCTCGTCCGGGATGGGAGTGAGGTTTAGGTGGGGTGAGTGTCACAGAGGCCAGCTAGCAAAGTGCTATGCAGGTAAACCTCACTCCTCTGACTTCAGAAGGTGCTCTAACAACAGATGCTAGAAGCCATGGTCTTTGAGCAACCAACTCCCATACAGTGCCTTTCGGTTCGATCCCAGCTCAGACTGGGTTGGGTGCAGTAAGAATGGTGGGTTACAAGTAGTTTCAGAAAAAAAGCATGCCAAATATCTTGAGACAAAACACTTGATTAGCATCTTTAAAAAGCAAGATTTGGTCTGTTGAATTAAACAGTTTAATTATAAATTATGGCCATGCAACCACCTCCTTTGTGCATTTATTTTCTAATATAATACAAGTCATTAAATATTCCTCACAAAAATCCATGCTTCACCCTCTATGTAACAGCCTTGAGCAAAATTATCTTATTAAAGTGTTACTAGACAAAAAGGCAAAAACAAAAATGCGTATACAAAACCTCATTACTGAGAGAACACTTTATGGAGAATATCAACGTTGAAACCCCAAAGCCATTTCTCCTCTTTTTCCTGATACAAATCATCTTTAATTTCTTGCTGGTCATCTATATATATTTTTGGTGTACATAACATTTGTCCATAGACAAGACCATTGAACAACCAATCAACACAAATGCCGAATTAAACAGCAGGCGAAACGAGACGAAAAGAACACAGAGTCAGAATTCCATTACTTTTATATGTCAAGACACAAAAGCAATCAATAGATGACAACATGTAAAAACATTTTGTTACAGATAATTATATAAAAAAGGCAAAGTTTTTCATTTTTTACGTCTTGCTACGTGAAAGAACTAATTTACAACTGACTTCAAAGTCTGGCTAAGCCAACAATCCATCCATTTTTCCATCCACTAGAAACAAACGGTTTCCAACTTCCATTCAAAAAACAAAAAAGAAAAAAAAAGACAACCATCAAAATCTCTCCATAATTTCCACCAATTGAGAGCATTTACAAAGGCCTGCATCCTTAAACCTCATTTTCGAAAGTCCAAACAGGATGAAAATGGTTGCTGCACAGCTTGAGAAGAATCCAAAATCATATCTAGCAACTCACAAAACCAAGCGTATAAAAGAATCAGGGGAAAAAGTAAATGTACAGGAAAATTGACTAGTGAGACAAGGGAGAAAATAAAAATATATATTTTTTTATGCATAAATGTTAAAGAATAAAATATTAGGAGTGAAGGCGGGGAAGAGGTGTCATTGTTCAGAACAAACATACATTTTACACTATGAATCCCAAAAGAAAGGTGAACAGGGGATGTGAAAACACTGGCTCTTAAGACAAACCGTCAAATCCACAAGCTTGGAGACTACAGAGATGAGCTGATAACTAATGGTGTGAGCTTTAAAACCGTGCCATGAAGCACACGTACAGGATAATGAAGGAACTTATCTTAAAATTAAAAAAAAAAAAAAATACAAAAATAAACCACACACAAAGAACTCCTGTATCAACATTTACTATTTTTTGGGGGAGGGGGGGTTTTGTTTCTCTTTATACAAGATCTAGTTGAACGCAATGCAAAAGTAGTATGTTTTTTTTTTTCCATCTACATGTCCGTTTAGTCCTCAGCGTTGCGGTCAGCAATCGTCCCTCACGGCAAACGTATGAACACACAGTGATGCAAAAACAGGCTACTGAACTCGAAGTGAATTAATAATTACAGATTCTCAGAATGAGTCTTTATCCCTCACGAGCGTCACACCAAGTGCTGTCCGTTTTATTTTCTCATTGTATATCGATGCGATCCGCACTTCCCCCGCGCTCTTCCTTTCAGCATGTGGTTGAAATGTACAGACTTGCCCAAATAATGAAAGCGTCAACAAACTGACAATAGAGCGAACGCTATTTTCGGTTATCTATTGCTTGTATTGAAATAAGCTCCAAAATGAATGAATATCAGGGGAGGGAAAACCAAGAATGAGTAGCTGAATATAGTTATAACTAGGACTGAACGCTGCCGTTGGAATCTCTTATACACAAAATTGTCAGGAAAAGCAAATGTATGTGCTTTCTGAGGAGGAACAGTTGATTTTTTTTTACTCTAAAAATACAGTCAGGCGTCCATGGCACCAATATGTCCAGTGATGGGAGCAGATTCTCAAAAATGAAAACGCTTTTGCTTTCTTTTTTGTACGTTTTTCCTATTTTTGCTGCAGTTTCCTTCCTGTTTGATTGCAGATGATGGAATGGGGTGAGAAGTGAAAGCCGGGTGTGGAGTTCAGTCATGGTTGAGCTCATTAAGAAGGCGGGTTGATGGGTCACGGTGAGCTCTCACTGGTCAGACCTGGCCTTCTTTGGACCAGCGCCTTTCCTACAAAGAGCAAAGAAACATACAGCTGCTTTAATATGCATCAGGTTTGGTCATTTTAAAATGTAAAGTTGTAACCAACTCACATATCAGGTGATGACACCGGCCTCTTTGCTGCAGGTTTGGCCGCAGAGCCATCTTTACTAGTTTCTGCAAACAGATTTAAATAAACGAATGTACATTAAATCTATTGCACAGCTAAAAAGTGTATTTAAAGACATGGTTCACCTAAAACGGACATTTCTATCATTGTTTACTCATCCTCAAATTGTTTCAAACTGGTTTGAGTTTCTTTCGACTGTTTAACAGAAAAGAAGTGTTTTGATGGATGCTGAAAACTTGTTACCATTGACTTTCATATCATTTATTGGTCAACACTTAACAATAAGGTTCATTAGTTGATGTTAATTAATGCATTTACTAACATGAACAAACAATGAAAAATACATTTACTACAGTATTTATTCATGTTAATGAAAATACTGAAGTTCATTGTTAGTTCATGTTAACTCATGGTGCATTAACTAATGTTAACAAGCATGGACTTGGATGTTAATAATGCATTAGTAAATGTTCAATTATGATTAATAAATGCTGTATATGTGTTGTTCATGATTAGTTCATGTTAGTAAATGCATTAACTAATGAACCCTATTGTAAAGTGTTATCCATTTATTTATCTTTCCTACTATGGAAGTCAATGGTTACACATTTCTAGCTTTCTTTAAAATAACTTCTGTTTTGTTTAACAGAGGAAATAAATGCAAGGTTTGAAACCACACAAGGCAGAGTTAATGGTGAGTTCATTTTCACTTTTGGGAGAAATATCCCTTTCAACCAGGGGTGTCTAACTGCTGGACCACGAGCCTCCGGCCCACAAATTATGTCAAAAATATAACAAGACTCGAGATATAAAGAAACACGTTTGAACCACAATCATTGTTGCGCAGTCACGTTTAGGCACTTGTGGTTTTGACCCGCCACCTAGTCGACATTTAAAGTACTGCATTATTTTTATTTTCTCTCATGGCCCGTTTACACTGAGTGGTTCGGTATGCTTTTATGTCCGTTTCCACTGTCAAAAGGGTACCTAAAAGGGAACCGTACCTTACCACTTTATTGTCACCCTTTGTAAAGGGTACCAACTAGCCCAAAGGTTACCATAAGGTGGAGCAAGACGCGCAGCTGAACACAAGTGGTTTACAGAGATACGTCACATGCAGAAGCAGGATAATGAAAACAAAGGAAGCGCCATTTTTAAAAACACAGCCGAGACATTACACCGTAAGTCTATATACATATAATAATGAGCCATGGTCGACCTGAACTTAAACAAACCTAGTTATCATCTTGATGTACAGCCACAAAGCCAAGAAGAACAAAATCTGCTGTCCCATTGTTGTTTTACGAGCTTGTCTAAAAGTGCGAGCTGCTTCACGTTTTCCAGAGAACTCGCTGCGCATCTATATTTGAAATAACAAACTTTGAGCTCATGTTAATAAGGTGCGCGTGATCATTGAAGCGCTCTGATATCCGATCCTGTCAGAAGTGACTCTGTCAAGAGTGAAGCGCAAAAAAACAAAGGAGAAGCCAAGAAAAAACAGCAGCAAATGATGCTTTTGCAACCTAACGCCTGTTTCACACCGCAAGCGTCAGCGGCGCGTGAGCAGAGCGTGAGCAGCGCGTGTGTTTTCGGCGTCCATGTTAACAGATTAGAGCTGAAGCAGCAGTGCAGCGATAGTTTCGGCGCTGGGTCTATTTTTGACGCGCTGCTCACGCTCAATTAAAGTGACAGTGCATTGATAATGACCAAAACTCATTGAATGACAGTAAAAAGTAGCAATTTTACCCAATAAATGCGTTAATAATGTCAAATGGTTTATATATAGTCATTCAAATTAACTTAAAACGATTTAAAACGGCAACAAACATTTATTTAGGCCCGAACTACAAAACCGAATGTAAAACAATTTTAGTATCAGTTTTGCTTAAGTTGCACACTAGTGTTGTAGGAGAGAGGAAATAGAATATTTACGGGATTTGTAGTCCATGGCGAAGTGTATTGTGGGTAGTGTAGTTCGACACGCATGCTGGATGATGTGAGCTAGCTGTGTTCTGTGCAGCTGAGCAGAGGAAGAAAGTTTTAATCGGCTTTGTTTTATGTTCACTCGAGTTATTCCTACCGGGAGCTGTTTGCACTGTGAATCTGACAACACGAAAATAAGTAAAATAATGGCATGCATTGGTAACTTTTGTCCTTCTCATCATCTGCACGAGCATGAATTAACGAGCTGTTATTCTGCCGCTGGACAGATGAAAAGTTTAAAAGGTGTATTTGTATATAGAGAGACATGGGTAACTAGATAGAATAGACAGAGATAGGTTGATCTCTGCAGCAGCTGCCGAAGAACTGCGCGCTGCAGACGCAGCTGGTGTGAAAGGCAAACGCCTGTGTGCTGCTACTGCTCGACATACGCGCTGCTCACGCTCTGCTCACGCGCCGCTGACGCTTGCGGTGTGAAACAGGCGTAAAACATCAACAAACTGCCATGTTTAACTATTATCATCCCTTTATAAACTCGGAATGACGGAATTACTTTCTAACAAGAGGCTACATGTGCTGCTGAAGATTACAGACACAGATGAGAGGTTTGCTGTGGACTATATTTTGTGTTTTTTTTTAACCCAAATAAGAACTAAATGTATGCTAGTGTTGTTTTTCTGTAAGTGGTAACTTATCAGAGACTGTATGGGGCTGTGTGTGTTCATATATGTTGTATTTATTTATTTTATATAAATCGCAGACGTTACAGTAGGCTATTTCGCACTGTCATTGATCTGCAGTTGTAATTAAATCATGTTGATAGAAAGGTTAGTAATGAACATTTATACTCAAGTATTTATGTGTGTAAGGCATCTGTTTTGTGAGAAGTGCTTCTCATATATGTGAACGACCCGTACAGTTTTACTTTGACATTTCCTTGAGTTAAAATGACATTGTCTGAAACTTTGTCACACAGTACAGGGTACCCTTTTGGCAGTGGAAACGCAAGCTTGATAAAGGTGACCCGTACCGTACCTCTCAGTGGAAACGGGCCATCAGTGTATGGTTGAGAGTAACACACGTTTTTATACTGATTTAAACATTGAAATATGTCCGTAAGTGCTCTACTTTTACTAAAGCTCTATTTTTGTTAGCCATTCAATTAGATTTAAAATGTCTCATTTAATAGATTATCCTCAAATGCTTCTTAAGATTTGCATAAAAACTATGTGCATTAGTAAAATTGTACTGCTGTTTGAATTGAACTTGGTGAAGTAAATGTGAATATTTACACACTTTCCCCCTCTCTATTGAAGTTTTACAAAAAAACAAAGATATTGAGAAGGACAATTTCCAGTAAAGTCACTTAAATTACCCAAACTGCTTTCTGCAGTTCTTGTGCTGTTAGGACAATACAATTAGTCAGGACAGAATACTAATAACTATGCCTATTTTTCTAGTATTTTCACAGTATTTTTTATTTCTAGTATTTTTTAAACTACCCCTTCAATATGTAAAGGAAGAAACAAAAAGCTAAAGTTTTGACTGCATATACTCTGTGGAGGAGTCACTGAGTGCGTGTCTAATGCTCTGCCATACACACAACAACCAGATATATTTGCATTATCACTGGTGACAGGTAATGTTTGAAATATAAATGTCATGTCTGTTGCCCGAAGATGCATCAATTACTTGTAGGTTTCCACTTTTTGCTTGTGCATGAATGTTAAAACAGCTCCCAGATAAATTGTCAGTCATTGAAATTTGAAACTCGCCAATTTGAGAACCCTTCTTTAAACAAATACCTTTTCAAGACTTCCCAGTTTTTAGAGTTATGGTTGGGTAGATTTTTATGGTGGTGAATTGTGGTGCAATTAAACTAAAACTCAGTTTTGTTTTGTTTTTGATTAAACAAAAATACTCAGTTCTTTTGTTCGTTTGATTGTATTAATATTTGATCAAGCTTATCAGAGAAGATGGGGAAAATATTTGCCATTTTTGGAGGATGAATAAGGTCACTGTGGTGAGACACACAAAAGATGTAATTTATATAAAAAATAAAAGGCGTAAGGTGTAATTATCTTATCTATTATTAATGCTTTATTATTCTTATTTATATGTGTGCTTTTTAAATTGAGTTTATATTATTTATCTGTGTTTATTGGATTTATGAGAGCAACATCCAGTTACTATAACTGCCTCTAATGGGAAAGGGGAAGGGATAATAGACGTTAAAAGGATGTAAAAATGTGTAAACTGATGGTAGTGTTAAATTATTGAAAAAAATTAATCATAAAAAAATTATATTTAATAAAGCTTTATAATTTGAGTGCTCTTTTAATATTAAAACAAAATAACTTCCTCTTTTTACAGATTAGAGAATGACACAACCGGTCAACCACAGGAAATCCACCAATAGCAAACCACAACCATCCAATCAATTCCTAAGGGACATTCTGCTGTTTTATATTCATCTTTAGCAAAGCAGTTCCAATTAGATATGCATCAGAAAAGATTATTTTAATTTGTGAGAGGACACATTTTCCAGTAATTTAATGCTAAGGTAATATTACACAATGCATATACAAACGAAAACTTTGTAAGATATATACAACTGTCATTAACAGGTTTAATCCAACAAAAATGCAACTGTTTCCTCACCTTGTAGCCACCTGACTTGCGTGGCAGGGCCGTAACCCTTCTCATTGCGGGCGGCGATGCGGAAGATGATAGCGGGTTTGGTGGTGTAGTCGATGTGGGCATTGGAGAGGCTGGACGATTGCACTAGGCAGGACGGGTTGGGTCCGCAGTACACCCGCATAAAGGCCAGCTGAGCTGGAGCGGACGCTTTTGCCTCGACTGTCTGTGAGCTCTGGATGGCCAGATACACCGAATACTCGATGATTTTCCCCGATGTGACTGAAGGAGGCTCCCAGGTCAAGTGAGCACCATCGGGACTCTATTAAGACAGAAAAGTTATCAGTTAGGGCTGAGTAATTAATCATAAAGAAACCGAAACAGCAATTTAAAACCTGTGTACGCTCACTAGGCACAGTTGCCTTGAACCATACACTACGGTCAATTTAGATTACCCAGTTCACCTATAGTGCATGTCTTTGGACTTGTGAGGTAAACTGGAATACCCGGAGGAAACCCACGCCAATATGCTGAAAACATGCAAACTCCACACAGAAACACCAACTGACCCAGCCAAGGCTCGAACCAGCGACCTTCTTGCTGTGAGGCAATTGGCAACCATCTGCACTACCGTGACGCCTTCTTTTAATTATTCTTTTTTTTTTTAAATAAAAGTAGTGTAAGTAGTGTACTTAAAAATTGGCGGAAAACAGAACAGCAGTGTTTACACAAATAGTCTATTATATGTTTGCCTGATCAAGCTGCCATTGCTTTTGCCTTTTAATGCAAATAATTATAATGTTGTGTATATGAATTTAATTTTATTTTCATTTTATTTTTAAATGTCAAGCCTCCCTTGGACAGGTGTTGAGTAAGCAAGTCTGCAAGTCACTTTAACAAATACATTTGGTTTGTCCAGTGTAACTGTGATGTCCATGTCAAAAAAATAAATAAATAAATAAATAAATAAACAAATGAAAAACGTAAATAGAAACACACTCTTGTATAGACCCGACTAAATTTACAGTTTAAAAAGGTTTATTGATCTGTAAGGAGGACATTTTTTATTATACCCAATTTAATTAAACCATCCCCAGTCCAACAATCAGTCATCAAAATAAACATACATTTGAATTCAAATCCAAGTGATTTGCTGTGACCGACCTTGCTGATTTTGATGGCACACGGTGCTCCAGGGAATCCCGGTAAGCAGGTCTTGAATGCAGAGACCTCAGAGAAAGTCCCTCGGCCGCATGCGTTGATACCGGCCACACGGAACTTGTAAGCAGTGCCCGGAGACAACTCGATTTTCTTCATTCGGCTGTAGTCTGGGATTGCGCCAGAATCGTCCTGCAACAGAGTCAATAAAATGATCAATGTTTTACTCACCAGGCCTGGTTCCCCAAGAACTAAAGCCCCCAAGTAATGTAAGGAGGATGTCAATGACAACAAGTACTGCTTTCAATAAAACCAACAACTGAAGGATGGAGAACGGCATATTCAAAGCGTTTTTTTCTATGATAACGGAAGTGGAACATGTCTAAACCATCCAAGATTAGGAATGCACAATATATGGTTTTAGGATTGCAATGTGCGCATCTGCAATAGTCACATCGCATTAAGTGCTGAGTTTAAATGTTGGGATTAACCACTGCCTGGTTTTTGAACTGTGCTTAGCTGTAGCTGCTTCATTGGGCCTACTACGCTACTGTATTTCAATAATGGTTGTTACTTGGAGAGAATTTTTTTCTGAGGTAGTACTTGATGAAAAAAATGAGAACCACTGATTTATAAAATAAAACAAAATTACAGCGTTAGTTTATATTTAATTATACAATTTCAGTCCCTGAATGCTGTGATGTAAAATATTTCACTTCCATAATCCCGATAATAATGCAGAATAATCCAAATCAGCTTAAATGAATAAACTACTTTCAAATAGAGTTATTCAAGTCATCTGGTGAAATCTATATTCATATATCCAATATACATATTGCGGCAAAGCAAAATATCGCAATGTCCAATTTTTCCAATATCATGCAGCCCTACCCAGGACAACGTGTAGTGACTTGTAGTGAGAAAAGGGAACATTACAACAGACAAAAACAAAACAGCAATAGTGTTAACATTAGACGCTAACATAGCTGGTACCGTCACTGGTAGTTCTTATTGTGGTGGTTTAGACCCTATTCTGATATAAAAGCCACTTCACTTTCACTTTTTCACTTTCAAAAGGTTGCTTTTACAAAATCGATGATGTAATGTAATTACAATAGATTCAGTTTAATAGACGCAAGCATTCATTTGGTTGTTAAAACTTTAAAAGAGATGAAAGATTGCTTAAACGCAAATTCATTGAGAATACTGGGGTTAAATTAATTTCCATATTTTAAAGACATGGTGCGGAAAAATACAATTTGATGTAGTGTTTTTTGTTTAGTCTGATACCCACTAACGCTAAGGATTTTTTCTAGTGGCCCAATTGGGCTAGTGGATTAGATTTTTACTTGCCCTGCCAAAATTTTCTTTGGCCCCACCAAAAATGGTTAATAGCTGTTTCTTAGCCACATATTTTAAATAATGTGTCAAAAGCCAAATATAATTGTATACATACACTATATATATATCACTGAAAAAAGTGTTGCATGGAAAACTGTTGCAAACAATTTATTTGTGTTGAATTTAAACAAAAAATGTAATTTAATAATGTTTAACTTAATTTGATTGTTTAAATTCAGCCCAAATCAATTGTTTACAACCACTTAATGTAAAAAAATTTAGTAAATCCAAGGAATCATTTTTGAATACATTTTTTTCCGCGTATTTATATATTGATTTTTCCAATACTGTGCATATTTATATATATATTTTTTTTCCCCCAATACCGTGCAGCCCTAATATAAATGTTCATATGTTTTGTTTTTAAATCTAAATATTAAAATTGTTCAAGGATTTATGATGCTGATAACGTTAAACCAGTCATATGTAAAAAGGGTCTATAAAAAGGTTTATAACAAAACAAAAAATACAACCACACGGAACACATAATAATCTTGCTATGCTCTTACCAGCCAAACAGAACACCATAATACAAAACATTAATCACGCTTACATCAGTCACTGCTGAATCGTCTGCTGGCACGTAGTAGTGAGTGACGACCATGTTTGTGACTTTAACGATACCAACATCAAACCACTGGTTCTCTTTTTTCACTGGAGGCTTTACGACTACAGGAGGTGCTTCTTGCTTCTGTAAATAAAAGCAGTTGGTTGAGGAACAGGTATTGAATGCAGTAATCATAAAGCATCATCTATGAACTCACCCCAGCAGCAGATTCGATCCCGTTGGCCACCTCAGCTAAAGCAGTGGCCGCTTGCATCTTGGCAGGGCTGGCAACCACCAATGGCTGAGACGGCGCAAAAGTACTTGACGGGGCTAGAGCTGAAACAACAGGATATTAGTGTTGTAGTAGCCTAATTTACCTAGTTAAGCCTTTAAATGACACTTTAAGCTGAATACTAGTATCTTGTAAAATAAGTATATATACACACTGGCATTATGGCAAAGACAAAAGAAATTAGTTATTAAAGCTTAATGTTTAAAACTTCCCTCATTGAAAAATGTACATCTTGTAGTATATTTTTGTATAGTATTATGTTTTCATTTTCTCTTTGATAATCTTATGATGCCTTTTTACCCCATTTCTGTAAATGTTTGCGCTTTGTTGTTTTGTAGATCCCCTTTAATTTGTGTTTTGTATGGAGCTCTTTGAAAACAAAATGGTACATATCTCAAGAGGAAGAAGGTAAAGAAGAAGAGGAAGAAGGTCAGGAGGAAGAGGAAGAAGGTAAAGAAGAAGAGGAAGAAGGTCAGGAGGAAGAGGAAGAAGGTAAAGAAGAAGAGGAAGAAGGTAAAGAAGAAGCTGATGGGGAAGGAGAAGGTGAAGTAAAGAAGGTGAAGTTAAAGATGAAGAAGAAAATGAAAAAGAAAGGAAAGAAGAAGGTCAAGGGGAAGAAGGTATAAAGGTGAAAGTGAAGAAGGTAAAGAAGGTGAAGAAGAAGGTGAATGTAAAGAAGTGAAGAAGAAAGACAGGGGGAAGAAGAGGGTATAGAAGAAAAAGAAGACGATAAAGAAGAAGAAGGTGAAGAAAAAGAAGGTGAAGGGGAAGAAGAAAAAAGTTAAAGTGAATGTGAAGATAAAGGTGAAGAAGAAGGTAAAGAAGATGAAGAAAGCGAGGAAGGAAACAAGGTCAGGGAGAAGGTAAAGAAGGTTAAGAAGAAGAAGAAGGTGAAGATGAAAGTGAAAAAAGAAAAGGGAAAGAAGGTGAACAAGGTAAAGAAAAAGAAGGTGAAGAAGACATTGAAGAAGAAGGTGAATGGGAAGAAGGTAAAGGAGGCAAAGAAGGTGAAGGGTTGAAGGAGGTGAAGATGAAGAAGGTAAAAAAAAAGTGAAGGAAATGTGAAGAAAAGGGTGAAGGAGTTAAAGAAGGTGAAGGATGCAAATAATGTGAAGGAAGTGAAGGTGAAGAAAGTGAAAATGAAAAAGGTGAAGATGAAGGTGAAAGAGGTGGTGAAGAAGGTGACTGTGAAGGAGGTGAAGACGAAAAAGGTGAAGGAGTTGAAGATGACTGTAAAGGAGAAGATGAAGGCGAAAGAGGAGAAGATGAAGGTAAAAGAGGTAGTTGAAGTTGAAAGAGATGGTGAAGAAGGTAGAGAAGGTGAAGAAAAAAGTGAAAGAGGTGAAGAAGGTAAAAATGAGAAGGTGAAGGAGGTGAAGAATGTGAAGGGGGTGAAAAAGGTGAAGGAGGTGAAGATGAAGAAGGTGAAGGAGGTGAACGTAGGAAAAGAAGGAAAAGGCGAAAAGGGAAAGAAAAAAGTGAAGGTGAAGGAGATGAAGAAGGTAAAAAGGTGAAGGAGGCAAAAAAATATGACAGAGATGAAGAAGGTGAAAGGGTGGAGATGAAGATGAAGAAGGTGAAAGTGAAGACCTCCTTCACCTTCACTTTCACTTTCACATTCTTCATCTCCTAAAGAAAGAGAATGTGAAGAAAAAGGTGAAGGAGGTGAAGGTAAAAAGGTGAAAGGGGTGAAGATGGAGATGAAGAAGGTGAAGGTAAAGGAGGTGAAGAATGTGAAGAAGATGGTGAAGAAGGTTTTAATTTTACAAGAGGGCAAATAATTTTTACTTCAACTGTATATAAAGTGGGCGAGGCAGGGGCGCAGTAGGTAGTGCTGTCGCCTCACAGCAAGAAGGTTGCTGGTTCAAACCTCGGCTCAGTTGGCGTTTCTGTGTGGAGTTTGCATGTTCTCCCTAAGTTCGTGTGGGTTTCCTCCAGGTGCTACGGATTCCCCCACAGTCCAAAGACATTTGGTACAAGTGAATTGTAGGCTAAACTGTCCATAATGTATGTTTGTGTGTGTGTGTGTGTGTGTTTGTGTGTGTGTGTGGATGTTTCCCAGAGATGGGTTGCGGCTGGAAGGGCATCCCCTACGTAAAAATGCGCTGGATGAGTTGGTGGTTCATTCTGCTGTGGCGACCCCGGATTAAAAAAGGGACTAAGCCGACAAGAAAATGAATGAATGAATGTATATAAAGCTTGCAGGTTTTAGATGGGCAGGAGGAAGTACACATGGTCACTCTCAAAAAAAATTTGCTTCATTCGCTGCCTAATCTCCTGTATGACCCAGATTCCAACAAAATCAAATCAAAATCAAATAAAAAATAACTTTAAATAAATAAAATAAATTAAGTTTAAAGTTCAATTAATAACAAGCAGCATGTCTTACTCTCTGCAGAAGTGCGTGGAAGGAGGCGAACCACAGCTCCGGTCACAGCGGTTGGCATCTCATGGCCGTTGCTCTCAGACGCTGGGTCATTAAGGCTGTCTGCTGGTGCCAAACCTTCAGTGGGCAGAGCAGCGGCAGCGGCTTCAGCACTTAACTGCTGTGCTGCGGCCGCCTGCGCCTCCTGAAGCTGCTGCTGCTGCTGGACCAGAGCTGCAAGTTCCTGCTGAGTCAAAACGATAGGGATGGTGGTGGCCTGCTGGCCGTCGTGACCTGCGTCTCCTTCCCCACCTGAGAAAGCAAAACAAGTCAGCTGAGGATTGTGGAAAGTCCAGTTGAGCTTTATTGGCATACAGCTACATGTGTGGACATACAGTGAAATGTAATGTTGCGTCTGGTAGGACCAAGCTACATAAATATAATCATAAATATAAACAACACTGAGCTATTATGTATCTATATATAACCAATATACCAGAGCTGAAATCCAACTATACTAACTACCATGTGCTAAAGGCATGAGGATCCTACATCCCAATATAAATTTAGAGGGAAAATAACAGTGAGCTACATTGTATTGGGCATTTAATGAGAACATGAGGACACTGATTAGATTTAATTACTAGGTTTCCAACAAGGAGGTTTGTTAATCTACGATCTTCCTACTGAAATTGTAATTGTTGATATGATATGTACATTTAACTATTTCTTCCTGAAGTATTTTATTATCTGGAACAAACTGTTAATAAAACAACCTTTGCCTTTTTTGCATTTTTTTGCTTTGTTGTGGGGGGGGGGGGGGGGGGGGGGGTTATATGCTATATGCTATCTGAACTGTGCGTTTCCCGGTTTATTTGACAAGTGTGAGAGCTCCGAATCAGGCTCAAGCACGGTTTAGTTGGCTGGCTGTGGGCCGGTTGGAAGAGGTGTGCCAGAGTGCAGTTCGGGGGGGGGGGGGGGTTATATAGCTATATGCTATCTGAACTGTGCGTTTCCCGGTTTATTTGACAAGTGTGAGAGCTCCGAATCAGGCTCAAGCACGGTTTAGTTGGCTGGCTGTGGGCCGGTTGGAAGAGGTGTGCCAGAGTGCAGTTCGGTTGGACTTTGGCGCAGTACACTTGAAGTGTGAGTGCAAAGCGCACCTAAGCCCAAAACTGAAGACGCAACGTTACTTTTACATTTCATATGGATTTATAAATAATTTTTACTGTTCAATGAACACAAACTGACCTAGTTTAATAAAGATGGAAACCCCTCACTGCACCTTCAGCAAATCTCCTAATAAGTGGAGCACGAGTTTTACGATAATTTATGAGTGTCAAAAGTTGAGGGATCTGTTTGGCAAAATATTTGACTGTGTCACTGCATCCCAAACGACTAAAACAATACAACTAAAGCAATGTTCACTGTATGGAGTGAAAGCGCTTCTATTCCTGTTGAACTGAGAGGTCGCATCATCGATGACAGAAGTGTACGTTGGTTCGGAAGGCAAACGGCAGTATGAGTGCAGGCCGTCGGGGGAGAGGGGAATCGCGCTTCAGCACGGTTTAAGGCAACTGTACCTAGCATGAGCATGCCCTTATTATGCTCAGATCTAATGTGTTCATAACTTTTTTCATTAATAGTTATACATGACTAGTGTTTATGTTTCAAACATCTAAACTGGACTCGTCTCTCCCATACAGTGCCTTTGTAAACAGACATGACAGTTTCAACATACGTTTTTTTTACATTTCATGCTTTTATGGCTGCATATACACAGATGGTTCTAACTCTTCTCTGTATCCCCAAGTCCTCTCTTGTGCTCTTTTTTGACCCCTTTGCCTTAACCCTTAAAGACCTAGAGGTATTTTGTGTGCACCTAATGGGCCTATATTATTATTATTTTTTTAAAGCAGTTTTATTTTTATTTTAGCAGTCAGACTCAAGTGTCATATATTATTTTAAACAGGAGAACCTGAAGTTTCAATCTGTATCATTTAAAGGTCCAGTCTAAAACTTTATTTGGTCCAAAAACATATGAACAGACAGAAAATATTCCAGAATTTTCCAGAAACGATTTTTTTAAAAAGTGCCATTTTCTAGTTATTACAAACAAAACCTTATGAAGTTTGTTTTTCTTTCTTTAGAAATACATATTATAATGTTTTATACTTCCAAAATAAATTTTGTCTACATCCACCATTCCCTGAGCAAGTTATAGCAATTTATTTCAATGTTATTCCAAGGCGTTTTTCAATAGGGGGAAAAAATGCATTTATTTACTGACAATGTATTTGCCCAAAAGTTCTGGGAATGAACTAAACAGAAAAAAAATGTTACAAAATAACAGAACACTGAAGCAAATTTGACTTTTTTATAAATAATATATTTTTAGTTACCATAAACAACACCACTTATAATAGACAAATATAAAATAAGAAAATAATAAATAATGCGTCAAAGTCCTAATAAACATGGTGCAAATCCTCAGTAAATAAAATAGATATAAATATTTACTATACTATAAATAGTTACATAACTAAACTAGATTCAATATGGACCATCCTTAGGTTTTATGTGCCAGCATGGATATGGTTGTCTGCGGATATGTATATGGTTCGCGTGCAATGCAGACAAACAGCCCAACCTTTATTTGCGTCCTTTGAAAACAACAAGAGCAGCACTTCGTCTTTGCTGTGTCACTGTTTTGTCATGTTTTTGTGCTGTTGTGCATGCAAAAGTACTTAGTATGAGAATTATTTCATGCAAAACTTTTATTTAGCGTTTTATTTAGCCGCGCGTAAATGTGCAGCCTATCTCTCATTCCGTGTTGTTCAAATAGCTGATTGTTGGTTCACAAAGCGAAACCTATGCTTATTGGTTGAGATAGAGCGAGTTTGAACCAATCTGGGCATGGAGGAGGGACAATGCATCCATATATCATGTCTGGTTTGTCCGGAGAGACAAGTGACGAGCGTTCCTTTGTCAAATCAGCGTTGTCAAAATTTGATGACGTAACCACACTGATTCCGGAGCCTCTGAAAGTCCGTGAATGTAATGTGATACAGCGATGGAAAGCTGAGATTCTCTACTTTATGCCAATCTTTGAATTGTATGAATCGGATCAGCGGATCAAAAGTTATTAAACATTTAAGAGCAATACTTATTTTTAGCCGCGGGCGGCTGTCTCGGTCTTTAAGGGTTAACATACGACCCATTTTTAAAGACATACAATGGCAGATTCATATGGCCCTCTAATTTCCAAATAAATGCGTCTTTACTAGGGATGGGAAGATTAACCGATATGTATCGATACGCGGTCATGCGCGTGCACGATGCGAGTGCATCGGTAGAGCAGCAGAGGATGAATGAAATTTTGGAAGCAAATCGAGATGCATCGTTTTTTGCGAGATGCATCGGTTTTTCCAAGATACAGCTTATATTTTTAATATAGAATGTATTTTTTATTTATTAACAAGTGTTGTCAACCTGTTTTTGGCGCATTATTTAATCGACCTACATAAAGTATGCCTTAGCAACGGACTTGCGGATGTGTACACTTACGTTACAACTCAGTGTATCAGGTGTGCGGATGAAGCTAGTGGTGCGCCCTCAGAAAGCGCGAGAAGCAAAACAAACATTTTATTCCCCACTGAGTTTTAAATCTAAAGTATGGCAACATTATGGATTTTGCAAAAAAGATGGACGACTTTTTAGGACAGATGCAATTTGCAAAATGTGCCGCGCATCTGTAAAATACACGGGCAGTACGACTAATCTGATATCTCACTTGAAGCGGCGCCATGGTGTTGTTGTGGAAGCATCTTCCAGTGTTCCTGCATCCCCGGCTTCCTGCTCTGCTTCAACTGTAGCTACCAGCTCCAAAAGTGGTGAGAAAAGCATTGAAAGGTTTTTCCATGCGCAACAGTTTTGTGCGCTCTACGCCAATAACGAATGCTATTGCATTGTTCATCTGCAAAGATTTTCAGCCTAGTGTCACGGAGAACGAAGGTTTTAAACACCTCCTCCTGTTAATTTTTATTTATTTATATTTTTATTAGCCTGTTGTTTACAGTGATAGTGATGTTTCAAAGCAGCATAACACTGCTAGTTCACGACCTTAAGTTTTGAATATTCAGTGGCACAATATATCTTTGTAAAACTTGTTTTCATAGTTGAAAAGTTAAATCACAATTCTTGTTGTGCAATGGTAAACCTTTATGTTGAAAGAGTGCAAATATATGTATTTTTAATATTTATTGCACTTATACATTCTGTTTATCTTGAAAATACTTAAATAATATGTGCTATAGGTTCTAAAATGGCTCTCTACTGTAAACTGACACTCTGGCTCTGAGAGAAAAGCCAGTTTGTAAAAAAAGTCTTGCTTTTGCTTGGTTAATAAATAATCAAACTCATTCAATGGCACAGCATCCTTTCTTACATAATCTCATAAACTTGATCTAATAAGTTAGTGCTGAATTATCGCATTGTATCGTGATATGGGTGTGAATCGTATTGTGTTGCATCGCAATATGTCACAAATGTATCGCTAATATATCGGATCGTATTCTTTGTATCGAGATGCGTATCGGATCGGCATTATAGCTTAGATGCCCAATCCTAGTCTATACATAGCTTTAAAAAAATAAAAATCTTCACTATCCATTTAATTAATGCCCACTAAATGCTAATAAAATACACTAACACTGCTTTAATTAGACCTGTGAGTTCTCAATAAAGAAGCCTACTTTAGACTCTCCTGATCTTCTGAGTTTCCAACAGCATTCACACTTTTATCTGTCACAATGTTGAGCTTATACGAGTCTGCTGTACACTTACTGAGCACCGCCTGCTGAGCCGCCTGCAGGACGGCCTGGATAGCGAGGGCCTGGGCTTCTTCTGTGGCTGCAGCCTGTGCAGCTGCCTCAGCCGCCGCCGTCACTGCCAGCTCCTCAGGGGTCAGTCCAGTCACCATCAGGGTGGTTTGCTGTCCTTCTGCAGACATCAGCTCCTGTGGCAGGGCGAGGGCTTCTGAGTCCTGAGCAGCGAGACTCATGGCTTCTGCTGCCTCCACACCGGCCTCCATCTGCTGTATGGAGAGAACAGGGGAATTGATTATTCGTGCAAGTAAACATACTTAAACAGCCTGAACAAGAGACAGTTATATGTTGTCACACATGTTTAGAGTAAATGCTGTTGCCCTTTTCATTAAAGAACACCAAAGATTTGATCTCTTTTTAAAAATATTAAGCAGCAATGAAGACTGGAAAAAGGATTCAGAAATAAATACCAGGAATTAATTATTTGTGCAAGTAAAGAAAAGTTTAACAGCCTGAAAGAGATAGAGAGACAACAGAAGACAGTAATTTGTTATGCAACACATTTCAAGTAAATCCAAAGCAAATGCTTTTAACTTCCTGCTTCAATAAAGAACACAGAAACATTTATCTCTGTTTGAAAATGCCTATAAAAATGTACTGAAGAAAAATACATTTTACTATATTTTTGATCACATAATTGGATTTTTTTTTTTTGGACTATTCTTTTAAAGACAATGAAAATTTGTAACAACCAAAAAATTTGAAAAAGTAAAATAAAAAAAGCAATTCCTTACAAATCACTCGTCTTTTAGCTGTGGATAAAAAGCTAAACAGCAAAAAAGGACTGTTTAGTAGTTGACATGGAAGATCCATATACTTTAGCATAATGATGCATGCAATGATCAAGATGAATGAGGTTAGTCAATCATGACAGACTGAATCATAGCAGTTCTAAAAAAGTATACAATCAAAAGTACCCCCTTGTAGGCCTGTGCGATTAATCGAATCGCAATTTGAAATGTTGCGATCAGCTAAAAATCGCAAGGGGCTGCAATATGAAATATGTATTATTTAACTTCCACCGCCCAGAACAAATGTGTGACTGCAGTCTGTGATTCACAGTCTTACTAGCCAATTGAGTGAGAACACTTTAGTTCTGCCCAATCAGAATTGCACAACCGAACTATTCGGAAAGCCAACAATAAAAAAACAAACAAACAGGAAAGCATGATCGAGTGGGATGAAGGCATATGCCGCTTCAGAAGCATTAATAGTCTAATTAATGTCCAAGAAAAAAGCCTGTCAATACTATGGGAATATTTTGTTTGCAAAGTCACAGACACCAAACAAAACCAGGTCATTTGTAAGAGCTGTTGCAGAATTGTTGCCACAGCATGCGGAAATACAACAACCAGCCCTTAAAAAGACACCACAGGCAGCTATACGAGCGTCTTGCTAAAAGTCAACTAAAAGTACTGTCAGTGACACTCAATCTAGAAGCGAGCAACAGCAAACTACAATTTCAGAGTTGTTTCAGCCATGTTAGTTTGCTAAGTGTTCTGTATGTTTATAATTTTTTTTTGTTTTGTTTGTATAATAAAGCTACACTATCTCCATCATTTGAGGTCAACTTGACCAATAAAAGTTGGAGTTAGTTTATCTTTTCAGTTCCTTTTTTTTTTACTAGCACTCACTGCATTTTAGCAGTAAGAAGTTACGATACAGATTATTCAGCTAGAGCTTGACTACAAGATTTAAATCGCAAATCAAAAATCGAAATATCTGTAAAAAAAATGTCAATAAATAAAAAATGAATAAAATTGCAATAAGATATTTCCCCAAAATCGTACAGCCCAACTTCATTAATTAATAAAGATAAAATAAAAAATAAAAAACATGAACTTAAATCATAGACATTTTGGTGAAAGAACCTTTAACAAAAAGTGCAGTATTTAAGGTCCGGTGAAATTAAAATAACTTTTAGATGTTAGCATCAGTATTTAAATAGTCTTAAGGATATCTACAAGCACGATGACAAAAGTTGCGTGTAAAGAATTTGCCTCAGTCTTTTGCCTATATGGATCAACATTTTGTTTTGTTTTTTTCATGTCACCTCAAACCAGTTTCTCATCAAATCTTGACCAATAAAATGCTCTCTAGTATCTGAAATGCCCCATCCCTTCTCATTGGCGAAGTCTAGATTGGATACGTGGCATTTAGCAGCATTTTTAATGACATTGTATAACAATAAATAATATTTTTACAATAATGTGATGGTTGAGGAGAGGGTAGGCATTAAAAATACAATTTATTGGGTAATTTAATAGATAAATAATACTTTGTACAAATGTTTTTAAGTTACTGTAATGGTTGGGTTTAGAGTAGACGTTAAAAAAATACAATTTATGGGTAATTAAATAGATAACAAATAATACTCAGTAATAAATAATATAAATAATTCTCGTTAACATCAGGTCGCAACCGTATATGATCTAGCAGCAACCCCTCTCACTAGCAGAGCTATGATTAAAACAAAATTGAGTTGAAATTACACCAAACATTGAAAAAATTGAAAATTAAATTAACTTCATGGGACCTTAAAAATGTTAAATATAGCATTTATTACATTATATTGTACTTTTCTCCAAACCATATCATAAACATGATCACAAAAAGATTTTATTTTCTCTAAACCAAACTATAAACCATGATAACAAAAAGTTTGTTCCCTACCTCAGCCTGATCTCCTTGCCCCGGCTGTGCCTCCATGGCGACGTGAACCTGAAGCACAGTGCTCCCGTCACCTGCTGCACTTTCATCAATGGCGACGACCCTGACGGCTCCCTCTTCACTCAGCTCTCCCTGACTCTCCGTCTGCATAGGCTCTTCACCCGCCGCCACGGCTTCTGCACTGGCCTGCTCCATCGCCTCAGCCTCACCTGGAGTTTCAGATACTACTGCAGATCCAGCCATGGAGGAAATCTCCTGCATTGTGGGAAAGAACAATCAGACAAGAGAGAAGTTTTAAACCAACATCTGTTTTCAACGTTTTATTAATAATAATAATTATAATAATAATAATTTTAAAACAAATCCCCCAACACCAACAAAACATAATTTTCTAATGTCAATAACGTATGCCTATTGATAAATAAAATATTACAATATTTTATTTTGAGCAAGGTTATTAGTTCACAAAAACGAACAAAAAAAAATCTAACTAAAATTGAAAAAACATTTTCGTTAACTGAAAAATGAAAACGAGAGTTAAAAAAATAAATAAAGTGAAACTATTGTGTACATAAAAAAAAAAACTAATTGAAACTACAGTGTAAACGCGCTACAGAAATAAAGATGAATTGAATAACTCAAATTATAGCAAAAACATCTTTCGTTTTCGTCACTGGAAATTTATTTAATACATAAGTCTACTGTAAGCCTTTTAGAAGTAAATCTATTTACTTCACGCTGCCAGGTGGTTGATGCGTACGGCACCTCAGAGTCTGTAATCCTGCTGCCATTGGCCAAATCAAGTCAGTCCTTGCTGTTGCTCCGGCAACAAAAACAACGAGTGGACATGACAGCAGCAAGGTGACAACATTAAATATGGCCCAAGCAGAGACTTAAAAGTATTAATTTAACTCATGTGTGCCCAATAACTGGCCTAATTTCCGCACTTGTGATCCTGATCCCAAACGAATTGCTCTTTTACAACTAGATCTTCTAAGTGAAGATAAATTGAATAAGTGAACCGGTTCTGAATCAACAGAATAATTTGAAACGATTTGCATCTCCAGTAAGCACTTATCCACAAACTACTTATTTTTGAACATGCCTGATACCCCCCTCTGACACTAATTAAACCAATTTTCCAGAGTTATTCAGATATAAGAACAGTAGTCTACACAGATCAGATTTAAGAACCGGTGAACTGATAATACTGCACATGCGCAACCCAGCAGGTGAACCGTACACAAACAGTACATGACAGCCTGCTGCGACTAAAGTGACCTTGTGTAGCGTGAGTAAACTGAAGGCTTTAGAGAGAATCTATCGAAATGTACGTTAATTTCATAGCAGAAAGTCGTAACGAAATTTAAATAAGTGAATCATGCTTCAGTTGGGTTAAAAAACTCAATTGTACAAAAAACTTTTCAGATCGTGGTGATGTTTTAATTGACTGAAACTATGATTGCTGACTACATATTTCTGGTATGTTGGTTTAGTCCTAACATGGGAGGATTGCCACAAAAGATCCGGTTCGCGTTACAGATTCGAACTTCCCTATCACTACTGTATATCCAACCTCAGATGCAGCCTAGTGCACATATCGTACTTAGGGCTGCTATCTTGTGGGCTGTTGTATTGGAATTTGAGGATGGGTAGACGGAAGTGTTCATGTGTCCTCTGAATACATGTTTCAAAAATGTATCTTTGGTCAAGTTATTATACATTGATTCTGATGATTTTGAATCTTGCACCTAACAAATATCCTAATTTAGGAAAAAAAACTAAAACCAATACTAAAACTAATAAAAACTAAACTAAAACTAATAAAAACTACACTAAATCTAAAATATTTCAAAATATAGAAACTATTAAAACTAGTAAATCTACCTTTAAAAACTACTTAAAACTGAATTTGAAAACAAATTACAAATGAAACCAAACCAAAACTAATGAAAAATCCTAAACTATTATAACCTTGATATGTAGGTCTAGACCTTGTTTTATTATAGTTTTATAGATACTTATTTTCCACTTTGATTCGATCTTCTGGTAAACTTTGACTTGACTGATGTTTTCTCTTTAAACAATTTCAACTGATGTCTACCAGAATGTTTTTTTTTTAAAACCACACAGAAAATATATTAAAAATAGCAAGAACGAAAAAAATTGATACGGCTTAAATGACATTTTACGCTATTTAACTGATCGTATTAATAATTAATATTAATATTTCATATTAATATTTCAAGCTAATTTAAAAATGGATTTCAAAAGGAACAGAGGGATTTTGAGTTCAGATCAGACTATGTAATCCAATCTTACATTTGATTTGGATCAAACCTGCCTTTTGGGTTATTTACAACTTTGAACTCAGATTGGGATCTATCTGATCTCAAAAAATTAAAAAATAATAAAATAAAAAAACAGGATTATCCTGATCCCATCAGAAGAGTGGATTCAGTTGTGTTTTTTACCAAATAAACAAATTAAAAAAGTTTTATATGTTAAGTGAATGATCACAAACTTCATGGTTACTGATGATATATAGATCCCTTCATAATAGAAGCCACATTTAGAGATATGGTAAACAACAACTAAATAATATTAAAGCAGTACTGTATTGGAACAAACTAATACATGTAAAATGCTTGTTGACTGCAGTGCAGCGTTTCTGTTTCTTACAATGGTTGTTTGTGGCCACTGGTATTTTGCCTACCTATTGTTCCTTGCTAAGCGAATGAGCTACACTGTTGGTTCCATTTAAGGCTCAGGTAAACAGAATTTGGTAATCCTGAAATTTGTTATTTGGATCACAGTGATCCAACCCAATGTTCATTTTAAAAACTGTCATAAAAGTAAGATAGATCAGTTAATCCTGGATGGCAAAATATGGGATTAACAAATCTGGACCACTTTAATCCAGATGACATTTTTTTGAAAAACTGGGCCCTGGTTTGTTAATATACAGGTTGATGCAGCTGTTTTAACTATTAAAGAGCAAAAACCTAGCAAACTGTGTTTTGTGTAAGTCATGTTCCTAAACACAAACAAAATCTTTGCATGTTTTTAATTGAGTACTATAAAAATGGACTGGTCTAGCCTATGTTGTTCTTCATGATGATAGACAAAGAGATTGAGGTAGATTTTAAAACGGATATTTAAAAAGGGATCCGCAGACACCTTGTTAATAATGTGGGTCTGCCTCAGGAAAATAAATCCAACTGATCAGATTATAGTGTGTTAATACCGGTACTGATGGTCCTGGAGTGGGCGTTGCCTGTGTTACTGTGGTGATGGCTCTGCTTTGTGTCGCGGGATTGGCTGGTTCTGTAGATGATGTGGGCTCTGTGCTGGTGGCGCTTTCACTCTGTCCATCCCCAGCCTGCTGAGCTAAAGAACAAGCACATCAGCTTGGTTACCACAGTGACCCTGAAACTGAGACTGATAAGCAATCATTCACATAGGCACATGACAAATGATACTCGATGCGGACATGGAAAAGGTATACAAATATAATCAGGGTTTTTCCTGCATAAAGAACTACGAGGTGGCCTTCTCAATCAAATTTTGTACCACCTTCAAAATTACAAGAACAACGCAAAAAGTGTTTGTTTCAAGTAGCAAAAATGCCTTATTTTAAGTCAGGAAAAACCCTGATAATAGTACACAGATGGTTTTATATGTTTTTATATACTGTAATAAGTCTCAACTACAAAGTATACTCATCATTATTAGTATTCATTATTATTTTAATAATGCATAATATAAAAACTTAGCAAGCTTTTGCTGTTTAAAAGACACCTAATACACATTTAAAATGGATTTCTTTAGCTAAACCAAGGTTAAATTTGAGCTTTCATCCAAAATAAAATAAACGTTTAATAGTCCAGAGAGCGAGCGAGCGAACTGAGTTTATGGCCATAACAGCTTCCCTATTTCATAGCAAAAACAACATTTACAAACACTTTTCTATAATAAATGCATTAATAACAGTAAAAGGATATCAACAACAACATGTTACATAATAAAATAAAAATCCTAAAAAGTAACTTTTGAAGAAAAAACATTTAAATCTAAAAAATTTCAAAATATAGAAACTATTAAAACTAGTAAATCTACCTTTAAAAACTACTTAAAACTGAATTTGAAAACAAATTACAAATGAAACCAAACCAAAACTAATGAAAAATTCAAAACTATTATAACCTTGATATGTAGGTCTAGACCTTGTTTTATTATAGTTTTATAGATACTTATTTTCCACTTTGATTCGATCTTCTGGTAAACTTTGACTTGACTGATGTTTTCTCTTTAAACAATTTCAACTGATGTCTACCAGAATGTTTTTTTTTTTTAAACCACACAGAAAATATATTAAAAATAGCTAGAAAGAAAAAAAATGATACGGCTTAAATGACAATAAAAAGTAACTTTTGAAGAAAAAACATTTTTGGAAGATTCTAATTTAAAAAGGAATTCCTTTAAAGTCTTTCCAGTAGGAATGCTCCGATCAGGAGTTTTGCGGCCGATACCAAGAACAGATTGCTTGACATGGTGATCAGCCAATACCAAGTACTGATTCCAATGCTTTAGGTTTTAAAATGCATTATGCACATTTTCCCTCCAAATATGAAACTTAAGAGAAGTTCTCGTCTTACCTAGGAGAATAAATTAGTGATGCTGCACATAATACCTTCAACACATCTCTTATAACTATTTAGGTGTGAAAATGTTATGGCCAGAAGCAGCTTTATAGAAAATAATATAACACGGATGCAAAAACTGGTAAGAAAAATTACAAACATTGCAAATGCTGGAAGAAGAATTCAACATGTCTCAATCCAGAAACAGTTTGGAGCACATATAAGATGCATTAGAAATTAAAATGCACACTTATAAATCCATTACTTCTTTACTAAATGGAAATAGGCCTAAAAACTACTGTTTATCGCAATAGGTGTATAACCAGAGGTTATATTATTAAATATTTATGTTAAAAAATATTTTAAAGTTTTATTTCTCTAATAATTCCACCCAGATTTTAGTGAACTTGCAATGTTGTCAAAACCACAGAACTTTCGGTTCTTATATGTAGAAAGTAGGGCTGTGCAATTTATCGCAATAAAAATAAATAAATAAATAAAAACGCGATTTAAGCACATGCAATTCCTAACCTGCACAAGGCTGCAATTTTATCTATTCATTTATTTAGATTTTTATTCAGAATACATTGTTGTGTGCATTACTTCAATATGTTAAGCAATCAGAGCTGACGCAGCGCACCAGGCAATTACAGCTAAGCTGAGAGGGATAAAGATGTTAACCAGCTCACTCCGCGCACGATGAAGTTGAGCGGGAGAACCGAAAAGGGAGAGCTGGAGGATGAAACATAAAATATGGATATAGGTCCAAAAAATTATTTGGTGCCAAAGAAAAAATTCAACATCACTCGTTTGGGAGTATTTTGTATTCATGAGAAAGGATGCGTCACAGAGCAAGGTAATTTGCAAGACTTGTGAAATGATTATTCCAACGAAACGTCATATAAACAGCGTCATATGAACCTCATAAATCAACGCATGTCGACAAAGTCCATCGAAACAAATAAAAGCACACATCAAAGCAAGCCCAAACAGACTGAACAAGTATCCATTGTTCAAGCATATTTGCCCAAAATTTTATCTCAAAATATATTTGGGAGCATTTGCATAATAATATTAATATTAATATTAATAATATTAATAATATTAATAATATTGCATAATATTGTGCGACTGCATAAAATTGGTGCCGTGCGACCGGTTTTCACTGCAAAATGTTCACCACACATGCAGATTTAGGAGACATTCACGCAGAATGCATCTTGCCACCTGACATAGCAAACACAGCGCTCATGAATAGTTTAAAACAGTTATCATGTCACTTGCTGCAGTAAACGATGCGCTCAATGCTTGCCCCGCCCTCAAGCTCTTCTGATTGGTCCACTGCTGTAGCACTGACTGCAAACGGATTGGTAAATATCAGCTGTCAATCACTCAGTCGATGCCTTTCTTTAGATGACAGGGAGAGCTAAAACCGCGAGCATGTAAAGCACTGAAGATGAGAGAATGAAAACAACACTGACAGATTTAGTGTTAGAAAACATAAGTTTCAAATAATGGTACATCTGATCAGTGATCGTGTGCTGAATGTCAATCCAGCATTTACACTTTTCGAAGAGTGGATAGAAGACTTCCAGTGTTTAAAGTCAGCTATGAAAATGACTAAAGCATTCATCATAAAGCCGGTGTAACGGAGTTTGCAGGTAACAGCGTTCGCCAAATCTACACATTTTAAGCGCGAGAGGTTCTGTTTAATTCTTCATTTAATCGTCAGGATGCTGTCGGCTGTGCAGCTGTCAAATATATGTAAAACGTAACACCATGTACACTATTGCAAAAGGGCTTGCATTCATTAAAATAAAACTAATATTGCAGCTTATGAAAAAAACAGTATTGCTATTAAGATGACGTATGCAAATAATAAGCTATTATGTCAGTATTATCTGTGCTATATAACACAGCACCTGTGAGAACAGCAAAGTTATTATTGTAAACTAAGTTTCATTCATGTCAAGCAGTGCGTGGAGGGCCGCTGGGCGCATGCAGATGTCGTTTTGTTTGTTTGTTAGATTGTGAAGTGTTGATTTCAAATGCAGTAAATCGGTTAATATAACATTAAAACTTGTAGTAACAGTGCTCATAATTGGTGGGTGCGACTAAATTTTGGCTGGTGCTCCTAACTTTTTAAAGCAGTTTCAAACAGCCTAACAGCAACTCTCAATAAGAGAGAGGGAAATCTGCACTCGCGATATCTTTACTGCTCTATTCGTTTAACCTAAGAAATGTAATGTTTAGAACAGGGGTGTCCAAACTTTTTGGGCCGAGGGCCAGATGCAAAAAAAAAAAAAAAAAAAAAAAAAAAAAAAAAGTTGTCCCGGGCCATATATTACATACATTGCACAGACATGCGCTTATGTCACATATATACATATATATATATATATATATATATATATATATACATATATATATATATATATATATATATATATATATATATATATATATATATATATGTGTGTGTGTGTGTGTGTGTGTGTGTTATGGAATTATTTTAATTTGTTATTTTAATTCATCGTCCAACTGTTTCTAGAAAGACTTTCGTTTTTAAAATCTTGAATCTTCTCTGGGCAAATTACACTTGCAACACTCATCCTTTATAAATTCTCCTTCAGTAAAAGGTTTCCAATGCTGTGCGATTAGCTGGGCTACATCATAACTAGCCAGCGTAAAATTTTCTTGCACTTTATTAGCACGAAAAAAACTGCTGTAGTTGAACTGATGATCCAGCTGCTGTTTGTTTTACGTTTTGATCTCGTTCGGCACCAGTGTAAGAGCTGAAGGCCTGATGTTTTATTTTATATAAACTTTTTTACTTTTAATAGTATATTCCTTTATTACTGCAACTGATTCCTGGCAAATTAAACAGACACATATTCCACTGACCTCTGTAAAGAACTATTCATTACCCAAACGTGACTGAAATTTCCTGCACTCACTGTTGATTTTCCTTTTTCTTGGTTGTGCCATGGCTCGCCAAAACGTGATTATCAATTATGTTTCTTTCAGTTTGTTCGGTTCGTTTTACTTCATAACAGGAACTGCTGCCTAATTGAAGGCATGTAATAGCGACACCCGATGGTTATTTATTGAATTACGTTCATTTTGTACAGCGGGCCAGATTCTATTAATATTCATAAAAAGCCTCGCGGGCCGCCACAAAACTGATTGCGGGCCGCAGATGGCCCGCGGGCCGTAGTTTGGACACCCCTGGTTTAGAACATCACTGTGCCTCTCGCGATCTGTTCTCTTGCTCATTTACTTTCATCACTATAATTTCCGGCTATTTTAACAAATTTTGGGCGATCAATCCGCTTGCCTTACAGCAGCTCAAAACACTGGATATACAAAGGTTGCACTTGCAACAAAGAGACTATCAATCAGGCGAGTCGCACCAATAGACTGTATAAACAGGTCGCACTGCTTCTGTATATGTTTCAGATGTTGTGACGCGAGTGACATCACATCATTAACCTCCTCACGTGTTATGGCTGCTGTAGGCTATGTATAATATACGGGTGCACACGAGAATCTTCCTCTGCTTGTAAGCTCATAATCAAGCACCTGCAATCGGTTCAGGAGATCAGCCAGATTGACGAGTACCGATAGAGTCATTAAATGTGATTATCGGCTGATACTGATCTGCGGCCGATTGATCGGACCATCCCTACTCTCCAGATATAAATTGTTGTGTGTTTCAATAGACCTTTTACGCACTTCCGCATTTTTCGAACGGAAATACGTCAATGTAGTGCATTAGAACTTCCTGTTATCATAGCGGCAGATACGAAAAATGGCAGAGTCGAAGAATCTGTTTCTGTTGTGTTCCAGGCTGTTCGTCTTCTAACCAAAAACAGCCCTACCTTTTATTTCATTCTTTTCCTGTGGTTCCAAACCTGAAACCTAAATGGATACAGGCGATCTCAAGAGAGGAAGGGCATAGTTTTAATGTAAAACAGGTAGCACCTATGTCTGCAGCCGGCACTTCGCTCCGGATGATTACAGTGGTGGCTGCGTCGTTCGCCGCCTGAGGAGTGGTGTTGTCCCGAGCCTATTCCCTTGGAACAACTTTACAGCTCCTTTGAGAAGGGAGTCAGTATATGACAGAACCTACAAACGTCAGTCTAAACAGCTATGCTGTGAAGATAGCGACACGGTGGCTAAGGCAGCAAGGATGGATCACGACTACGTGACACACCCACTTGCATTGAGGTAAAGTTGATTTTATATTCACATTCGTTCATTTGGAAGTCTCTATATTATTTACCATGTTACTTTGAATATTCGATCGAAATTACCATGCAAACATGACTTGAAAACAACAATAACACTGGTTATTTGACTGTGAACATTGCTGTACTTTGATAGTCATTGGCTGCTAATATGATTTCGCTATTTAGAGTTTGCAAATAATATTTTAAAGAAATTATATTGTTAAAGGGAAAGTCTGAATGTGCAAATATAAAACCAACTTTACCTCTATCCCACCTGCAGTTAAGATTGTTCAGTGTATTTAGCTAACGCTAGTCACCTGTGTGTACCGTTATGCATATCTACCTGAACAAATTAATGTTAATAATATAAGCTGTTCACGAAACTCAACTAATAAAATAAAATATATATATTTTTAATAATGAAACAATTTATTGCTGTGACATCTAGTAAATACACAAAGTTTTATCATACTAGCATGTGTGGAAGTATTTAAAACAAGTGTGTTACTACTGGCCCTGTGTTAGGTTCTACCCCGCTCTCCCCTATTTTAATTGCATGTTTTTAATTACTTATTTAATTATCTTCGGAAGACAACTCAGGCTCGCCGAAAACACTTTAGCTGCCTTTTCTCTGCCAAAAAACTCATACCGGAACTGGGTTTACACGTTGTTGACGTACTTCCGTTTTTTGCGTAAAAGGTCTATAGTGCAAATTGCAGAATAAGGTCACTGCAATAGGGTTTATATGTATACCTGCTCCTTCTCCAGTTTCTAAGTTGCTTGTAGCAGTGGTGGCTGTGTTGGTAGTGCCCGTCTCGTGGGTTTCACAGGGAGGATTGGAACAGACCATTTGCACGGTGCCATTCTGTCCAGCGCCAATACCAGATGAGGCCTGTGTCGGCGTGTTGGTGGTGCCCGTTTCATGCGTTTCACGAGGGTTGGAACACACCCTTTGCACAGCACCACTCTGTCCAGCACCCAAAGTAGAAGAAGCCTGGGTCTGCGTGTTGGTGGTGCCAGTCTCATGTGTTTCACAAGGAGGGTTAGAACACACCCTTTGCACAGTGCCACTCTGTCCAGCACCTAATGAAGATGAGGCCTGTGTCGGCGTGTTGGTGGTGCCAGTCTCATGTGTTTCACAAGGAGGGTTAGAACACACCCTTTGCACAGTGCCACTCTGTCCAGCACCTAATGAAGATGAGGCCTGTGTCGGCGTGTTGGTGGTGCCAGTCTCATGTGTTTCACAAGGAGGGTTAGAACACACCCTTTGCGCAGTGCCACTCTGTCCAGCGGCCATTGAAGACGATGCCTGTGTTGACGTGTTGGTGGTGCCAGTCTCATGTGTTTCACAAGGAGGATTGGAACACACCCTTTGCACAGAACCACTCTGTCCACTCTCCATATCTGCGCTTGATTGTGTAGGTGTACTAGTGGTGCCCGTTTCACGCGTCTCGCAAGGTGGATTTGAGCAGACGCTGCCGGAGACGTCAGAAGTGTCTGTGTCACCGGGAGATTCGCTGGAGCTCACTGGCATCATTGTAGAGGAGATGGCGGCTTGGCTCTTATTGGAGCTCTGGACTGTTCCCGTCTGGTCAGAGCCCATGTTGGAGCGGGCGGTGGTGGAGGTGTATGTGGTGCCTGTGCGGAGGTTTTCTGGACGCATGACGCCTGCTTCGGCTCCACTCTCTGAGACAGGTGTCGATGGTTCAGAAGAGGAGGACGCAGGCGGCGATGAAGAGCCTGGTTTGCTGTTCACGGTACCCATTTCTGTGGAGCCCATATTACAGCTGGCAGTGGTGGCTGTGTTGGTGGTGCCCGTATCATGGGTTTCTGATGGCGGGTTGGTGCAGACCTGCTGTGCCCTGCCCATGTTTGCAGAGGCGGTGGTTGAGGTGTTGGTGGTGCCCGTTACGTGCGTTTCACAGGGAGGGTTGGAACAAATCTGTTCAGTGCCTATTTTGGCAGAAGCTGTAGTAGCCGTGTTTGTTGTTCCAGTCTCGTGGGTCTCGCAGGGCGGGTTAGAGCATACTAGTGTGACGGTGGTGGCACCATCACCCGCGCTATCGCCAGCATCTGCACCGGTGGTGGAGGGCTGTTCTGATGTGGGAGAGGCCAGGAAAGAGACGGGGAGATCCTGCCCAGGCTGGGCTTCAGCACCACTCGGGGTCGTGATCAGGGTTACTTGAGTAGGCTGAGATGCAGACTATAAAGATAAACAAACAAAGAAAAAAAAAAACATTTTTGAGAAGGTTTACACTCTAATGCTGATACGCAGGGCAACTTTGAGCAATGATGCTGGGCAACTTAGGGAAATGACACCATCAATGGGCAAACAGGAGACATGGGGGTAACTAACTGGGGCAATGGGTTACAGATTAGTCCTGCATCATATTGGAAAATCTGACATTGCGACATTTTCAAATCTCAAATATCTTGGATCAAGTAATAAAAAAAATAAATACAAAAATAAAAAAATTCATATATATATATATATATATATATATATATATATATATATATATATATATATATATATATATATATATATATATAAATAGGTCTCAAAAAAGAAATAGGTCTCAAAAACATTTTATTGAGTTCTTCCTTGCAAAAAGCTAAATTATCTGCAAGTAGAGAAAGTAAAATAATCTTGTTTTTTCTTTGAAATGTAGATATTTGGACAAGAAACAAGGCTAAAAAAAACTTTTTAGGGTTTCCACACTTTTTTGCCCCACACTTAAAGGGTTTTACGCACCATTAATTTTTAATCAAGAACCTAATTCACACCCTCAGCATATGTAGTGCCACGAAAGTCCTAACTGTACTCAACATTTCACTTACATTTAAAATTTACATTATTTACAACAGTAATTTTCCAAATTTGGACTGTTTAAAAAAAGAAATGTTCAAAGAACTTGAATAAAAATTAGTTGAATTCACCACTGGTGATATTTAAATGCGGATTCGGAAATACTCGTATTCTTTGTCAGTGTTATGGTACGTGATATCAAAGATTTTTAATTTAGGAATTTCTCAGTTTTTGTTCTGTTTTTTTGACAATAAAGCAAAACTGTGGAAATATAACCATAAATTAAATTTTATTCAAGCAAGGGTTTCAAGCACTTGTGTTTGTTTTGAAGTAGTTTCAAGAAGCATGGAAACCCTGTTTTTTGCATAAATCATACATATTCCGTATAAATGCAGTAATTAAATGCAATTCTGTGGCTCCTCTTCAACTATAAGTCAGACTAAACATTGCATATCTTGCAATGTGACTATTGAGGGTGTGCACATTGCGATATTGATGCTGAAATGATACATTGTGCAGCCCTATTACAGAGACAATATTCTTTCCCATTTAAAAATAGCCAAGCAATATCGCTTTGCAAAATTGCCCAGCAACATCACCAAAAATTGCCCTGTGTATCATCAGCATAAGCCATTTCAATGACTTATAATAAGCACAGAGTAGACAAAACAGTCAAATATACCTTTAATTGCATGTTTTCACATCACATCTGTTCAGGACAGTGAGCTTAAATCTAAACATTAGATTATTTTAATTCAGAAGATATTTTCAAATAGCGTATAACACTGATTGATTTATTAAATAACTATAGACTTTATATATGTGACTAAGTATCAGTAGCAGAAGCACAACATTTCAATTAGTTATTCAACTTAACCTTCTTTCAGCTATATTTTTAATATCGTGCCACTTAATATGAGCTAAATGTTTTAAAAATATTTACATAATGCAATAAAAACATGCAAAAGAAAAATAAGATGTAGTACAATTTAAAATGACAACTTGGATCCATAATATTCCATAACTTGGACAAAATATATGTGTGTAAAATTTCCAGACTTTCAATGTCTGCAATAAACATTTTAAAACTCTATGATATCTCATAAATGTCATGACCCGTGGGAAGCCTGGATTAATAAAGCCAGTCTGTAACACCATAAATATCTTTAGACACTTTTCACAACAATGCATCTTTGCTGGGAGATTAATGTCTTGTAGCTCCTAAAGAAACAGTTCACCTTAAAATGAAAATCACCTCATTATTTATTCTCGCTGGAAATTTAAACCATTATGAGTGTCTTCTTTTGAACATAAAATAAGATATTTAAAAGACTGCTGGTTGCTGGCACACATTGACAAGCAGGAAAAAAATGACAGTGAATGGGTGCCAGCTATCGTTCTTCAAAACTTATACAGAAGAAAGAAACTCAAGTAGGTTTAAACAATTGAACAAGGCGAGTTTGGGAAAAAACAACAACATACAAAATGTCAATTACAATAGTATGAAAAATCTTAATACAATTTCAAAGTCAAAACAAGTGAAAGGTGAGTAAATGATGACATTTTAAATTTTTGGGTGAACTGTCCCGAATAATAAAGTAACTCACTTGTATTGTAGCGGTGGCGAGGTTGGTCTGGGCAGCAGATACAGTGATGGCTGTGGGATTGATCACCTGGCTGGATAAAGTGGCGATGGAGGCCAGTGTGGTGACAGGAGTCGCCAGGCTGGCATTAGCAACATTGGCTCCTGCAACGCTAGTTGATACAGTTCCAGTTACTGTACCCAGAGTCGTGACTCCTAATCAAAGAACGCATCATTAAAACACAAAGCCAACAATGCAACATCAACATACAACATCTATACTGCAAATACACAGTCCGAATATTCTCACCTGTGGTGCCCTTGACGACCAGTGTGGTAACAGTTGGTTTGTCGGCAGACACAGTGCCTGGTGAAACCAGCCGCACACCACCCATAGGCACAGTGCGCAGGATGGTGCCGGGCTGCCCTGGCGCTCCCTTCAGGACCACCTGAGCACATATAAAATATTTACAGTCCTCTTACGGCCAGCTTCCACTGAGTGGTGTGCTTTTAAAACTTATATTTTATGGCTTATAACAGTTTCCACTGTCAACGGGTACCTAAAAGCAAACCATACTGTACCACTTTTAGGGTAACCTTTTGGAAGGGTACAGAAGGGTACCAAAAGGTGAAGCAAGACGCACAGCTGAACGCTATTGGTTTACAGAGATACGTCACTAGGTCGTGGACAAGCAGCAGAACGAAAACAAAGGAACCGCCATTTTTAAATACAAAGCTGAGACATCACACCGTAATAATAATAATAATAATATATATATATATATATATATATATATATATATATATACATATATATATATACATATATATATATATATACACACATATACATATATACACATATACATATACATACATATATATATATATATATATATATATATATATATATATATATATATATATATATATATATATATATATATATATATATATATATATATATATACATATACACACACACACACACCTACATACATATATATAATAATGACCCATGGTCAACCCGAGCTTAAACGAACCTTGTTGTCGTCTTGATGAACAGCCACAAAGCCAAGAAGAAGAGCAGAGCTACCCTGTGCCTAGTAGTTGTTTTTAAGGCAGTTAATGCTGAAGTTGTACATAAGCAGGAGCAGTTTTGTTTTCTTGCTTGCTTGCTTTGGCATTTCCCTAATCAAGAATGACATCGACTAAAACTTTCTGCCATTGGTACACTTTTGCCAGTGGAAACGCAAGCCTGATAAAGATGACCCGTGCCAACCGGTACCGTCGTACTCAGTGGAAACAGGCCATTAAATCTCTCATTTAAAGTGGTTCTTTTAAGTATTATTGGAAAAAGAAATGCCAGAAATAGAATTTCCAAAAGGTGTTGACTTTGAAAGTGTAGCACCATGTTTATTTGACAATCAAAATGCAGCACAGGCATTTTATGCATTTAAAAAAAAAAGATTTGAATCTAGTCTTTACTATAATGTGATGAAACATTAGATAACAGCCTTTATTATGGGAAACAACTGTTTCTGTTGCTCTATAAGCGCCACCTAACGGCAGAAAGTCCATTTGTATTTACAATCCGCCTTTCTGCTGTTATTTTTTTTCCATCTAATGCAAAATTCTACTTAAACAGACATGTATATTCAGTAGTCAACATTTCAAGAGGAACAAAAAAGCTTTTCAAAATTATCCAAAGACAAGAATGGGTATTGTTCAATAGCTTTAGGAAAGGTTTAATCCACGTCAAATGCGAACTACTATATTTTCTTAAAATGCGTCTATGAAGTTTCAACTTTACATGTTATAAAACTCAGAAAGAGTGCTTGGTGATTTAAAGAACAATGCCTATTTGGACAATTTTGTGCTTTATAAAAATGTAGAAAAGCAGCACTACTGCTGGTTGAAAGTTCACATGATTTAAAATGACATTAGCTCGATGCAGAGCTTTTACTGATTTGAAATCAGTTGGGCCTCACCTGTGTGACTCCCTGTTGTCCTGCACCTGTCAGCTTAGGCACAGCTGTGATGATTTTCCCTGGAGTCCCTGTGCCAGGAGTAACAACCTTAGTGGTGATAATTGTGATGGGGGACTTGATGCCAGCACTGCTAGTCACGCCTAGAAACAAGACAGGAAATAATAACAGGAAATAATGTGAGCTTGCTAATGATGCATAAAAAACATATTTGTTAGTAAGAAATGAAAGACATGAGCTTGTGCGATTTAAAACGCAGAAATAACAGGCTTGAGGAACAACTTGGATGAAAATCTCCTGATTGTATGAATTCTAACCAAACAATCAGATCAGAAGCAGACCTGTTGCACCTTGTAATGCAGACATGGGAATGGTCTTAATGATGGTGGTTCCTGGTTTGTTGGTGGTAGTTGGAGAGACACTGCTGATGCCCAGGATGGTGGGTTTGGTGCCAGTCCCTCCAGCCTGTGAAGTTGTAATGATTGTGGTTGGCTTGCCATCAGCAGATGTGACCAGTTTCAGGATGGTACCAGCAGGAAGAGGCGTCTTAGTCTAAGGAAAAAAAAGTCATGCATAAATTTCCCTTTCTTTAAATTAATAACACATATGTTTAGGCTAGAAATCCATGGATTTAAAATGAGCAGCAGTGCTGACCTGAATCAAAGTGACAGGACTGCTTCCGGCCTGTCCGGTGACTGCAGATGTTTGCACTGGTTTAGTCTGGACAACAGACATCACCTTCCCAAGGCTGGAGAGCTGAGAATACTAAAGGGATTAACAAATCAACATTTTTATTTCAGAAAAAAGCTGTTTTAAAGAGTAGCTTATACATATTTAATAACATTGCTTTAACACTTGTGTACTGTTCAAATTGACTACCCTTTCATTATGTTTATGATAATTGCCAGTTGACTTCCATTATAATGACATTTCTAATTGCAAAGCACTGACACCATATAATCATACATTCTTGATTATTAGTGATTTTCCCTGAAGAGGTAAAATGTGTCATATTTACTGTTGTTCATCAGTTGGCAGCATTACCCTTTAGATAGGCTCGTGCAAAAAAAAAAAAAAAAAAAAAACATTATGGTATTTATATGGAGTTCTATGAAGTAAAACAGCAGATTATAGTGCGTGTGCGTAAATATACTATGTCAGGGTTTCTGCAGGTGTAACAAAGTTACATTGAAGACTTTAAGACATTTTTAAGACAATTATGAATGAAACTTTAGACTCATAACAGGCTAAATGTGAACAATTTTTTCAAATAACCCAAATGGAAAAGATTTTTATTTGCCCTATCATTTACAATTATAATTTAATACATTTATTAATACAATAATAATTTCATAATACAATATTTTTTAAATAGTGTAAAAACAAGCAAGCTCTACTTGTGTCCATAGACTTTTTTCTTAAAATAATAAAAAAATTAACAAAACGTTTTAAAAGTTTTAAATACTACAATAAACAAAATCTATGCACAGCAATCTGTCCATGTTGGTGTCCTCAGCTGTAAATACATGGAGCACTTTTAAACAAATGTTATTGTAAGGAAAATAATTAAACCATTATGGTAAACAGAGTTAAAAATGACCTTTTAAAATAAAGTTTAAATTTTGTTGAGATGGATTGCTGTATGGATGTTGGCCAGATCAGGTAGCAATAGATTAATACATTAAGACCCGATTAAAAAAAGATTTAAGACCCACAACACAAAATTTCAGTAAATGTATGACTTTTTAAGGTCTAAAACTTAGAGATTTTTTATTTTAAAAAACAGCCCCGAACATGGCGAAAGAGTAGTCAATTTGCCCAGAGTGTATTGTTGAATTTTTTTTAAATTCGCAAGCATTTTCCTAAAATATGTGCATCCCATTTGCTGAAACAGAAAAATTTGTGGCCAAATTAAGACTCAAAAATCACCCTAAAGTGAATTTATTTTCTGTTATTCCTAAGACTATTATAAAACTAAAGTAGTATTACAAGTGATTATTTCATTATGTGTATACTTTACAGTCCAACAGCTAATTTACAAACACTTCCCCTTCACTCACATCTTGATTTCACAAATATACAATAATATCCAATCTCAAGTCAAATGCAGAACAGAGTTTTTGTAGAGCAAATTTACTGTGATCCTAAACACTGCAATAAGAAATGCAGCATGTTTATTTCAATTAAATCACAGGCACTTTCATTTAATAACTGCGCATAGCTATAAAGCACTTATTATTATTTATTTTACTCATATTTTAAAATCTAGCAGCCCTAATCTGATACAGAGAAAAAAAAGTCTGCTGTTCTTACCAGAGCACCACTGCCACCCATTGTTATTGGGCTCTTGACAAGTGTTATAGTTTTGGTGACTCCACCAACCATGGTGGTAACAACTTGGGCCTGCTGGGCTACGGTTACTGTGCCGGATTTGTGCACAGTGATGATGGGGCGAGTCGGGGTGTTGGGGGTCGAGATGGCGGAAGTGCCGACCTGCGCTGCTGCTGTTTTTAGCATCCGAGTCGCAGGATTAGTAACCTGGAATGGAAAGTAGGAACAAAGACGCATTAAATCAGTAGACAGGACGTGAATAATCTGGATGATTCATGTCCAGAAGGATGCCAGAAAGGGAAGTTGATTATGGTTTTATTTTAGAACTCATTACACAAAGCAGCTTTTGCTGACCTGCAGGAAAACATCTTAATTTAATAATAATCCATTTTATCAGTCAGATGGTCTTTCTATTTCCTGAATATGCTGCACAGTACATACTGTTTGCTTAAAGGCAACCTATTATGCCCCTTTTTACAGTATGTATGTGAGGTTTCAACTTAAAATACAACACACACTATTTCTTATAGCTTATTGAATCTACCTCTTTTATGCCGGGTTCAGACTGCATCATTTTAGCCCAACGTTATATGTGCAGCTGTTATCTGCAAATGGACATGTTGAGTAGGTTGTTACATAAGTCTACACGTGTATAAAGTCTAAAGTGTATAGCAAGTAGTGATGTTTGTTCCACAATTACTATCAAATGTTCAGGAGATGGATTTGTTTCTGTGTCGGCCTGTTCTGGTGCGCAGTGCTCTGTAGTGTCCACAAGAAGTTAATAGCTCGAAGCAGTGTGCTGGGTGTGAGGAATCCAGAGGGATTTTGTCAGCCCTTCTGCTTGCTCTGGATAAGTACAGTTTTTGGAGAGGGTTTAGGGAGGGTTGTACCAGTGATTTGCTTAGCAGTCCGAACTATTCAATGTAGTCTTTGGAAGTCGGATTTGGTAGCTGAGCTAAACCAGACAGTTATTGACGTGCAGAGAATGATTCAATGATGGAAGTGTAGAACGGTTTCAGCAGCTCCTTTGGAAGGTTGAACTTTCTCAGCTGATGAAGGAAGTACAGACTCTGTTAAGCTTTTTTTTTGACAATGGAGTCAATGTGAGTGTCCCACTTCAGGTCTTGTGAGATGGCGGTGCCCAGGAACCTGAATGACTCCACTGCTGCCACAATGCTTTCCTTCTCCTGTAGTCGACTACCATCTCCACTGTTTTGAGCTCCAGGTTGTTGTGACTGCACCAGACAGCCAGCTACTTAAGGCTGATTAATACTTCTGCGTCAAGCGCACGCATATGTTACAGTGCAGCCTACGCAGGTCGCATAGCCCTTGCCGACGTGCACCTCTCAAAAACTGTTACTGAAAGTTGCAACAATGCATAGCGCTGACGAGTGCGGGTGGAGGTGAAAGCTGCGCGAGCCCACTTCAGCGAGTGTTTACAAGTGTGGAGTCCTATGACGAAGCTCCGGACAGAGACTGATGTTTTGTGTTCACCTTATGATTAAAGTTGTTGCATGTCCGTCGATTCCAGCCTCAAAATGAGTGAGTTTAAGCCACTTGTACATTAAGGTAGCGTACAGAAAAAACAAAACACCAGCAAAAAAAAAAAAAAAAGACGACACAGAGGAACAAACACCTACTGCCAGGTAGCGTCTTAAGTGTTATTACAGAACACATGCAATGCGCAGAAGTATAAATGCACAGCAACAGGCAAGACAGGCGCCGTGGGGCACGCAAAAGTATAAACCAGGCTTTAACCTCCTGTCTGCAAGCAGAATCAAGTGGTGCTCACTGCAGAGCCATTTGGGCAGAGCTGAGCTCCAGCGAGGGGGAGCTTGAGCTCTCGTTCCTCCTTTCTTGCACTTCTTCTACGAGCGATGTTACTGGGGGTAGGGTTAGGGGTGGGGTTGGTGCACGCATTAAAACAGCTTATAGGAGGAGGAGCGAGAGCTCATGCTCCCCCTCGCTGGAGCTCAGCTCTGCTCAAATGGCTCTGCAGCGAGCAGTGTCTCAGCAGAATAGCCAATAGCCCCTTTCACACAGTGATACCGGTAAATATCCGGAAAATTTCCGGAAAGACTTTACCGGTATATTGAAAAAAGCGCTGTTCACACAGGCGAGAACGTTACGGAAATTTTCCGAAAGAGCATTCACACATCCATTCCAAACTACCGGTAAATTCTGACATCATTCACCACAAATGAGCTTTAAACGGCTGCGCTTGTTTTTGTAAACATTTGACTAAATTACAAACTCTGTGGATGATCAATATTGTGAACAACTTTCGCAGGATCACTTTCGCATGTCGAGATGTTCATAATATGTGCGTGTGCAGGCGCTCACAGGCTGTTTCACAGGCACAAGCAAAGCTTGAAGGTAAACAAACAACGGCTTATCATAAGCATCTCATCGATGATTATTTATACAGTTGGCATTAAGAAGAACATATAAACGTGATCTGACTAACTTCTAGCAGCTAAATGTGTCTGGAAAAATATTCAAAGGCTTTTATCCTCGCAAACCGCGCAGACGTAAATGCGTCTGACTGTTGTGATTGGCTAAAGCAGACGTCTCACGTCAGCACGTTCTAGACGTGCACGAGCTTATTACGGGAATCTTCCTTCTGCATTCACACAGCGCAGCATTCCGGCAAATTGCCGGTAATGTTACAACTTCTCTTTCCGGAAAATAGCCAGAACGAATTTACCGGTATTTTCAAAAAGGACCTGTTCACACATACAACCTTTCCGGAAAATTGCCGGCAATTTTCCGAAAAGGTCTGTATGTGTGAAAGGGGCTAATGAGTCGCCAACACCCATGAGATATTTGCCATGCTAAATATCTGGAGCTGTCTGTGATTCAAAATCATGCTGTGTGAAATGTGTTCAGATTGAAAATAACATCGGCTATCACCTACAGCCAATGAAAGAGCAGCATCCACTAGTATGGGTATCTACAGGCCAGCGGGAGGTTGGGGAAGAAGTTAAACAGGCTTCTTTTGGGTTTATTTGGACCCAAGTAATACAGACAAAACTAGAGAAAATTTGGCAGGAGCACCCGTGTCTGTTTGACTTTTCAACTGAGCAATACCACAACCAGGTCAAAAAAGAAAAAAGTTGAGGAGAAATTGCTAATTCCCTGCAAAAGTCAAATGAACAAATACGTAAATTTTTTATCTCGCTAAAGGCTTCTTCCCCATTATGTTGTTGATAACAAAAAATATACTACAACCTCGCATTGTTTCCATGTCACTTCTCACGTGTGTTTGGTTGTGAGACGGAGTTTGCGGACAAAGACAAAGTTGTCAGCAATTCTCCTTTTGTAAAGTCATGCAGTGTGGAGTGTGGGACCCCTTGTCGCCGATCCATATTGCAGTGTAAACACAGCAGTGAGGAATGCTAGCCCAGATAGTAATGCAGAGTGAAAACATCTCTGATGTGACTACTTTAAAACCGTGCAGTCTGAGCTCAGCATTAGACTTTGATCTAATCTGTGCCATTTATGTGACTGTCGCTTTAAATTCAAATGAGATGGTGCTTTTTCAAAAGAGGTCGGAGCTACAAATGCCTATGCATCAACATGGTGGCAGATTCAAAACAGGACTAAAGTAATCTCGGTGAAAAACTGAAAAGAAGCGCATCCTAAAACTCCACATATATTTATTCCTCTTAGTCGCTGACACTATCTTCAAGCAGGTGAAAACTAATGGCAGAGGGCTGCTTCTCACTCAGGGCTGTTTATTCTATTGAGAGATAAATTATCACTCTAATGGACAGGGCTTTCCCCTCTCTGATGACATGTACAAATGGAGAATGTCAATCAAAGTGTTTCTGCATGAAGAAATTTGTACCATGAGAGACTGGATATATTCACACACTGCTGCCACACAACTGTGTTTAAACCTATTATCAAAGTGATTTTTGCGTCCTTTAGAAGAGTCCGATCATGCAATCCGACACGTACCATAACAGGTGAAGCTACTTTGACAGTAGCTGGCAGAGTCGTGGATCCAGGGGTCACAGCGACGGTCTTCACAAGAGTGGCTCCGGCTGGAACATTTAGCACAGTAGTCGCGGAGGAAGGTGGGATCTTCTGTGTAGCGGCTGCAGCTGCAGCTAATGCAGCCATGCCGCTCATCTGAGGACTGCTGCCGATTGGCTACAGACCAAAACAACAAAGGGAAACAAAGGGCTTAAGTGCACATATAGACCAGACACTCTTTGAAACTCCATGTTCCAGAGATTCAGTAAGAAAAGCAAATGTTTACAAGCGATCACAACAATTCACATTGAACACACAAATATTGCACTGTTTTCCATAAATACTTCTTTTTGCGCAATATTGTACTGTATATCATATAGTATTTAGATTGTGTATAGTCAACTATTTATAGTACATGAATAGTTTTAAAAAAATTTCAAATGACCAGCCTTTTGTTCCTATTTCGATTTATGTTTATTTATGTAGTTAATGTATTTATTCAGATTAAATATGAATCATCTTGTAAAGCCTTTAAGCATATTTTAACATTAACTAATGCACTATTAAAATCCAATATTGTGCTTGTTAACGTGTGCTTGATGCAACGCGAGTTAATATGAGTAATCTTTAACGAACGTTATTTAACTTAAATAAACCTAACTAAGGTTTACGAAGATGAATAAGTACTGTAATAAATGTATTACTAATTGTTTGTTCATGTTAGTAAATGCATTAACATTAAATAATGGACTATTATTTTAAAGTGTACCTGATTTGTTTTTAATGTTCTTGTTAACCTTTATCGTCTCGTGCATTACTGACAAAAGGCTTGAAAATGCAATAAAATGCTTTTAAATTACAAAATACACTTCGCCAATTTAGCTTTTTCTATATATGATAAAAAAAGCTAAAAGTAAGCCCACTTGTCTGATTCAAACATTATTAATGAACCTTTAAAAAAAATCATTAAATTATTATTAATAAAGTTCAGAATCATAGAACATGACAAAATACTTCATTGCAATTTAGTAATGATGTTAAACTATTCTCAAACTTGCTTTCATTCAGATTAATCATGGAGCCCTAAAGGAAGATTTACATTGACAGTGAATGTCTTCATACCGTGCCCTGTGTGCTCTGCGCAGGAACAACCATACGAACACCTGCAGGAAGTGATGTAACCGTCACTGGGGATTTTGCTCCTGGTGTGGCCTGACGCACAGTAACGACTGAAGTTCCAGGGGTAGAATGAGGCGCTGCCACCTTAAGAATAGCTGTTAATGAAAACAATAATTGATAAGTTATTATAAGCAAAGTAGAATCACAAATATGAATATTTCTCTTTACAAGAAGCAGCCTGGTGCTGGACCCTTGTGACAAGACTGTGACGACGTGTTTTAACGGTCATCTACATCTTAAATCCTTGATTTATTTATTTATGATTTAATGCTAAATCAGCAGCATTGGATATATTCATTAGATATATTCATATTTTACATTTGTAGTAAATATTCAATGTATAATTTACAATCACAACGTTTTATTAATAATTTATTGTACAAAATATACAAATAATAACAACAACACTGATAAGAAGTCATAAGTTGTTTTAATTTCATCAACGATAAATACTCTAAAATTGCACCAAAAGGCTCTTAAGTACTTGGAAATTTAAAATATTTAGATTTAATATGTACATTTATGAAGCTATCCTTCGTATTACATCATCTTTTTATCAAATTACAAAAAAAAAAAAACACGCGTTTCTAAAGTAGCATCTATGGCGGGACAGTGAATTTGACATTGTTCTCTCTTCTGACTGGTGTTCAGTTTTATGTTGGGTTCACTACAGACATGGCATGAACGGATAAATCACGATATTCTTGCGTAAGTAGACATTTTGAGCTTACTTGTTATATTCACGCATCAAATTCACTTCAATCGCACGTCAAATTTACTTCACAATAGGATTCGCGTCATGGGCAGCGCTTAGGTCTGCCAGGTGACTCTAGCTTTGTTGCTAAATGATTAACATGGATTTTATTGAGATACTAGGTGTGCTTCAAGTGCTTTAGGAAGGCTGAAAAACTGCATAGATTTGTTCGACACTGTGACTGAGTCCACTAGATTCTTTTCAGATCCTTTTGCAGCCTATGAGTTCATCAACTCCTCCAGAAACTATACCTGAATCACGGAGGCTTCCAGTGGTGTTTCCGACTAAGCCCAGCCCAGTTTGATGAGCTGTTGTCAAGTAAGTAAGTAAAGTAAGTAAAGGTTTATTTATATAGCACCTTTCCCAGACATTGAGTCACAAAGTGCTTTACAATAAGAGAAAACAAGTAAAAGAACAGAGGAAAATAAAAGAAGACATGTTAAAAAATATTAAAACAAATTAAAAATCCAAATACAGAAACACTAATACTGTTAATTAAAAGCTTGACCAAAAAGGTGTGTCTTTAAACGCTTTTTAAAAAGTTCAACTGATCCCAGAGTTCTCAGTGCTAGCAGGAGGAGGAGGAGGATTCATAATCACTCCCCTACAAGAGCAAGCTCATGATAGGTTAATGCAGTGCGAATGTCCACCAAACTTCAAACTCGAGTGACTTGCACGTTAAGGTCATCAAACCTTAACCGCTCAAATTTTCGCCATCTCATTCACGCGAAACGTACCACAGGATGTCTATTCACATCTTTGCATTGACATGACATGTAAATCACTCAAACTTGACTCTTCATTCACAAGACCGCCGTATAAAGCTACTTTTTTTGTTGGTTTTGCAAGTCATGAATACACTATTGGGTTTGTTTGTTTATTATTTAAGCAAATAAAAATGCATAAAAATGTTTTTATGGTACTCTCCTATTTACCCAACTAAAAGTATCTTTACACAGTAAAGGCGGTAAAGCAAAACCAAAACCTGAAGCGACATATATGTTAAAAATGTGCATTTACACAAACCATTTAATCTAAGCATCTTTACACTGAATACTGAGCTGACCTGCTTTCAGGCCACCTTAAATCATCTGTGCAAAGATGACTTATGACAACTTCCGCTGCTGAGAAACCTGGAAATGTGAAAGGGCTTTTTGGCCAAAAATGACATTTGTACCTGGTCCACGAGGAGAGGCGGCGAGCGGGCTGGTTGGCATGGCGGTGGTTGGGGAAGGGACTTGTGGCACCAGTGTGACCCCAGAGAGTGGCATACTCTGAGCTGCAGGAGCAGCGGCGGCAGGCACCGGACTTTTGGGTGAGTTTACGGGTACAGACGGCATAGGGTTAACCGTTGGTGACGTGGCAGCTGTCGCAGCAGGGATGTCGTATTTTTGCAGCTGTAACAGGTACGTGTCTGCCGTAGGAACGGCACCCCAGCTCACCTCCAGAGAATTGGTGTTGGCACGAACCAGCTGCACACGGGACGGAGGCTGAGGACGATCTGATAATAACAGAAAGAATAATGCATATTGTTAAATATGCTAATACATTTTACCAGATGGATAGAAAACTCTATTTGTGAAAAATGTATACAATAAATTATTAAATTATATATATATATATATATATATATATATATATATATATATATATATATATATATATATATATATATATATAGATATAGATGTATATATAGATATAGATATAGATATAGATATAGATATAGATATATATATATATATATATATATATATATATATATATATATATATATATATATATATATATAAAAAATATCATATTTTATATATATACACATACATACATACATACATACATACACACACACACACACACACACACACACACACACACACACACACACATATATATATATACATATATACACACACACATATATACACACAAACACACACACACACACACATATACATATATATATATATATATAATGCTGTCAAAATTAGTGCGTTAACACATGCGATTAATTTAAAATAATTAACGCATTAAAAAAAATTACGCAATTAACGCAGTTGCTGTTTTTTATTTCCTGTTGTGGTCGACGTGCGTTTAACATGCAAAAAAATATGGATAAGGCCAAGGAAGCGCTTTTTGAAGGCAAGTTTCAGTATAAAACAATTAATGTGGAATTACCAGGCTCTCCAGCGTTTTCTCCAGAGTTTCATGCAATTTCGGGCGTTTCATTTTTAACTTTCGACTTCTCTTTTTATGGAGTTTGATACCGCATGGCGAACAGAAAGAAAAACCTCCGCATTTCATGACTCGTGGTCCTTTAAGGTAGACAAAAATCGCTGCTTACATGGTAGACTCTTAATACGAGTATTATCTTAATCATATTAAAATCAGAGAATTATTGTCTATGTGTGTGTCTGTGTGCGCGTTTCTTAGCAACAAACCTGCATAAACGTCCGTAGCCACCAAATCAAAAAGTTATGAATTGCCGTGAGATTGCGTTGCACTCTCAGCTCGCATCATTCAAAAGAAAAGGGCCACATTGTCCCCCGATAATGTCAACAGACTGGACTGTCTTAGCAACTGACTGAATGTAAAAGAGGACTGAGTAAAATTGTTTCTACTTTATAATTAACGTTCTAAACTCAGAGCAATACAACTTTACAATGGGTGCAATTGTTTGTATTCAATACTTTATTATTATTATAATTTTTAATTTTCCGTATCTGCACTGCCTGTACTTTGGCATTTTTTGCAGTCCAGTTAGAATCCAACATGGAAATAATTTTTTTTTCTTTATTGATATTGATTGTTTTGAAGTTCAATTGGCATTAACATGCCTGTGTTTTAATTTCTTTATTAAACATGGCCGTCAAGCCAGGATCTTGATGGTTAACATGTTGTTTACATGAAGAAATCTGTTACAAGTTAAACAAAAATTCTAATAAACATTTATATTTTGAATTTAAAAAGTTTTTGTCTTGCGTTAAATTCATTTTACATTTGAACAGCCAAAATTACAAATTTCAGTATTATCAATGAAACGTAATTAATCTTTGTTAAAGCTATGATTGTTAGTTCCTTGTGCCTGAATGCTTTCAACTCACTTGATATATTTAACAGAAAAAAACTAATACAAACTATACATACACATTTAAACATTTAGTAAGTGTTTCAAACTGTGGCTTCTGATCAACAATAATCCCTACTTGACATTGGGTTAGATCCATGCACATTGCGATGTTGATGCTAAAATGATATATTCTGCAGCCATATGAAGGCATCTTCTTCTACACTGAAGTATCAGCTCAACTCACCGGTCTCCAAATACCACAGATCTTTGCAGCAAACTTGGTTGTTCCAGGCTTTGCGGTAACCATCTCGTCCACTCCAGACATACAGCCTGTTGTTTATCGCCACAGAACAGTGTCCGGCTCTAGCCCTTGGGATATTATCCTCGAGAGTGTCCATCAAGATTGTTTCCCAGGACATCGAGTCTGAAAGAAAAAAGGTCAAGATCAGTCATGATAAAACATATAAGCTTTGTTGTGAAACATAATAAGCAGGGCCAGAAAGAATCTTCTGACTTCTTTATTATTTCCGCACAGATTTTTCAAAATTATCTATTGAAGATTTGAAGAGTATAGAGACTGAAAACGTAAATCAATAATGTAAAATGTTTATTTAAAAGTTTAAAAGGAAAACCAATCAAGTCAATTAGAAAGCTTGTATGCCAAACAAAGCTACAATAGGACTCAAAGAAAATTCAGAAAAAAATTACTTTACAAACTGTATTATACATTTATAATATCTGGCCTATGAAAGGTCTAAAGTCATTAAAAGACTGTTTATTGATGGACAATTTGTTTTGTTCCGACAAGTAAATGTCATGTTTCAAACTGCAAATTTTGATATCTTTAGATCAGTGTTTCTCAACTGGTGGGTCGACCACTGAAAATGGTCGCGGAGTGTGTGGACAAAATTACAACAAAAGTTAAATTTTTAACTCAATTTGGCTTATTTTGAAATGCGTGCATGACCACCCTACTGTTTTACATGTGAAATTTCATTTAATTATAGCAACAAATGTCGAAGCGCAAGTACAACCCGGAATATGTAAAGTATGGATTTACATATATTGACGACAAAAAAAAGACTTAAAGCCTCAGTGTGTCATAAGTAGCGAGGTGCTCTCACAAGAGAGCACAAAACCTTCTTAATTAAAACGACATTTAGAAACCAGACAACATGTTTTATTACCAGTTCAGTTTAGTTCATGCTAACTGAACCTTTCCTTACCCTAACCACTTTTTACAGTATTTGTCATTTTAACTTTGTAATATTTCTATAATTTCATATATTTCGTTAAATGACAGCAATAAAATATTGTTTATTTGTAAGTCTTGGTGATTTTCTTATGATTTATCTGTCATTACTTGTGTATGTAAACAAATAAATACAAATTAAGTATAATTCCTAAAATTGTTTTATAGTTCCTAAAAATTTGGGTCGCGGCTTGATGACCATGTAAAAATGTGTGTCCCATGGCCTAACAAGTTGAGAACCCCTGCTTTAGATATCTCCAGCTTCGAAGCCGTCTTTCTCAATGAGCCACATTTTTCATCACTACCTTCCTTCTCGACTCCGTTATAGATCTAAGCCCATACTAAAAGGGAGTTTCTGGCAAAATACATTCTGTAATTAATTTCTATAATGTGGAAGCCACAGTGCAATTAAAAAGAAAATGGATGCTGAATCTCGAGATAGAATAATCAGAAGACATGTGGCAATCCGTTTTAGAAAATATTCACTCATCTTCAATTTGTTTAAAACAGAGTAAGGGTGCGTTCACACCTGTAGATCGATTCTCTTGTTCTGAAACAGGGATTAAAATTGTTACAATGTTGCTCTTTGTTCTTGGTGCGCTTCGCTTTCTCACGGCAAAGTTTCTAAATGGATCAAAATAGCTAAAACAAGTCAAGTGCAGGTAAACTCTTCTCACATTGGTCAGAGCTCCGGCTCAGCTGTCATGCATTCTTATTTTAATTTATGGTAATGAGCAACAAGATCTTTAATCTTGAATCTTGACACCCAAAGACATTTTCACCAAATATAAATCAACAAATACATAAAAAGCAAGACTCTCATAAACAGCCTTTGTAATTTTCCTAACGGATAAACAGCTCTCATTAAAAGTTCAGCATGCTTTTACTTTCGTGTTTGACATGCAACACACATTTACCGGTAGGAATGACAACCCGCCCAACTCGCAATTCTCTCTTTATACTGTGATACAGTCCTGGTTCGTTAGTTTGTTGGATCATTTTGCTTTCTCACTACAATCGATCCGCTCCAGAGTTTATTTCAATCAAGCCAAGACCACCTTATTCAGGCTATCTCAGAACGATTGTTTTGGCACGGATCAGAGCACAACTGCTGAATTCACATATGCCAAACAAACCGCACTAATACCCAAGTCTAGGTATGAAAGCACCCTTATACAATTTAAATTAGTACACAGATTACATTGGTCCAAAATGAAACTAGCTAAATTTAAACCAAATAGAGCCTAATTGTGAACGATGTAACGTTGAGTCAGCTCAGCCATCTCGGATGTTTTGATCTTGTTCAAAACTAAAGGACCTCTGGCAGCTAATACTTAAATTTCTCTCTGATGCACTAAATACTAACATAGAACATCATTTTAATATTTGGTATTAAACAGTCCTCATGTTTTAATAGAAGATAACTGTGATTGGCTTTGCTACACTTTTGGCTAGAAGATTAATATTGCTCAAATGGAATTAAAAATTTCCCCCAACCTTTCAGCTATGGCTCATGGAACTTTTAAACCACTTGACCTTAGAAAAATTACGATACACTGTAAGAGGTTGTACTGATATGTTTTTTCTCACTTGGCAACCTGTGACAGGTTTTGTTTGTTGTCTAAAAAACAAAAGAAAAAGTGAAGAGCTATTTGTACTGCATGTTTCATATTTAACATGTTCAATAAAAACATCTTTGAGGAAAAAAATACATTTAAACACATATACAACATAAGTAAATACTAAACGTGAAATGGAAGGATCTACATTCTGCTGAAATCTGAAAGCCTACTAATAAACAAAGGCAGCATTTTAAGGCAGCATCAGAAGCCATTCTCCTAACCCCATATAAAGCCTTCTGCATTATATTTGACTCAGACATATGCTGAGCTAGTGCTGTGCTGAAAGACATCATCATGCATTGATGACAGCCAGAGATATCTGCATATAACTCCTTTGAAGATATCTAGGTGATACATGGCATGGAAGTAGATTACCCAGATTTAAGCAGGCCAACGTGTTTGTGCACTTCCATTCCTTCTCGTGTGTTGCTACTTTGACGTCGTCCATAACCAGAGGGACCCATCCACCAAACACAAACATCCTAGAGAAACACAAGACCAGAATTAGAACAAATAGTCAACATGGAGGACATTCACAACTATTTTACTTCTGTGACAAAAATAAAACAAACAAACTGTAAAGAAGTACTAAACTGCACACAACTGAGCACAACAGTTCTTTGGTTATATTTGGGTTTATTTATTGCAACATTTAGCAACTTATGGCTATTCCATGGCAAGATAAAAATATTATACAATATTATCTTTAGATCAATGATACAGACTTAATAAATAGTAATAAATACAATTTACATAAAAAAAAATTTGATATAATTTTTCAGTTTGTGATAACTTAAAAATGTTCATTTAAAACATTCATTAAAGTGCTCTTTGTTTTCATAAAATAGTAAATATGTAGTAAAATGTATATTTATTCACTCATATTTTATTTATATTTTATTCAAGAATAAAATACATAAGCAAGGGCAGTAAACAAAGAATTTAAATGCCACATAAGGCAAGGGTTAACTACAAATGTATTACATTAACACAATAGCATAGCTAGTCCTTATTGTAACTAATAAATGAATAATAAATAGTAATAATAAATAAATAATGCTTTAATCTCCACTTTAATGCTGCATATAGGCATATGCCAATATTTAATCATTCAATACATTGTGATAATAAACCTACTACTATTGTGAGCACTTCAAAATATAGTAAATAATTAGTTATCAGTTAAACTTTTGGAGTGCTTTTTATAAGTATAGGTATATTCACATTGTATTTAATGTGGAGTTCATAACAGCACCAAATCATTTTTGGGTTAGCTTAATAGTTCGAAGATATGTTAATCTGACCTATTACATGCTGAAATATTGATCAAAAATTATTTGACTAATTACAGAGCTATTGTACGTTAACATTGTGCATTAAAGATCCAAAAGTTAAGTCAAACTGTATATAAAGATATTACTGGCTTTTTAATAATATAAAACATTTATAAGGAATGAAATTATCTTTCATACATGCTTTATATTGCATTCATACTAGGCCTGCACAATATATTGTTTCTGCATTAATATCGCCTGCAATATTTACATAGCAGGATTTGCAATGTTGAGTTGAATTATAATGAATCAGCACTATAGTTGAGAATATATGAGATTTGTGAAGTCGCTCCAAAGTTTAACCAAAACAGAATGAAAGTTTATCATTTGCATTTGTTTTAAGGCATTTCAAAAGACATTGAAGCATTCGGGCACAAAAAAGTACATTTGTAACTTTAATAAAAAATTGTTCTTCTGAATCACTAATAGAATAAGGTCTATGCAGTGTTATTTTACATTACATTTGATTATTTGATATCTGAAAACTTTGACATTCTAGAAAACCATGACGCTGTTTGTTTTACTCTTTTCTTTGCTCTCTTGTACTTATTTTTGCTTGCAATTTGTTGATTATTTTTTCATCTATGATTTGCACCCCTTCAAAATCAGCATCATCAGTATAAATTCTAAATTTCTTTCTAAAATAGCGCTTTTAAAACATCTGGTAAAATTGTATTCATATAGCAATACCTAATCTCAATAAAATTTAATTTTGCAATGACAGTAAATGTTCTGTAAATATGATGCAGCCATTCGTACTAATTCGTACAATTAAATCATTAATTTCTTAAATCATTAAGCATGTGCAATTTTCAGAAAAAAAAAACCTTTGAAGAATCCAATAATCAGGCAAAACGCATATAAAAAAGCACTTTGCTTTTCGGAACATTCATACAGAACTGTTAAATTTATCTACAGTATTTAAGAGAAGTACATTATAAGTAACTGTAATTAAACAACCTAAAAAATGAACAGTAATCACTTTTTCAGTGATTAAATTCCAGCAACTAGTTTCTTTGTAACTAATTACACACAACACTGCCCAATCATTTCCGATTTTAAAGACTAGATCAGGGGTCACCAATCTTGGTCCTGAAGGGCCGGTGTCCCTGCAGGGTTTAGCTTCAACTTGCCTCAACACACCTGCCTGGATGTTTCAAGTATACCTAGTAAGAGCTCAATTAGCTTGTTCAGGTGTGTTTGATTAGGGTTAGAGCTCAAATCTGCAGGACACCAGACCTCCAGGAACAAGTTTGGTGATCCCTGGACTGGATCCTTACGTTTAAATAAGCTTGAGAAAGTTTTAACTCACTTGTTGGTTATAGTGGTGGCCGAGTGGAGACTGCGGGGTAAGGGTGCTGCACCACTTATGGCAGGCTTGTTCCAGGTTAAAGTATCTATAAAACAGAGCACACATTTATTTAATACTACAGCATGGGCTTGAATTGATTTTTGCACATTTCTAAAGCCAACACTTTCTCTCACCGATGTCTAAAGTCCAGAGGTCTCCAAGACGGCAGCCACTCATGCCGCCGTAGATGATGAGACGAGACTTTTTGGAGGTTTTCTCTGTGTAGACGACAGCTGTGTGGCTCTCACGGGGAGGAGGAAGCACGCCGTATGTAATCGGGATGTCCCAGCCTGCTACATTAGACCCCGGGCGCAACTCCAGTGTGTAGAGGTCATTCAGGTATCTACGATCATAGGCACCAAGGTTGTTTTAGTAAGTAAGAAAATCAATAAATAAACAAATAAATAAATAAAACTAAGACTAAAAATATTGGTCAAAAACATTTTCTTTAACTGACATAAACTTTAAATTCACAATAAATTAAACTAATAAGTCACTGAAATCACTGAACTAAAATAAAATCATAATTATCAAAAACAAAGAGTAATTTCAGAGTTATGAATGTGACTTTTCCTGTAAAAAAAAACAAATTCAAGTATTTGTTAACATTATATTTGGATACAATTCTACAATCTCCGACTGCTCTTAAAGATCAAATTGCAGCATTATACATGAATATTGTGTCTCCAAATGAGGCTTTAAGTGACCAAATTAGAGGAAAGTGGTTAAAGGACATTGGTACTGAAATACCTGATGAAATATGGGAAGAGGCTCTGAGTAGAGTAAATGGACCCACTTCCTGTGCACGCCTCAATCTCATACCATTTAAAATTATTCAGCAAACCTACTACACAAAATGTAAACTCTTAAAAATATATCCTTTAACTGATGAGGTGTGTGATCGATGTAAAAGTGACAAGGCAGACTTTTTCTATATGTTCTGGGCTTGTCAAAAGTTGAGTGACTATTGAGCACAATTATTTAAAACATTAAATTATGACTTTAATTTAGAGATAACACCTGGTGTAAAGTTAACTATTTGTGATGTACCAGAAAACAAGATATTGTTGACAAACAAGAAAAAAAATGTTATCGGCTTTGCTACTTTGATAGCAAGGAGAAGAATAATACTTGAGTGGAAATCAGTGGCGTCACCTAAAGCTTCACTGTGGATATGTGATCGGCTTTATATTTTAAATTAGAGAATATATTATTTTTTCATATATTTTGAAAAAAGGAAGACTCTCTCCTTTATCTGATTTATATAAAGAAATCTGTGCAAACAGGTTTAACTGTGATCACCAATATGGTTTGGTTTTAGATATAAAGTCAATTGCAATGCTCATTTTGATTTGTCTTTTAGTCAACCGTGAGTTTGCGATGCAGTTTTCACTTTGCACTTAAAGTTCTCTGACTTCACCCCCTTGCCAAATCAGGGCCACAAAGTGAAACGCGCAAAAACATGAAGTGCAAAGTGAAAACAGCATCACAAACTCAGTTGAATACACGCATTCAACTCTATAATGTATACACAAATATTTCAGATTTTTTTTTCACTGGTTGATTTTTATTTGCAGTTCTTTTTATGTTTGCAAATTTTATTTTATTCTCTCAAAAAATTATTTTTGGCTTTGCGACTTTTAAAGATTTGCATTTATTTCTTTTTGCTCAATACTTTATTTTTTGTTTGTAAAATGTTATTTTATTTTGCCAGTATATACAGCCCTAAATTGACCCCATAGGTTTGCACAAGGTTTAGGTTGTGTAAACATTAAACTTTGCTCTGGTCGACACTGGACACGTTCTTGTAACTACTGAACAAGAAATACTAAAACTGAAGAGCCAAGAGAGAGATTTGATTTTATTGCCATATCAGCTTCTCTGACTTTGCAAAAACAGATTAAATTTACAAACAATCATAAATATCACTTTTCTATTAAAAAAAGGTATAGAAAAATAAAAAGGCATCAACAGCAATACATAAAATATGATAAAAACCTAAAACAGTTTAAGATTTACTTCTAATAAATATATCTACCATTTTTGAAAGACATTTATAATTATTTCCTTTAAAAAGTCTCTTTATAATTTTCCAAAAACCTTAAAAATAGGGCATTTTGAAAGTTTCTTTATCAGTTTGATTGCTTATATAAACGTTAAATAAAGATGGGTTCACAAAATAAAAACTAAACTAACAAAACCAATAAAGGAAAACTAAAACTAAACTAAAATTTACTGCAAAACGTAAAATAATATTGAAAATATAAGGTAAAACTATAATAATCTTGATAAACACCAACAACTGCATTTTGGATCTGCAGCTCAAACAACAACAAATGCACTTTGTATTTACCTTGGAATATTGTTTTTGGGATCTTCGCTGTCATTTGCCAATCCACCAAACAAGTAACACTTGTTTCCAACTAGAGAAAAGCTGTGGCCCAGACGAGGGCATGGTGGTGGGCCATTCTTAGGGGCTTTGGGCTTCAATCGTTTCCACTCCCATCTACTAGCCTGTTTGGATTATTTGACAGAAACAAATAAATCAATTACAAAACAATAGATCTGCATTGAAGATCCAATGCAATGAAACCAACAGCTCAATTATTGATAATGGGCTATATGCACAGAGACTCTTAATTTTCAGCTTCCAGTAAACTGTTGAGCTATAACAAAATCACCGTTTTTAAGAACTGATTTCTTTAAATATCAGTGACAACACTGCCTGATTGATGTACAATTCAAAGTGGTTCTCAGACCGGACATGAAGCACTGCATTAATTTCAATTTTCCCCCATCATGTCTTTTAAATATGGGAATTTGTTTTTAACCAAGTATTTCCAATGGTGTTTCTGCACTCGTCTGCTGCTGTCTTTCATTTTGTTTTATGCTTATTGTAGAATTACATTACAACATTACTGCTGTAAAAGAAGCTCATGAAATTGAAAATATTGACATAAACCTTTCACCGGTCTAGAAGGCTGAAAACACTAGCTCTGCATAATGCCCAATTGAAGACGAAGCTGATAGTCTTACTTGTAGTTCATACAGATCGTTGCTGTACTTCCCGTACTCAACCATGCCCCCGAACACAAGGAGTCTGGTGCCATCACACACAAATCCATACGCAGCACAGCCGGGAGGAATGTCACCCCGGACAGCCGGAATAAACCACTGATTGGTGGCTGTTGGGAAACAGATAGTTGTGTCATTGTGGTTTTGATGAATACATTTCTTTCAGCTCTGTGTAGCAATGCACTATTAATTCTTCATTTCAGCACAGGATTGTTCAACTAAAACATTACATTTTTAAGTAAAATATACATTATATTAAATCTAAAATTTAAAAAACTTATTCAGGTTTTCTGAGGGTTTCACAGTAGGGCTGGGCAGTATATCGAGTATCAATATGATTCCCCAACGCGATGGGTAACTATCCAAAATCGTTCATACGATATTGTTTGAGGCCACACGTGCGCATTCTGGGCAAAACAGACCACTCCAAGGTAGCATGCAAGCTCCGCTTTCACAAATGTGCATGTACGCAAATGAATGATTCACTCCATGAGTCAAACAAAAGATTTGTTCAAAACGAAGGAATCGTTTAAGAAAGAAACATCACTGACTGGACATGGAGGAACTTGCAGTGCCAATGTTGTATCTAAATCTGACCTTCCGGATAAATCTGACATCACACAGTGCCTGCAGCTGTCGCAGCAGTTTAACAAAATCCTTTTATCAATCATTTCTTCCGTAATTGACACCAAGAACGGACATAGAAGTCTTGTCAAATTGACAAGCAGCACCTGAAAGTTTTCAAAAAAATTAAAAACGACAAATCGGGAGTAATTTATACAGCATTTCGAAAGTGAAACCACCTCATATTCACTCATTAGAAGTTCAGTATTTATTACACGGTGCTCTCTTCTTTACGTTTACGTTATCACACATTAAGCTCTGTCTGTTATAATGACTGTTTACATTTATATGCATGATCAGCATTTCTGCATGAGCATACTCTGAAACAATTTTGTTACTTCTCACATCTATAGTCTATTTGTTTTCATCTCCTTATTTAATATTTAGTAAAACAAGTTTAGTCAAAACAAAAGAAAAAAAGTGTAGGATTTTTTACATGGAGTGACAGACTTCTGTTTAGATATCTTCAATATGTGCACTGTTTATTAATTGGGCACAATACATGCATGTAAATGTGTAACTAAAAACATATACAGCTGATTTATTTTTGTTTATAAATCACACAACTATAGTGTACAGGATTATTTACAAAAGCACTGTAATTGTGACATAAAATACTGTGTGTTTTATATTTACATTTATTGTGGTGATTTTCTATCCTACAATCTTTTTGTTGTGTTGCTATTTAAGTGTGTTCTTATTTTGCTTTGACAATGTAGCTGTTTCCTATGGTTCTGTTTACTCTGTTATTTGCACAGCAGCACAGTCGTGCGGTGTGTAGTATTAAGCAGGAAAAAAACCTGTAGTCTACTGTATTTATTTATCAAAAAAATTTGAATTTGAAGTCACACATTTTCCTAGATAACTGAAAAAGAACATTTGACCCTATCGGTTTACAATATGATGCCTGTTTTTCTAGGCTTTATTGGTGATAATGGTCAGGAATGTTGGCCTATTATTGCCTTTTTAGCATATCAGTAGAGGACAAACTAGCCAGACAATGCGTATATTGTTGAGTGGATTAAATTAAAAATGCCGTATTTCTTAGAAAGTAAATTTTGTTTTTGCTTTTATTCTGGTCATAATAAAAATTCGGTTGTCATTAATATTTTAATAAACTTTAATAGGTTGAACTGTCCGAGATATGAACAAAAGCAAGTGATGCATCAAAGTTTGATTTAAAGAACTTTGAATGGTTATAAAAATCCCAATAATCATTAAAATAATTAAGAAATTTTAAAAAATTGTTTAAAAATCTTGAATGATATTAATAAGACAAGACGCAGTTCCAGAAACTTCCTACTTTCTACTGTTTTCCCAAAAAGACAGTCAGATAGTTGCAGCTCATCCAGAACGCTGCGGCCAGGATTCTTACCAGAACCAGGAAATCAGAGCACATCACACCTGTCCTCAGGTCTTTACACTGGCTCCCAGTTACATTCAGAATAGATTTTAAAGTATTATTACTGGTCTATAAATCACTAAATCGCCTAGGAGCTTAATACATTACAGATATGCTCACTGAATACAAACCCAACAGATCACTCAGATCATTAGGATAGAATAAACTAGAAATTCCAAGAGTTCAGTCAAAGCAGGGTGAATCAGCCTTCAGCTACTGCGCCCCTCGCTGCTGGAATCAGCATCCAGAAATGATCAGATGTGCTCCAACATTAGGCACATTCAAATCAAGACACATCTGTTTAGCTGTGCCTTTACTGAATGAGCACTGAGCTATGTCCGACAGATCACACTTATGTCTTTCTTTTCTTTTTCATTCTTTTATAACCTGTTTTAATACATTTTAATCTCTTTTTAATCATTTTTATTGATTGTTTGTTTTTTATTTTCTTATATTTGTCTTTTTTAATCTTGTTTAAATAAAGCACTTTGAATTGCCACCGTGTATGAAATGTGCTATTTAAATAGCCTTGCCTTACTTCTGTTTATCCATCTGACTTTACGGTCAGTTTCTTTTGACCGCCCCCAGTCGTTTTAAAGAATATCACAACAGCGAACACATCAAATATAAAAGCATCATTCGTTTCATGAGGTGCACGCGCAGTCAGCGAAGGTCCGTGGCGCGGCACCAGAAGAAAGCATAGAGCCAGCTTAACATTTAACGGGGGCTCATCCAGAATAATTTAAATTATAATAGCCTCTGTATGTCCGTCTCAGGTTCTGCAAAACTATAAACAGTTTCTAAATGAAAAATAACAAAACTCAATACATAATATCTTATACCACAATCTTGAAAACATATTCAACAGTATTTAACGTGTACTAAAATAACCAAAACTTGATCACATTATCAAACCAACAAAATTTCTACATATAAAACCATTTTAAAACTATTTAAGCAGCCATTAGAGAAAACAGAATGTCGATATGGGGTCTATATACAACTATATCCAAGGAAGAAACTAACTAAAAACACTAATGAACCAAATTAACTTGCATCACTTTTTTTTTTGAAAACAAGTGTATTTTTCCACACACACACACACACACACACACACATATACATATATATATATATATATATATATATATAGAGAGAGAGAGAGAGAGAGAGAGAGAGAGAGAGAGAGAGAGAGAGAGAGAGAGAGAGAGAGAGAGATTACACGCATCTACTTGAATGATGTTTCCCAGATAAGCTTTGCTACATTAAAAGTAAATTTAAAAGAAATTGTGAATTACTCTCCTCAATTCATCTTAAGTGTATTTACATGGCAATGCGGGAAAAAATTATGGGCGGGGCCTGTATGTTGTGATGACGTAGGCGGCGTTCTTTTTAAACCCGCCATTTCTCTTTGCATTTTTTTTTTCTGGCGTGCCAGTTCCAGTGCTTGGCTAGTGCTGTAGCGTTAGCTAGTTAGCCGACACTTCAACACACAAACATGTTAACGCAACACAGATCAGTTCACGGTGCACACAAACACCACAAACCTCTGATGATGCACTCAAATCAAATGCACTGTCGTTAGCGCAAGCACAGCCCCTACTTAATACTGTGGGATCTACTGATGTACACAACTGTTATGTTTGTGTGCACATTCTTTAAAGCTAGTTAGCTTATGTAGCTGATCGCTTATGCAGATTTTGTGTAGCCGCTAACTGCGCTAATGCATCTAGCTAGAGACATTAATGGTATATCATATCGGAAATGGATGCAAAACAAAAGAGCTTTGTGCATTTGCATATACGCAACGCAATCTTTCAGCTGTCAAACAGCGTTTGTAGTCAAAACCAAAAAAACAAATGCGAACCCCAAGAAAAGCAAATCAGGCTAACAACATAGCTAGCTAACGTTAAATACAACAGGATCAAAACATAAATGCCTGCAAAAAACAACAACACTGCCTTTATTACAAAATAATAGCATGCTCACCTGTGTTGTAAACGTGCAGCTCATCCACAATGCCTTCGTTTCCTCCGCCGAACACCACCATCAGCTCTTTAATGGCCACAGCTCGGTGTCCATGTCTCGGGCGAGGAACCGGGCCAGACCAGCCCAAAACCCTCTTCCAGCGCGGCTGCAGAACCGAAGTGCCTGAAGAAGCCATGTCCACTCCTCTAGCGAGACACAAATCCCACGCAAAGCGCTGATTTTAGTTTGAATCTCAACAGCATTCGTGTGTCAAAGCCCCTGTGCTAACTGGATTAGCCCGCTAGTGCTTGATAGCTTCGCGCGTGCTAACTAGGTCACCAAAATGCGTTGCACTTCTTTGCGTTAATATGCCAAAAAGCTAGTCGAGATACTTTTAAAAGCGGAGTTACGATTAATATTAGTGCTTACGCGGTTGTGGAATTAACAATATAAACCGGAATTAATGTTGGCCGGTTAGCATGTTAGCCGCTCAAATCTACGCGGACCGCCATTTTAGCGGCAAACAGACGCTTTTTATCACGACAAGAAAATAAATAGACAGACGCCGGCGGCTGAACGGACGCGGATTCCCGGCGTAAATACGGAGAGTATCGCGAAACACACAGCAGCACATGCAGGTGGACTCCTGTACATTTTTCTTCACCCTCGGTGCAGTTGACGAAGTGGGTTTGTTGTAGCTAAATTTCTGCTGGAGAAAAAGAAAAGCGAGATGAAGATGTGTATGCCGCCATCTTGCAGAGGCTAGCTATACGCTACCAGCACGAGAGCCTAGTTAGCTGCTAAGTGGCTAAGCTAACACAACCAAGCTAGTGAATGGAAATGGGCGGGGGGAGCAGTCATAAATGGGTGTCGGAAAATAAAATAGTTTTTATCATACAAGCTATATAATAAAAGCTGCACTGATGTAAATAATAATACATATAATTATAAAATAAAATGGACGGCGGAAAAAGTGTTAAAATCAAGCGAAATGAAATGGGAGGTGAGAATAACAATAATACACATAATAATTAATGCAAGTTAGAAATCTTTACATTAAACAAGCTAACGTTACTGAATAAAAAGGCTGATGAAAATAGCGATGATAATAATATTAAAATGGCAATTTGCTGATTATGAGACAAAGTGGGCGGTGAACAAAAAAGAGATTTAAATTAAACACATTTAAGCAAATGATGGCAAAATAAAACATTTAAATCAAATTAAAGAATTTGACAGCAGAATAAAATAGTTTTTTTAATAAAGGCACGCATACTAAATCGCGTGGGTAATATTTAAATTAGTTAAAGGGGTCAGAAAACGGATGTATTAAAAATGCGCGTTGATACAAATGGGTAAAAAGGTTAATGAATGTTTCTGTGATCTGTGTGGATTTTTCATGCCTCTCTGGTCTGGGTGCCGCCATCTTGATAAACAAACCAAACAATCCACCCCTCTGGAAGAAAATCCCGCAGCGTTATAGTGATCCGTGCGCATATTAACACATAATACACATCGTGAAACCTTTAAAGCACACACTTTCTTTCTACAAACCTGCGCCGATAAAACCAAGTAGCAACTTACATTGGCTGCTCCTCTTGTTAGCTTTTAACCGCAATAGCACACTGACGTTAGCTCCTGTTCAACGAAATCCATAGGGCAGCCAGTTAGCTTCAATGCTACATAGCTCAATACAACACTGCAACTTCTACATACTCATGTGGCACAACAGAGAACAATGTTACACGTTTCATGTTTATTTACTGTTAGAATAGCAAGTGGCATTTATTTTTATTCGAGATGCACAGTTGAGTAACTTTCAGATTTGGTTTCGTCCCTGGCTGCTCGCTTTAGCTTCCCTCAAGAAAAATGGCGGATGTACCGTTAGCCGTCACAGAAAGCTGCAAAATACTCGGATTCTGTCATTTGCCTGGCACCAAATACTTACTCGTTCCGATTCGTTAACTTAATTTAAAAATCACGAGGGAGGACTCGGAGAACGAATTCAACCCTGGGTGCGTCTTTCACTGTAGAAATGTCTAACTCTACATCTTTTCATGCCGCCCAGGAAGCCGCCATCTTCTGACCAGCGCTTCAGCCTCTAGAGCGCGCGCCCAGCATCAACACAGGAATCATTACTGCCTTTCAACTTATTATGTTTATAATAAACCTTAATATATTATGAGTGTTGGATGCTTTGTTGGGTAACTTACTTCAAAAAAGCAGTCCTAAATAATTATTAATTCTGTCATTAAAATGTAATTTCAACTAATTTTTCATTACTATATCTGAAAAGGAACCAAGTTACACAATATGTAATTGAGTTACTTTAAATCGACATGATCAATTAGCTTTATTTAAAAAGTAACACAATAATAATTAATATTTTATGTATAAAATAAAATATTTTTTTAAAGTAATTACCTCAAAAATACACTACAAGTCTTGTCGACAATCCAAGTTTTAGGAACATTAAATAATAACTTGACTTCTAGTTGATCATTTGGTATCAGAAGTAGCTTATATGAAAGGCAAAGGCCTCTAGATTAGGCTTATTTGACCAAAATAAAATATGATCATGCCTTGATTTTTAAATAATTTAATTAGGACAATAAGGTCTGACTTTGCCTAGACAAAGGCTTATCACTTAACAGGAATAATGTCCAGTATAGAGTATAAAGTCATGGTGCAGTGGAAATGAATTAATATTGTGTCTGACTCCCATGAGCTTGGAAGACTGCATCCACACATCTCTGCAATGACTCGAATAACTTATTAATAAAGTCATCTGGAATGGCAAAGAAAGCGTTTTTCCAGACTCCCAGAGTTCATCAAGACTCTTTGGATTCATCTTCAATGCCTCCTCCATTTTATCCCAGACATGCTCTATAATGTTCATTTCGGGTGACTGGGCTGGCCAATCCTGGAGCACCTCAACCTTCTTTGCTTTCAGGAACTTTGATGTGGAGGCTGAAGTATGAGGAGCACAAATATCTTGATGCGTCAGGCTGTTGATGTTGCCATTCACTCTGCAGATCTCTCACACACCCTCCCCCCAAACTGAATGTGACCCCAAATCATGAGTGTTTTCTTCACCAAACTTGGCAGATTTCTATTACAATCTTGGGTGCATGCAGGTTCCAATAGGTCTTATTATGAATGTACATGTATTATGTATTTGTGATGATTGTGATGCAGTTCAACAAATAATTATTCGAAAAGAAACAACCTTCTGCCACTTTTCCAAATGATCAACTAGAAGCATATATATATATACATATACTGCTTCTCAGAGGTAATTAATCCAAAATTGTTGAATTTATTTACAGTATTTAAGGCAAATACATTAAAGGTAACTGATCAAATTACACAAAAATGAAAAGTAGTGACTACAGTAATGATAAAAAAAAGTCTAATGTAACTAGTTTCGTTACTGTAAGACTACATTGTTTAAAAATGTTGATTCTAGGCAAATTCTTTAAATGTAAGTGCACAAATTATTTTAAAAATAATTTTGTTTACAACTCAATTCATCGTTGTAATATATAGGGAGCTCACCTTCCAACTGAAATGTAAAATAAATGATTAAGTCAGGGTAAAAATTTGTAATAGATTTTATAAAATTATAAGACATTCACAATAAAAATCTAAAGCTGACAATTGGTTTGTAATAAAAATCAACAAAGAAACCTTAGATACACACATGTATACATGAAACAATATGAAATATATCATTTATTATGCAATAAACTAGCTTTGACATCCTGTTACTCTTAACTGCATAAACCAAACGATAATATAAAGCATGTACATATGAATAACCATGAGAGATGTACAGTTTTTTTGACATGATCAAAAGTAAATATTGTTTGTTTCAAAGGAGCCAACGCGATCTCATGGCAATTCGTAACTTTGATTCAGTGGCTAATTCGTACAATTTACTCATTCCCCAATGTTGGTTGGGTGCCACTCCTCCTTTGTAAAAATCTTACATATTCGTACGACTGAATTCATACGAATTACCAAGTAAACAGAAAAAACGTGAAACAGTTACGTTTCCTTTTGAGATCAGGCTGAAGGAGCTGATAAATAGCCATGTCTGGAATCAGTCTTTAAATTATTATAAGTCAGTGCATACAATAAACAACAACTTAAGATCATAAATCACATTCCTATTCCGTTATCACAAAATAGTAGATTTAAAGCCAATCCAAACAACACTTGTAATGATCTAAAATCCTCCACTCACTTTGTATAGGGGGAGGATGACTCCTTGTCCTTTCTGATGATTAAAAATAGTAATAATAATAAAACAATGTCTACAAGTTGCTTGGTGACAATATGTAAAGTAGACAAGCTTAAAAAAAATAGAGAAAAAAGTTTTAAAACCTGTCAACCTAAATAAAATGAGTGTTTAAGGACACAAAAGTAGAGCGCAACTTCTCGAACTAGAACAAAGGTTCCTCCTATGGGGAGGGGTAGAGGGCGTGGCCTAAATGAGCCCAGTCTCTATTGACCTTATTTAGCATGCTGAAGTGCGCTCATTTTTTTTTTTTTTTTTTGAGAACTTCTGATTCGGTTTCCTATGGGAGAAATGACTAGGAATAATAAATGGCAGAAAACACAAATTGCTTGCTGTGCAAAAAAGTGTTCATGACTGTACGGAAAAAATATAATAATATAAAAAGAAAATATCAGTTTGCCACATGAAGCAGCATAATGAGCTGTTTTTAACGTCTAAAAATCAATGGAAGTGAATGAGAGCGGACGTCTCGAGCCAAAAAGATTCCAATGGCTACAACCGCTTGTATATGGTCAATATCAGATGCAAGTTTTGTGAGTTTTTTAGCCTGTTTAGACCCTCAGTAATGTTAATTCTCTTTGAAGATTTGGAATAATATTATTAATAGATGGACCATCAGTGCCCAAATAAACAGTAAATGTAACAAAGTGTGGGACAGCCAAATAGAAGACAGAAACAGATGAAGCTTTGCTAAAAAAAAAATAAATAAATAAAAGTGGACAGAATATTTCAGATAAAAGTTGCTGAATTGGTATAGCTGTAGTTAAAATGACAAACATTGCACAGGTTACATCAATATATACCTTTGAAGTCAAAATTACTATCATTGCTATTAAAATAAGTTCTTTAAAAATAATATTTCCCAAGTGCTGTTTAACAAGGCCGTAATCTATAAACTTGACTCAATGAGAACTGGCAAAAACAACTAACAAAACATCAGACAGATCGCCAAAATAACAGGCGCATAAAAACAATCAATTACACACATTTATACTTTCGTCAATACACACAAGTTCAAATTTCAGAGCATTCATGATCTGTACCACATTTCACTTGGTATTACTAGACAAAAGAGTATAAATCTGCAGCTTTGGCCGAGGTATTTATGAATGATTTATAAAGGTATAGCTACCATAACCATAGTAATAATTTTAACAACATATCTGTTGTGCGTTTCTTTCTTTAAACAGCATCGGATGACGTCTCACTTGCAAACTCATCACTCTCTTCTGGCTCTCTGGTTTGAGCGCTCATCCCTCGGTCTAGAAAATAATGAAGAAGAAAAAAAAAAAGCATCAGCATATTCAATTCAATTAACGTGCCAGTACATTTTAGAAACATCATCTAGGAAACATCCATCTCAATATCAAGCATTTGTTGATTTGCATTTGTTTTTAAATGATCATAATTATAATCATAGCAATATTATACATGGTTGCATGCTATGGACTGCTGCCAGTTAAAGCCAAAAGGCCAGTGCAATTGTAGCTAAAACACAAAGAAAACTAAATTAAATGATTCATTGAATTTCTTTCTAACTTGTTAGAATGTTATTTAGTATTGACATGCTGTTGTAGTTTTTATTATGTATTTAAATTACTTTTTATCGTTATATTTTCCTAAAGGTTTGCTTTTAATCATTTTATACAATTTTTCTTTTCTTTTTTTTTTAAATTAAATTTTAATTTTTTTTTAATTCTTTTTTTTTAATTAAGTTGCGAAAATGCTATGTGGATTTAGTCATACATAATAACCCTGGATCACATTATTGAAAATAATAAAATATAAAAAAAATAAAACATACAAATAATAATGAAAGAATTAATACAAATAAATAAATTACATGAATAAATAAAAAATAATAAATAAATAAAAAATAAAAACCAGCAGAAAAATAATTACCATGTCATTATTTGTCCTGGATCCTGTCAAAAAATTTGATCCCTATGAAAATTGGTTTATTTTTCTCCAATTTTTCCATTTAAACTTTTAAAATAAACTTTAAATCATAAATTTTAAATAATAAAATTTTAAATAATGAATTTTTCAATGGGATAATTGAGATTGCAACAAAAGAATGTATGCTGGGGAGATTAAATAATGAGGGAGAAGTCCATAGAAATTGGCATCATTTCTGGCCACATTTAAAATTAGAGTTTAAAATGAGTTTGTCATACAAGGCAACTTTAATTTTCATGTATGTTTATGATATGTTGTTTTTCTTGGTGTTGCAGGTGGCTGAAGATGAATCATATGCAACTAATGGAAAGTCGTGAGAAAGTGTAGTGTGAAGTCTGTTCTTTGGCTGTTGAACAATAAAAAAAAAAAGCAGAATTACAAAAAAAAATTAATAAAAAGCTTACTTTCCATTTTGAAGAACTCCATCAAATGTATTTGCTTGTTTCTGTTTAAATCAATGTGATTAATCCTTACAATTACTCTTATTATTATTAATGTATTGCTAATTTAAATTGAAATCTGAATAATGTATTTATTAGGGCAGCACTGTGGCTGAGTGGGTAGCACAATCGACTCGCAGCAAGAAGGTCGCTGGTTCGAACCCTGGCTGGGTTAGTTGGCATTTCTGTGTGGAGTTTGCATGTTCTCCCCGTGTTCACGTGGGTTTCCTACGGGTGCTCTAGTTTCCCCCACAAGTCCAAAAACGTGGAATAGGTGTATAGGGTAAGCTAAATCGTCTGTAGTGTGTATATGAATGAGAGTGCAATGGTGGTTCCCAGTGATGGGTTGCAGCTGGAAGGGCATCCGCTGTGTAAAACATGTACTGGATAAGTATTAATAAATGGACGAGAAGGAAAGGAAAATGTATGTATTCATTATTATTACTTTGAGAGGTATATTCACACGCAGTAGACTTCCTATCATTCTGTCATGATTTCTGCAAGTTAAACCAGAGTTTTAAGCTCAAGAATAAACCTGGGGTCCATTTTTTATACCTTGCTTAAATGATCTAAGTTGATTTGACAGATCCTGGATTTTTCAATCTTGATAACTGATCTCTGGCTTATTTGGTTTTTTAAAACAAGTTCGTGAATCAGATTCAAATGTCTGGATGAACCGATCTGAGATCGCTGCGTGTGTTGTGAAGGACAGAACTATCGATCCTCGAAATCATGATTAGCAATGCAACGATTGGCTGACGGCACAGCAGCATAATGACATCATCTGATTATTATTCAATTGTCCATGTGAGCAAAATTACATAAAATTAGCAGTAAACGGTTTGTCAAATATGATACGCAATATCTTTACACAGGCAGGTAGTGCTGTCGCCTCACAGCAAGAAGCTCACTGGGTTGAGCCTCAGCTCAGTTCTGTGTGGAGTTTGCATGTTCTCCCATGTTCTCCCTGGATTCGCTAGGGTTTTCTCCGGGTGCTTCGGTTTCCCCCACAGTCCAAAGACATGCGGTACAGGTGAATTGGGTAGGCTAAATTGTTCGTAGTCTGTGAGTGTGAATGTGTGTGTGGATGTTTCCAATGCATTCGCTGCGTAAAAACTTGCTGGGAAAATTGTCGGTTCATTCCGCTGTGGCGACCCCAGATTAATAAAGGGACTAAGCCGACAAGAAAATGATTGAATGAATGAATAACTTTCCACCTTTGTTGTGGGCTGCAGGCTTTACACTTTCATGTGTCAAGAGTATTTAGTTATTCATTTAGTTTTACAGTTAACTTATTATTTCTCTTTATAAGTAGCCGGTTTCTTAATCAGTGTAAAGAATAACTGGATGTGTAAATTAACTTTGCATCACAAAAGCATTTTGATATCGTTAAAAGTGTCTGCAACTTTTGTAAAGCATCAAAACACCATATTAGCTGTCAAAACATGTTCATGCCAGAATAAATGTATTTTTCCTTTAAAATAAGTCGAATATTGTGCATGTCTATTATCATACACAAATTGTACTAAATTGATTGTACGAGTTTGTATCTAAAACCAGCAGGTGGGAGTCTTGGTACTTTTTTGGGAGATCAGATTGTTTTATTGATATATATTTTTTTTAACTTTGAAGTTAAAAAATAAATATAGACTATTTTCCCCAAGTGTATATAACTACTACTGTAAGAAAATATCAGCATTCGGTACATACTTTCAGTATTATCTTTGCTTGAACTGACCCAATCTAATCCTTTTTGTATGAAATAAACCTGCTTCAGAGCAGGTTTGAGCTACCAGAACTGTTGCCATGACAACAACTCTCGCATGAGTTTTGAAGAACTAAACGATCCTGGATCATGTCAAATCGTCAATAACCAAATCCAGCTAACTGAGTAATCCAGCTACGAAAAAACAGACCCCTGGTATCTCTGACTTGTGCGATGCCTAAAAAGCTACAAACATTTGCCACAGGCCAATCAGATGTTACCTAAACAGAAGCAATCATGATAACTGAGCTGAAAATGACTCGTATTCCCATAAAAACTCTTAAAAAAAACTGTCCCCCATAACAGCAGTAATGTCATCTGACTGTCAGTTTCAGCACTTACATAGTGAGGCGCCTGACGACAACAAATCAGAAGTTAAAATCCTCCCTTCTTCATAAAGCTCCATTTTCTGTACCAATCGCTGCCTAGCGGGGTTGATGATAACATTCTGTCCAGAAAAACCTGTGGATAATAATATTAAGATGAGAATTAGAGAGGAACAAAGCAAATAGTAAAAGACATCAACACTTTTGTGGAATAATAAAGAATTTTTAAAGTATAAATATTTGCAGCCTTGTTAAACATAAGGCACTTTTTTTGATTTGATAATTATGATAAAATATTTAGCCAAGGGTGTTTTGTGCCAGGCCTTTCTTGGATAAATGTGACACTAAAACCAACTTAAGCTATAGGCAAGTCACTGTCTTTATGAGTGATTCCATTCATCTTTATTTCTATTGCGATTTTTACAATGTAGATTGATTCAAAGCACTGAACCATTCATTCAAACTATTATTTGAATGAATAATATTACTTTGAGAGGTTTGATTCACTGCATCAATTATTTAAACACTTCTTTCAAAATAGCTGATTCACTTAGAACAATGTTGACAGTCTTTGTGAATGAATCATTGAATCACTGCCTCACTCGATTCATTCAAAATCAACTGTTGAATACAATTAATATCACATCTGAATTAATACTAATGTGCTGATAGAAAAGACACCAAAACCACCATCCGCTTGTTAAGTGTGACGTCACGCGAAGCAGCTTCCGGGTCCAATCGCTCTATTCAACTTAATGGGGAGATTCTTGAAATGGTAATAATAAACGTTTACAAAGCGATTTAATGCTTTCGAAAATCACGATCGAAATATATATGTCCATGCCTAATATCCGATGGCCAGAAAGTAATTCATTGTTTTATAAATTGTTAAAATTTTGGTTTTTGTTATGCAGCAAGCCCAGAGATTGTTGTGTACACTATGACTTTATATAATATTAAATTTAATGTGCGATATTAATAAAAAGTGATCATGAATGAATGATTTCTCCACTCAAGTGAATGGCGGCTTGGACCCGGAAACAGTATTACGACGTCACAAACACGTCACTACTTAACAAGCGGATTAGCTATTGGCAAGTCGCTGTCTTTAAGAGTGATTCACTGAACTGAAAACAGCTGATTCATTTAGAACAAACTGAATTCACAGTCATTTAGAATGAATAATTGAATCACTGACTCACTCGATTCGTTTAAAATCAAAATCAACTGCAGTAAAAAATCAATATCACAGTTAAATTATATTAATGTTCTGACAGAAAAGAAAAGACACTGAAACCACCATTTGCCATCACAAATCGATGTCTAATGAATGATTCATTGAACCATTCATTCCAACAATTCTTTCAAAACAGCTGATTCATTAAATTATTTATTGATTCAGAAAAGACAAGACACTAAAACCACTATTAGCTACTGGCAAATCCGTGTCTTAATGAGTGATTTACTGAAACATCGGACAGAAGAGTCAAGCTTTAAATAGAAAAATGATCAAAACTCCTTTTTGATTTTTTTGATTGAGATGCTTATGGTCTAATCCGATTCAATGATTTATGCTAAGCTAAGATAATAGTGCTCTCTCCGGACTTTCATAAATAGAAAAGCTTAACCAATTAACTATACGGAAGTGGTAAAATAAGCTTATTTCCACCCTAAAAATGTAGTGTTCCTTTAAATCATAGTTATTCTAAACTCTTGACTAGTCGAGTAAATATCTGTGCTATTATAAATATTTATGATAACTTTCCTCATCCATTTTTCACATTACCTTCATTTGGACTTATCTGTGGTTGCTTTTCCACTGAAGAAATGTCTGTTTTAGTGCTCTCAATGCCTTGGGCTCCACACGACACTGACTTAGATCTGCTACAATGGCTCGTCAAGTACTGAGAAAAGCCTTGACTCTCATCCGATTCGCAAGGCACACCAGATGACTGTGAAGCCCACGACTCCTCATTCAGCTGCGAGACCGAGCAGCCGGACTCTGTAGTCACTGTAGTAGTCAACGTGTGAAAGACAGGCTTGTGAACGCAGGGGTACGTGTCCTCCTGAGGCCGGAGTTTGGAGAAGTGATGGGAGAGAGAGTCTATGGAGCTGCTGTCGGAGCGCAGAGGCTCAGGTGTGGCTACAGGAGACTTATTGATCGTGGTTGATCTGTCGGAGATCTTCAACCCCGAATGCACATCCTGAAGCGCTTTGAACACCTGTAAAAACAACAAAGTCACATAATTGTTACTGAAATATAATAACATGAAGAATTGTTATTATTTTTGATAATAATATCTTGTTTTTGATCTTAATTTGTGAGCCAAAAAGCCACAAGTTTTTTTTTTTTGTTGTTGGCTAACTCTCTCGAAACCTTTTTCTGAATGAAAAGTCTGTATTTTTCTACATCCAATAAGCTTGCAGTAGAAGTACAAAGCCACGCCCACTGTATTCTCATTTAATATTTTGTTTCACCAGGAACTGCTTCACAATATGAAAAAAAAAACTGTTGCAGCTTTCAGTTCATGCAGACTTTAATAAAACAGATATTCAAGTCATAATCAAATATACAATCATCATTGAACCGGTTCTCCTACATCTGTCATGCGAGGTCTCTTCTTCCTCCTCCGCTCTAAACACTGACATGCCAGCCGAGCGATGTCCGCTGACCCATGAGTTGCAGGTGCATCTTTAGCGGTCAGTCGACGATCCAGATGTTTTTTGCAGATGTGCTCTGCTGTTTGACCGTAGGACAAATCTCGAGAGTGCTTCGCTTTGCTGAAGCTTCTCCCATCATCTTCCTCCTCTGTTACCAGGTCTTTCTGTGAGAAATAAAAACTTTTAAGTCTGTGTCAAAGCTCAAATTTCACACATTATTAATTTTGCTAGTGCACATTGTTATTTGTTAGGTGAACAAGTTATCTGTGCAAGTTCATCCACTGAAAAAAATGTTTGGTTTGGTAATCATTAACTGGAGTGGCGGTCTTTCTCTGATGATGTCCGTTTGACGGGTTCAGCCACAATATTCCTCTCTTATTGTTAATTTCCTATAAGGGAAAGGTTCACTAATTAAAGCTCTGCCCCCTACTCGATATTCAGTTTAGGGCGTACTCACTCTAGGCTATCCGAACCGTGCTCATGCGCATTTATTTCCCGGTTCGTTTGACAAGTGTAAATGCTCCGAATGTGGCACAGGCCCACTTCAGTTGACCAGGCCTTGGCCCAATTAGAAAGAGGTGTGCCAGAGCACGGTTCAGTTGTACAAGTGTCAGAGGTACACTTGTAGTTTGAGTGCAAAGCGTGCCTGAGCCTGAAACTGAAGATGCGACATCACATTTCAGGGGCTTTCATATGATAATATTATTCATTCTTACTGTTTAATGAACATGAACTGCCGTAGTTTATTAAAGATACAAACCCGTCGCTGCACATCAGCTGCACCTTCAGCAAACCTCTTAATACGTGCACTACGAGGCCTTTTATGATAACTTATGAGTGTCAAAAGTGGTGGATCTGTTCAGTAAAATATTGACTGTGTCGCTGCATCCCAAAAGACTTAAAATAATACACAACGATATAACTAAAGCAAGGATGTCCACTGAGCCAAGTGAGAGCACTTCTCTTCCTGTTAAACTGAACAGTCGATCATCGACGGCGTAAGCGTGCACTGGCTCGGATGCAATGTGAGTGCAGGCCGTCGGGGAGAGGGAACACGCCCGCTTCGGCATGGTTCAAGGCAACTGTACATAGTGCGAGTACATACTTAGGTGCTTTCACACCTACACTTTTGTTTCGTATCTCGTAAACACCTACACTTTTGTAACGTATCTTGTTTGCCCAGTTAGCGCAGTTCGTTTGGCATATGTTAACAGGGCAATCGCGCTCTGTTCCTCGCCAAAGTAATCGCTTTGAGATCGCTTGAATGAGGTGGTCTCGGCTCGATTGAAACGAACCCTGGAGCGGTTCGATTGCAGTGATAAAGCGATCCGATCCGAGCGCGGTTATATCACAGTGTTTTATGGATATGTAATAGGCTTACGGTTATATGAAGAGAGAATTATGAGTATGGCGGGAAGTTTCGCGAGTCTCCGGATGCCTGCAAACGAGTGATGATCTCCCGGTAATCTCGCGTCTCCCTCCCGGTCCTCAAATAGGCATCGTCGCGCACCCTTCTCACCCCTCCCCACCGCATCTCTCCTCAGACACGTCGCGCGCACCCGGTCAATCTCCACCAAACCACCACCTCTCCTGACAGCTGAGCGGAACGCTGCAAAATAAAACCTGCCACCCTGACCAATGTGAGGAGAGTTTACTCGCACGTGACTTGTTTTAGCTCTTTTGGTCCGACTAGAAACTTTGCAGTGTGAAAGCGAACCGCTCCAAGAGCAAAGAGCAACAATGTAACAATTGTAATCTCTGTTTCGGAAAAACTGAATCGATTCACAGGTGTGAAAGCACCCGTAGTGTGAAGTACATCAACTTACTGAAACAAACGCCTCAGTGACTTCTTGGCCATGCAATCTTTATCCAGTCATCAACACTGACTCTGCATTAGCTTATGTTTCTAAAATATGACTTACCAAGAAAACTGTTTTGGATTGGGAATCAACCTCAAGAGCTTGTCGTCCAGTGAGTACCTCTAGCATGACCTGTGGTGCGATAGAAACAAGTGTTATTATTAGGCAAAATGCTAAAACATGCTTGCAGTGCATTAGTTTACAAACATTGTTTACTAAAATTGTAATAAATTTGTTTTACAAAAAAGCCAACCAATGTTTGTTTGGTTTGTTGTTATTTCATGCCAGCTACTATAGCGATTTTGTTGAGAGAACTAAACTAGTATTTAGCTTATATAAACAATATAAAATTCATTTTTGCTATTTTCCGCCTCATGACAACCAAAGGGCAACGATGTGATTGTGTACACCACAGGTGTCAACACACCTGATCAAACTAATAAGTCATTCAGGCTTGTTTGAAATGTGCAGGTAAGTGTGTTGGAAATAAACTGTGCAGCCCTGCAGCCCCTGAGTTTGACATCTCTGGATGTACACTGTAGTGTCTGGATGGTTTAATGACATTAAGTGAAGTTTTTAAACTAATTTCGAGAGGAGCACGTGATATAATTGACCGCAGCTGGCCGCCAATTTACACTCAGTAGTTAGCCAATCAGATCTATTCCAAATTACTATAAATAGCCTAGCTAGATATTACTCCCTTACCTTCGTTTTCCGAAGAACAAGGACAAACCCTGCTCCTAACAAACTATCGGAACCCTCGACAACAAACAACTCGACGACAACAGCTACAACAACAGCTACAACAACAGCTACAACAACAGCTACAACAACAGCTACAGCTACAACAACAGCTACAACAACAACAGCAACAGCAACAACAGCCTAACGTTACATCAACAATAACAGCTAACGCTTCAACAACAACAGCTTCAACAACAACAGCTACTACAACAACAGCTACAACAAAACAGCGACAACAACAGAAAGAACTCACAACCTAAACAGAACAATCCAACATCAAAGCCATCAACAAGCAACATGGAAGGAACCAACACACCAGCTCTCCCGGAAACACCAGCCCAAACACAACAACAAACCCAAATAAACACCGAGGCTCCTATCAGAGGCCGAAGACCCATCCGCTCCACAGTCACAAGAACCCATCGCCGCACGCAATCTCCATCTCCAAACCGCAACTTACCGTCTCCCGCTTCATCCTACGCCTCTGCAAGATCTTCATCCATCACATCCAACAAAATGACTGTTTCTGAACTCCGCCAGTCACTCACAAACGCCGGAATTTCCATCCCCACCCGCTGCAATAAATCCGAACTTCTGAAACTGTACGAAGCCATCCCGTCACCAACTCCGCCTCCCCAAGACAGTAGACCAACTCGCTCCCGCCACACCCCCTATCCACAACCCTCCGCTACTCAGCACTCAAGAAACCCCCCTGGACCACCCAAGAAAGCAACCAAGAAAACTAATAAAAAGCAACCTCAAGCTACAGGACAGAAAGCACCTTCTACCAACCAACACACAGTGAATCCACCGGACAATTATGCCACTCCAGGACTTCCCACCCCCCTCCTTTGGCCTCCAGCCCCACAATCCAGCGAAAACTCCAGTCCGACTCTTCAAGCAATTCCCCCGACTCTCAACCCTCCTCAGTTCTCTCTTTCTTCTAATCTCCCTCATTCTTCAACTCAACTTATTCCCAATCTTTCTTCTAATCTCCCTCATTCTTCAACCCAACTTATTCCCACTCAATCCTTTCCTACAAGCTCCAACGCTCTCCCTCTGCCTGCTAATTTTTCATCTACTAATCCCCCCTTTTTCCCCTCTACATCCCTCCAAGCACCCACTTCCATTACTAACCCTCCCCAACAAAATGCTTTCTGTACTAACACATCTTCCGCACGAGCCCCCTTCACCCTAGCCACAGCCACACCCCTTCCCATTCCGCATAACGCTCCAGTCCTGGAACCACCTCAGATCTCCAACACAGTCAGGAACCTCATCCTATCAGGTGCAGACATAGACCTCTCTACACTCCTTTCACCTATTGCACCTCCCTCGGCAGATCGACAGGTGGATTGCGGCGAATTCACCATTACACTTAAATCACCAGTCAGCTCTCAACCTCGCACACTCACAATAGCCGAATTCCACGTAGCTTTCTCACGTTATACAGACACCATCTGCTCTGTCTTTCCCCATAGGAGGCGCGAGCTGAACGACTATATGGCTATCATTTCGGAGCTCGCACTCTCCTATGGGGGAACGCATTTCTATACATATCACAAATTATTTTCAGCAAAATGCGCTATTCGCGTTGCTCAATGGAATCAGTGTTCTTATTGGGGGGCTTTGGACACTGATCTCCATAACAGAGTTTTTCTAGGATGCCGCAATCTTTCCTGCGCGGTCTGCCGCTCAAACCTTCACCCAACCACTTCCTGTCCCTTCATAATCCCCTCCACTGAGAAAGAACTACAAACCCCAAGATCCACTAGTTACGTACCCCGCCCTTCTACCTCTGCTATCCCTGCTCTTCTCCCCCCTCCCTCCTCTCAAAACCCTCCATCATCTCTAGCTTGCAATAACTTTAACGCAGCCAGATGTTTCCGCCACCCTTGCAAATACTTACACATTTGCAGTTACTGCGGTGGCGCTCATGCTCGAGTGGTCTGCCAAGTGTGGAAAGCAAATAAAAAACATAGATCCTATTTGTCGACTCCTGTCAATATTTCTAATCTTTACCATGAATTATGCATGCACCCTGATCCTAACTTTTCTGAATTTCTCATTTCAGGTCTGTCTAATGGATTCCACCCCGGTGTTTCGACTCTTCCTTCCTATAACCTCGCATGTCCTAACCTTCAATCTGCTAACGCTGAACCAGAAGTGGTGGAGCAATTAATAAAGAAAGAGATCGATAATAAATTTATGATCGGTCCCTTTCTTGCCCCCCCGTTTAGCACCTATCGAGTCAGCCCAATTGGAGTAGCGACCAGAAAATTTTCGGGCAAAAAACGGCTAATTATCGACCTGTCTTCTCCCCATAATTCCGCCTATTCAAGTGTCAACAGCATAATTTCACCTGACGAATTCTCTCTGAATTACCACGATATAGACCAAGCCATTTCTTTAATTAAACTCGTCGGACGCGACGCCTGGCTCGCGAAAGTAGACATCACGTCAGCTTTCAAAATTATGCCATTGCATCCCGAGTTCTGGCATCTCTTTGGCATTAATTGGAAATCCCAATTCTACTTTGCAGTCCGTTTAACCTTCGGCTGCAGAAGTAGCCCCAAAATCTTTGACATGCTTTCAGAAGCATTATGCTGGATCCTCGCTAACAATTACGGCATTCCGCACGTAGTCCACCTACTAGATGATTTCCTCATAATTTCCCCTCCAAATTCCCCACCTGCTAAACACCTAGAGATTACCAAAGCAGTGTTTGCCAAACTCGGCATCCCTCTAGCTGAAGAAAAAACCGCCGGCCCCAGCACCTTCATAGAATTCTTAGGCATCAATTTGGACTCTAACAAATTTCAAGCATCTTTACCCAAAGAGAAAGTCGATCGCATCATTTCTCTATCTTCCATATTTTTGGAGAAACAAGAATGTTCTAAACGCGAACTGCTGTCAATATTAGGACATTTAAATTTCGCCATGCGCATCATACCTCAAGGACGCCCGTTCGTCACTCACCTCCTTCAACTCGCAGCATCAGTTCAGAGTCTAGAAGAAAATATATCCTTATCCGATCCATGCCGAAACGAACTCAGCCTCTGGATTTCCTTCCTTAAGTGCTGGAACGGCTGTTCTTTCTTTTATAGTGATTTAATTTCATCCCCCGTAGACATCCATCTTTATACAGACGCTGCACCCTCCATAGGATTTGGCGGTTACTACCAAGGCCGCTGGTTCGCATCCGATTGGCCCCCCCAAATGTTAGAGGTTCCATCACACCAATATTCATCTGCATTATTCGAACTATACCCCATAGTCGTCGCGACCCTATTATGGGGAGATGAATGGTCTGCTTCCAGCATTCTCATTCACTGTGACAATGAAGCCGTCGTTCACTGCATTAATAGAGGGCGCTCTCACTCCCCCGCTCTAATGCCGCTTCTCCGTCGCCTTATTTGGACTTCAGCCAAAAAACAGTTTATTTTAACTGCTGTACATGTTCCTGGTTTCCATAATCAAATTGCTGACTCTCTCTCTCGTCTTCATTTTCAGAAATTCAGAGAATTAGCGCCGGAGGCGGAGCAGCACCCGACGCCCATCCCTCCTTATTCAGAGATGATATTCCAATAAATCATCCCATGCACGATCTGCACCAAGCATCCATATCTCTCATTATGCAAGCGGTGGCTCCAAGAACCTTACAAGCTTATCTCACTGCATGGAAAACATTCAAACATTTCCATTCACTATACAACACTACATTCCCCAATTTCTCCCTACTTACAATCACATCATTTATCACTTACCTTCATTCTCACAAACATATCCAGGCAAACTCGATTAAGAGCTATTTAAGTGGCATTCAGTTTTTTCACAAACTCATGTACGGCTCCAGTTCTGAATCTATCACTAACTCACAAACTAGCCTTCTTATTAAAGGCATTCAGAAGACCCGCCCCCCCCCTCCCAGACACAAGGCTACCCATCACACACAACATACTAGCTAAATGCATTTCCACACTCAGGAAAGGCTATTTTTCATTTCATACAGATCATACCCTAGATGCAATGTTTATTCTCGCCTTTTTTGGATTTCTAAGATGTTCTGAATTTACAGTTACATCTAAATTCGATCCCTCTATCCACCCTACTATAGCAGATCTGACCTTGATTGATGAGGAAACAATTGCTTTCCTCATTAAGCAAAGTAAAACAGATCAATCCAGAAAGGGACATTACATCTACATATTCAACATTCCCTCCCCCACAAGCCCATTCCAAACTCTTCTAGCTTACACACACTACAGGAAAACACTAAGTGCAAGTCCCCTAGACCCCCTTTTCATAGACGACACACACCACCCAGTAACACGCTTTTGGTTCCAAAAACACCTTAAATATGTCCTAACCAACTCAGGCTTCCCATCAGAATCATACTCCAGTCACTCATTCAGAATTGGAGCCGCCACTACAGCAGCACACAAAGGGTTATCACAACAACACATACAAACACTAGGAAGGTGGTCTTCTGACGCCTTCAAAACCTACATCCGACTCAGCCACAGTCATCTCAGGGAAGCCCAGAGGACCCTCACCAGCCGTTGCAGTTATCCCAGCGGCCAAAGGCACGAGCCTAGTACAAGGAAAGAACACAACCCAGCTATACCAGCTTCCCGAGGGCAGAGGAACTACCAAGTCTCTCAAGGGCGCGGGCATGACCCAGCCATCTAATTTCTTTTCTTCCTTCCAGCTGATTTGCACTCAGCCTTCTCCCCCTTTTCACTCACCCAACTACAGTAAGAGTTCTTTCCCTGCCCAAGCCCCCCCGTCACCCCCGCCCCCCCTGGCCGCTGCCACAGAAGTTTTCACTGCCCACCAACTTTTCTAACTTCTGTAGGACCCCGCCCCCCCCATGGCTCTGGCCCCCGCAGGGGCGTTACCCCGAGCTTCGATTCCCGCAGGAATCATCTCACGGCCCGGCCTTAGCTTTTTATATTATATGTCATTTCAATGACATATAGTATAGCACTATTTATTTTCTCTTTGTTTGATTTTATTTGTATAAATTCACATCTATATGCACCCACGCATATAAATATGAATTTATATATAGTGCTGTCACCCTCACGCTCTGTTCCCGCAGGAACACCCCCAGAGCACCTATAGCGCCCGTCACCCTCCAGAAAGAGTCTTCACCTTCCCCTCATCTTTCCAGACTCCTACTGGAGCCAGCCAAATAGCTCACCCAGCCCCGAGCTGTGACACTAGCCATGTCACCGACCCTCCCCGGCCCTAGCTTTTATTCATTTATTTCTGTTTATTTCTCACATTTATCTTTTATTTTTTAAATTTATTTATATATATGTATATATATATGCACCCACGCATATAAATATATATTTATATATAGTGCTGTCACCCTCACGCTCTAACTCCCGCGGAGTTAATCCCGAGCACCGGACCCCCGCAGGGGTCATCGCCCAACTGCCATTTCACCCTCCAGCTGGGGCTTCACCGACCATTCCTTTTCCCGACTCCAGCTGGAGATGGCACATACAGCTCTCTCTCCCGCAGGAGAGCCAAGAGCTTCGACTCTCTCAAGAGTCAGTAAAAAACGCCCCCCCCCAAGGCCCTAGATTACCCCATTATATATTTATATATCTATATGTTTCATATAAATATATAATTATATATAGTGCTGCCACCTCCCAGCTCAATCTCCGCAAGGAGTGTTCCTCGAGCAAATTACTCCTTTGGAGTCCCCGCCCCCCCCTGCCCCCCTTCACCCCCCTCTCCAGCCGGAGTCCTTCACTCCCCTTTCCTTGTAATGACTCCAGCAGGATTCCCGCCCACCCCATGGCTCTGACCCCCGCAGGGGTCTCCCCGAGTCTCTACTCCAGCAGGAGTATTCACAGCCCAAGCCAACTCTGCTCGGGTTCCCGCAGGAACCTGTGTCACCCTTTGCTCCAAGGAGCCCTCTTTACATTTCCTTTCAAATAACTATATCCAGCAGCCGGATATAGCATTTCAAGCCTTTTGGGGAGTTTCTTCGAATACACGGCTGCTGTCCCGAGCTTCATGCATTTGGGGAGCTCTCGAGAACCACCTGATCTCGTACTCCCCTTACATGCTCTATGGACCTGGCGGGAGCCCTGGGCTCAACTATCTCCGAGCTCAGGGTTCTCTCCCGGGACAGCATGCCAAACCTGCTTACAGTCGTCAAGCAATATCTAAGTGTGAACTCTTGAAGTGAAGTTTTTAAACTAATTTCGAGAGGAGCACGTGATATAATTGACCGCAGCTGGCCGCCAATTTACACTCAGTAGTTAGCCAATCAGATCTATTCCAAATTACTATAAATAGCCTAGCTAGATATTACTCCCTTACCTTCGTTTTCCGAAGAAACCCCCCATCCACCCCCTATCTCCTCCTTTCCTCCCTTTAAAAAGGGGAGCTCTCGAGAACCACCTGATCTCGTACTCCCCTTACATGCTCTATGGACCTGGCGGGAGCCCTGGGCTCAACTATCTCCGAGCTCAGGGTTCTCTCCCGGGACAGCATGCCAAACCTGCTTACAGTCGTCAAGCAATATCTAAGTGTGAACTCTTGAATTGTAAAAGACACAAAAACTTACTTACATATTCAGATATTCCTATGCTTACAAAAACAGCTATTAGCAATAAGAAGAAACAGACAGAGTTCGAAGAGGACAAAGATGAGGTGCTGAAGTGGGTCAATTTTCTGCAAACCATAAACGAAGAAATGGCACAGATGACCCTTCTGACCAACTATTATAATCGAAGACTGGAAAAGGCCTGGGAGCGTTATCTCCAGAAAAAGATTTTCTTTGCCAACTAGGAGCTATGACCTTGGAGGATAAGACTCCAGGAAGACTGCATAAATGAATGACCAAATGCTGATGTAATAGAAGAAATGCTTTGATATGTTTGTATTCAAATTCGTCACCCTATAGAGTGAACACAAAGGGATTTCTCCTATGTATTGACAGATATACTCAAGTATATCAAACTTTAGATATTCTCAAGTATATCAGACGCTACTTGCTACTTTGCTGTGTATTTACTGAAAGGGATTTCTATGTATTAACAAATATTCTCAGGAATATCAGAACAGATAATCGTACATCAGACACTAATTGTTACTTTGCGGTGTTTTTACTGGAGGGGATTTCTATGCCTGTATTCAAGGCTGGAATACCGTATAAAAGGCTGGTGCAGACAGACCAGCAGTGCGCTTAAACTGACTGTATAATGAATGTCTTAGGCCCTTTATTCTCAACAGAGGATAAAGTTAAGGATTTTGTTTTGCTATTGTGATTGTTTTTTTCTTCTTTTTAACTGGATTTATGAATAAAATGATATTTTATTAATTTTCTTCACTGGAGTGGACATTGGAATACTTTGCAGAACCCATCAAGATACCTTGTGTGGTAAGGCATGAATCTGATTTATTCCTTAAACATTACAATTTAAGGTCCTAAACAAAACTCTAGCTAAGAAATGTAGCCAAGAGAGATTGTGGTTTCTTTAGTTAATTATGTTATTAAATAAAGGCATTCAGTACTACACCGATGAGCAAACGACAAGCATAAAAAGGGCCATTTTTATGTCTCCGGCTTGTTTTTTTGACGCACCACATTAAAATCTGGTCGATCAATAAGATCAACACTTTTGCTCCAAAATTGATGTGCACCCCTGATTACTGCTATGTCTTCGCAATGAACATCTGTGATGCATCTCACCACTCCAAAACTGTAGGCATCAATCTCCACTCCAAGCTGGCCATCCTTGAGGTATTCTTCCGGGAGGTATGCGAGAGTTCCTCGTACCGTTGCAGTCTGAGCCACAGTGGATGTCTTGCCTGGGGTTTTATTAGGATTTCGGCATAAACGCGCCAATCCAAAATCCCCGAGCTTGGGCTCAAGATGATCCCCTAAAAGGATGTTAGAGCTGTAATAAAGGGAACACGACTGGTTTGTGAAAAGCCTGGTGGTGCCACCTATTGATTTACATAAAATGACAATTGCAACCTATTTAAACTAATTTACGTACATGAAAAAATGCATTTACCCCCCCCCCCCCCCCCCCCCCCCCAAAAAAAAACATCATTACTTTTTATACGCATATTTATTTAACAACATACTTTACATGACAATTTGCAGATGACAGCTGCACATATAATGTTGTATATAGTAATATACCTGTACACTTGCCAATTTGTATATTTGCATTCACTACTTACTTCTATTTTTAAGTATATTTACTATCAGTTTTTTTGTCCAGTCTCTGTAATTCTGTTGTATACCTGGCAATAAAGCTCTTTCTGATTTCTGATGTGAAACCAGTAACACCAAACCATGATTCTGTTTTCAGAATTCTTTGATAAATCCAAATGTCAAAAGAACAGCATTTATTTTAAATGAATGGTTTTTGTTGTGACATACTTCATATTATTTATTTAAAAAAATTATTCATTTAATACATCCTTGCAGAATAAAAGCCCTGTTTTTAAACAAAAGAAATCAGCTCAATCTTTTGAAATGTATCATACATATTCTTGCACTCACCTTTTGATGTCTCCATGAATAAGAGCAGGTGAGCATGAATGCAGGTACTGAATAGCTTTTGCAGTTCCCAGCAACACATTTACACGCTGCGACCAAGAGAGGGCATTGCTGTCCTGAAAGAAAAAAAACAGAGAATAACACCTAACCCATAGACCGGACAGAACTAGACCAACATAAATGAAAACTTTATCAATATGTCATTACAAGAATCACTCTCTTGAGGGCTTATTTACACATCATAAAACTGCATGATGCAAAACGTAACAATCATAAAAGTACTAAGTGTATATCCATATATTCAATCCAGGAAAACCAGTGACATGCCACATCTTGTCGAAGAGTTTGTGAAACAATATTGTGATGCATCATTATTTTAATGTACAGACTTGCAATTGAGATTAAAGAGCTCAACAAACAAGGTGATTTTCTTTCATTCTTTTGCATGACCTCAGAACACTTAAAATGTGAGTCATACAGACTAGCTTTGTGGTGCTCATTGACTTGACAGCTCTGTTCACTTTCACTATATGTAAAATAAGCACATAGGGGCTTTCCATAGACTATAATTCAAAAAGGATTCACGCAGCTTTGGAAAGGGTTGAAGTGAAAGCAAATACATTTTCTTATAATAGAAATTCTTTGATACACGTGACGCCACCGCCTAAACAAAAGGGCATTATTGGTAAAGTCCCTTCAGCTGCCATTAGAAGCTCTGATTTACACAGGAACACACAAGACTGGTGCTTAGAATTTTTAAAACTTTAGATTCATAAAGTAGATTTTGCCATTTTAGAAAACACATAGGACTTGGTATTGTAAAGCAAAGGCCAAATGAACAGACTTCCCTTAAAAGAGACTTTGCTTTGCTTCAGATCACTGATCTAAACAGACTGAATGCATGACCAGTGCTTTCTGCACGTGCTTTTTATTTGCGCAGTCTGTGCGCGCATCACCTGCATAACAAACCTCAGAGCAGGCTTAACGAACATGGGAGAGCAAAGTGAAGATGCGATGTCCTTCAGCTTGCATTCATTGCAGACATTTAGCCTACAGTCCTTGCACAACCCACAGTTTTGTTTGTTATCTCTTTCTATTGCTAGTACCCGATTTAAACAGGAGATTTTGGAAACCAGATCTAAATTTAGTGGGAACGGTTGGGCAGAAAATGATTCTAAGTGGGCAGCAGGTGAACAAAGGCTGAATATACAGCAGGAGCGGTCAGGTGTGGAATAAAACATTGCGGGTGCGGGCAGGAGCAAAACTTAAAAATCTGTCCTGCGCAGACCTCTACTCTGGTGTTCCCCACAGTCCGAAGACATGTGCTCTAGGTGAACTGAATAAACTAAAATGGCCATAGTGTGTGTGAATGCGAGAGTGTATGGGTAATTCCCAGTAGTGGGTTGTGATTGGCGGTTTATCCGCCATGTAAAACATATGCTGGAATAGTTGGTGGTTCAATCCGTTGTGGCGACCTCTGAATTAGAGACTAAGCCGAAGGAAAACGAATGAATGGAAATGCAAATTACCTCATTGCGCAGCCGGTCATCTAAAGAGCCGTTGGGCATATAAACATATATGACACAGTAAGTTTGTCCTGAAATACAGTAGCCAACAAAGTCCATAATGTTGGGATGTCTGTACCTGTGGAATAAAACAGGGAGTAATTAAAAAAAAAAAGTGTCAAACTATTAATTATAAATTATTCTAAACATTTAGGCTTTACAATAGCTGAGGAAAGCAAGGCTTGAAAGTGTTGGCTGAAGTGTCAGGGGAAACAAATGACCCACTAAGATGACAAAAAGATTCAAACTAACCACAGAAAAAGTTTTGAAGAGTGGGCTGGAGACTCATTTTTTGGGTCATGAAGAGGTGTGGTGATGTGCATAAAGAGTAATCAAAATTTCAAGCGGGGAAATCCCTTTCTGCGAGTCTGTTGAACAAACAGAAATGAATCTCAGCCAAGCTTACAAAAAGCTGATCAAGAGAAAACAGGAAAGACTTCAGATTTAAAAGCACAAGAGAAGGAAGCAAGAGCCACAGGAGCGACAGACGGACAGGCAGAGCTTCTTACTGAGAGAGTTTGTCCACTTCCGTCCTGAAACTTTCCTTCACGACATTCCAGTCCAAGTGAGAATCCTGCAACACAACAGCCACATTAAAAAAACATGCAAATCATATCACATATTTATATTAATGCCATGTCAGAAACAATAGATATTTTAATGGACAAAATGTTGAATTAATAAATATACAAAAAAAAAAACTAAAATTAAATATGATGTTTAACGTTAAATATAATAAAATTTGTGGTGACTGAACATTCATTATGGCAATATTGTTGAATGCTAACAATATTTTTAATGATATAACTAACTTACAATATGCTATTTTATCAGCAACTTAAAATGATAAAAACTTAAAAATATATTTATGTAATGATCATTATGCCAAAATAAAAATAGGTAATATTTATTTCTCTTTTCTAAAAAAAAAAAAAAAAAAAAGCATTTAGACTTCAATCACCACAAACGCCTGAAAACTTTGGTGAAAATTCCGTTTCATTTATGTCCTACATAAATGTATTTAAGTCATTGCACTTTTCTGCGATATGAATATTGCACATACTATTAGCTATAACGATATTTTTTTTTAAATATAATGTGCAGCCCTAGCTGTCAGTAAAGGTCTTGTGAAAGTAATTTTATATGTTAGTATGAATATGTTAGTTAAGCATATCTACAAGCTACTGTGCTTATTAACTTTTAGAAGAGATAAACCTGACTTAAATGTCCAAATCTTGACCAACCAAATGCTCTCCAGTATCTGACATGCCCCGCCCCCTTTAAGACGCTTTTCGTTTGCCTTTTATTTGATGCGCTTAAGCTTCAACCACTCTCATTGGCAGAGCTGTGAGAAAACCAAACACTATTGGCTGTTCTTTAAAAAAGGTGAGGAGCTACTCTATGAGATTACGTCAAACAAAAAAATGCACTATCAGAGCACATCACAAGACCTTTAAAAGCAGGACAGTCCAATAGAATGTATTCAGGGTTCCCACGCTTTCATAAACAGTAAACGAGTCATGAGACTATAGTGTTCAAAAGAAACTACAGGCGCACATGATCTCTGTTACCCTAATGAAGACAAGTGTTTGCCACAACATGTAGGTGCATTCAATAAAGCCTTTTTAATATCTTTTCCAAATTTTTCTAATGTCATGGACTTCATTTTGCTGTTTATTCTGATGAATCCCTTACTTAAAGAGCACAGGCACATAAATTAAACTACCCCTGAGCACTTTCTGCTTGATTTTGAGTAAATTCAAGGACTTTCAAGAATTTTTTTAACCATTAATTTTAAATCAAGCACTTGATAATTTATACCCCCAGCATATGTAACGCAGTGAAAGTCCTTACTGTACTTAATAACTCACACTTAATATTTACATTAAAAAATGTCTGTTTTAAAAAGTCATGTTCAAAGAATTTTAGTAAAGTCTGTTGAATTCAAAACTGTTTATATTCAAATGTGGTTTCTGAAATATTGATGTAATGTGCATTATTTGTCAGTGTTGTTGTATAAGATTTAAATTTAACATTTTTATTTTAAGAATTTCTCTTCTTTCTGTATTCGACAATTGAGTACAACTGTTCAAATAAAACCCTAATAAAATTTTATGTCAAATTTAATTCTAGCACTTTCAAAGACCTGATATGTCTGAAATTCAAGTATTATCAAGCCCTTTAAGAAGCGTGGGAAACCTGTGTGCTTTTACATTAATAGAAATTTTGCAGAACAAACACTGAGATATAAAAGAAAACAAATAAATAAACATATAAGAACAAGCAGAAAGACATTTGTTTTGTTATTTTTCTTCAAATACCTCTTTCAGCTTCTTCACCGCAAACTCAGTGTTTCTCATCACAGCTTTATACACGTGTCCAAAACCTCCTTCCCCAATCTGCTTGCATGGGGAAAAGTTGCAGGTGCCTCTCTGTATTTCCTCAAACGGCCAGCTCATTGCAGAGGAGGAGAGAGGCGGGGGATCTACACGGTTCTCGCACGGCCACTATGAACACATGCGTCAGTGGATTAAGAAACCAAAAAGAAGAAAAACACGAAGAGTAATGCTGACTAATGCCTCTCCAGCACAATGGTAACACAGTCAATGCTGAAACCTATCAAGCCTTTTTATTATGCTGATTTTACTGAACACTGTTTACACCTTTCAGTTTAAAAAAAGGGGGATTTTCAGATCTTCATTTTTGGATTTTTTGGTGTTTTTTCAGTTTAATATTTAAAAAAAAAACATATATATATATATATATATATATATATATATATATATATATATATATATATATATATATATATGTATCGTTTGCATCACTTTATAGATGTGTTTTTGATATAAAACGTGTTATTTCCTGTAAAGTGATGCTTATTTCCACTTCAGGACACTTAAAACGTTACATTTTATTCATATCTATTTTTTTACCCAATCTGTTTTTTCTTTGGCATTGATCATAATCTCGACTTCAGCAGAAAAACTTTAAAGTTTTATTCGTATCCAAGTTCTCAAATAAATTTAAATCAAGTTGTTGTTGTTGTTTTTTTACAATTTGGTCATGTACAATTTGTCTGATTATATACATTTTATTTTACCAACAAAAGGTTATTTTGTAGAATTTATGAAGTGATATAAAGATACTCAAAATCCCCTCTGTAAAAACCTACTACACTACCTGATAAAAATTTTGTCGCCTATTCAAGTTTTAGGAACAACAAATAATAGCTTGACTTCTAGTTGATTATTTGGTATCAGAAGTGGCTGGTAACACTTTACAATAAGGTTTATTAGTTAATGCATTTACTAACATGAACTAATCGTGAAAAACACATGTACAGCATTTATTAATCATAAATGAACATTTACTAATGCATTATTAACATTCAGGTCCATGCTTGTTAACATTAGTTAATGTACAATGAGTTAACATGAATTAACAATGAACTACTGTATTTTCATTAACTAACGTTAACTAACATGAACAAATACAGCAGTAAATGTATTGTTCATTGTTTGTTCATGTTAGTAAATGCATTAATTAACATTAACTAATGAACCTTATTGTAAAGTGTGACCAAGTGGCTTATATGAAAGGCAAAGGCTTCTAGATTATGCTTATTTTATTAAAATAAATTATGATAACGCCTTGGTTTTGAATTATTTAATTAGGACAGTAAAGTCTGACTTTGCTTAGACAAAAGTCTTGTCACTTAACAGAAATAATGTTGTAAAATATAAAGTCATGGTGCAGTGGCAAATTAATATTGTGTCTGACTCCCATGAGCTTAGAAGACTGCATCCATACATCTCTGCAATGACTCTAATAACATATTACTTAAGTTATCTGGAATGACAAAGAAAGCGTTCTTGCAGGACTCCCAGAGTTCATCAAGAATCTTTGGATTCATCTTCAGTGCCGCCTCCTTCATCTAACCCCAGACATGCTCAATAATGTTCATGTCTGGTGACTGGGCTGGCCAATACTTGAGCACCTTGACCTTTGCTTTCAGGAACTTTGATGTGGAGGCTGAAGTATGAGAAGGAGCGCTATCCTGTTGAAGAATTTGCCCTTTCCTGTGGTTTGTAATGTAATGGGCAGCACAAATGTCTTGAAATGTTGCCATCCATTATACAGAACTCACGCACACCTCCATACTGAATGTAACCCCAAACTATGATTTTTCCTTCACCAAACTTGACTGATTTCTGTGAGAATCTTGGGTCCATGTGGGTTCCAATAGGTCTTCTGCAGTATTTGTGATGACTGGAATTCAGTTCAACAGATGATTTATAGAAAAAAAAAATCTACCTTCTGCCACTTTTCCAAATGATAAACTAGAAGTCAAGTTATTATTTGTTGCACTTACAACTGGGATCGATGACAAGACTTTTATCAGGTAGTGTATAGAACAAAAAAATATACACAAGAATTCTGAACTTGACTTCATTCAATGTTCAGACTTTTAAGCTAGAAATCTATGCAAATTAGCACATATTTAATTAAATTACACCTTGTTTGAACATTTAAACAACATTTTATGAAGCTATTCTTACTATAATCATTCAACTCAGGATGTATGGTGAGAATTAGTTAACAGTTTTGTGCCCTTCACCTTCATTCTTTATCTTAATCAAACAAAATACCTCTTCAGTTGTTTTTGAGATTGTTGAGCTCACGGAGTCAGGTGGTGGAGGGCTAGGCCTGGGTAAAGGCCTGATCTCTGGAAACATAAAAGAGCCACTTTTAGCACAGATGTTATGATAAGTGAGCAACTGTTAGGTAATAATCAAAGTCATGTTTTATGTTAACATAAGGACTGTAGTAAGAATAACATGTTACCGGGGACAGGGAGATGCTCTTTGATAAATGTGACTGTACTGGGTTGTTGCTCTTTATGATTCTGTGGAAATTGTCTACCTGTGCACATGCATAAAAAAAAGAGCATTGATGGATTTATTATCTGAAACTATTGACAGGCAGTGCTTGTACAAATCATAACACAAGTACAATAAAAGCATATTTTCTATGCCAACATTTTTTATTTCAAACTAACGTTGTAATATATATATATATATATATATATATATATATATATATATATATATATATATATATATATATATATATATATATATATATATATTTTTTTTTTTTTTTTTTAATCATGTTTTCCATAAAATACAAGATTTGTTTTTAACATTAATATTAATAAGTATTTTATTACTATATAAATACTATATACTACATACTATATAAATATATACTATATAAATATTATTTATCATGTATGATTTATTATTGAACAATAAATCATGAGATAAGTAAATAAATATAAAAGTATTAAATATTATTAATAAATAAATATATTAAGTTTTATTGTTTCATATTTTTTGTAAGATCAGAGATATATATTTACATTACATTATATATATATATATTATATTATACATTTTTTATACATATATTTTAAGACAAAAATTATCTACAATCATTCATGATAGACAGATAACCCAATAACATGAATATCTAGCAAATGATGCCAGTAAGTCAAGTTTGTAGAATAATTTATGCTCCAACATATAAAGTCAATGAATGTGTTATTTGTTTAATTTTTTTTTAATCAGTGAATATGGATTTAAAAATCTACATTTTTTTAATTGATGTGACAAGCCAGTGTATAAATACATATACTGTTAGTATATTTATTTTCATAATATAGGTATCAGTATTGATTGCTGAAATGCCTTTCTACAGATTTGAGTTCAGATTTACAGGCAGAACAAGTCAATTCATTTTGATGAAAGTTAACAACAAACAGGTTTTAAAATATACATTGACGGATCACAAGCAGTAAACAAGTAAACCAAATAAGAACGTGGGAAATATAAGCACAACTGAGAAATTTCACATCTGACTGACAGCATAGTTCTTTCTTGAACCATGGAATGTGAAACTTTAGATTATAAAGCGAGTAACGTGATAACCACAAAACCCAACTGATAACCTGCTTGGCACATAGATGTGGTAAAAAAATCAAAAAAAGGAAGAAGAAAAAAAACCTACATAGTTGTGCTTTGAGAATGATATCACGAGCTCTGAACCACTGGAGTCCCTCAAGAATCTTCAGCAGTGCTCCAACTGTCCCATTGCGACAACCCCAATTGTGCATGAGGTTACTCGTCCGTCGAGGGCTTTGCTCCAAAAGGCGTAGTTCAGTCTGATCTGATATGATTTGTGAAGCTGCAAGGACATAAAATACTTTAATTGGCAAGCAAAATGAGAGTGTTATGAAATTGAATGGGAATTCTATCCAAAACTGAATAGCTAATTTAGTTCTTCAAACAAGTTCAGATTAAAATATCTGGATGAACTGATCTGAGATTACTGCGTTCTTGTTGTGAAGGACTTCATTTATTATTTATCCTCAAAATCATGATCAACAAAACAACGATTGACTGGCAGCAAGACAGCTGTGAAAGGACATCATCTGATTAATATAACGGGTGTCATGGTGGCTCAGTGGTAGCACTGTCGCCTCACAGCAAGAAGGTCACTGGTTCGAGTTCTGGCTGGATCAGTTGGCATTTCGGAGTGGAGTTTGCATGTTCTCCCCATGTTCGCGTGGGTTTCCTCTGGGTGCTCCAGTTTCCCTCACAGTTAAAAGACCTGCATAAATAAATAAACTAAATTGGCCATAGTGTGCGAGTGTGAATGTGAGAGTGTATGGGTGTTTCCCAGTGCTGGGTTATGGCTGGAAGGGCATCCGCTGTGTAGAACATATGGTAGAGAAGTTGGCGTTTCATTCCACTGTGGCAACCCCTGATGAATAAATGGACTAAGCCGAAGGAAATGAATGAATGAATGAATAAATGATTCATATTCTAGCCATGTGAGCAAAATGACATCGAATTGGTAGTAACTGAAAAGGTTTGTTAAATGATATGCTATAATATTTCACATTTGTTGCCGGTATGGCTGCACAATAATGGAAAAATTTACAATGTTGTTGAGTGCTAACATTTTTTTTAAAGATATAACTAACTTGCAATATGCTATTTTATCAGCAACCTTTTTTAAACACTTTAATATGTAATGATCATACTAAAATAAACAGGTAATGAGCAATTCCATGCAAATGTCAACCTTGCCATGAAAAAAATTACGTTTTCGCCAAAATAGCGAAACTGTTTCTGGTTAATGTATCTATCAGTGTTTTCAAACTATTATATTTGATTTACCAAAGTCACACAAGTGGCAATTTTACATCTGTCATATCCATAACAGAGAGATGTCACATCCATAACAAAGCTTTTTCATCATAAATGCAAAATCAAATAAAATCAATCATGTTTGTTCTATAGTGAGACAACTCTTATCATTTTTATTAGCATTGTTTCTTTTGGGTTGTGCAGTTTAATTCACAGAATTTCTACATAGTATGTTGTATACTGTAAACTTGCACCATTTTTGTCATATCCATGATGCATGTTTCCATTTTCCTATTTTAAAATTTAACATTTTTTTTACAGATTGATATTTTTCAGCTCCCACAACTCATACAACATAAAGAGATGTTTCAATATAAGGTTAACATATACTTCCTCTATCAATTTATGTTTTGAGATTTTACTGCAAATGTCACATCCATAAAGCTGGAATTACTTTGATTAAAACACCACCAATAACTAAAAACCTTAGCAGAAATTCTGGATCTTATTGGCAGTTGTCATTTTCCTACATAAAATGCACTTAATTTCTTGCATTTCTCTGCAATGTAGATATTACATATATTATTTTCACATTAATGATAATTTTTCGATGTGCAGCCCTATTTGTAGGTTTCACAATTTGACAACTTCATGAGTCAAAATTTAAAAAATTGTAGTTTCAGTTTGACCTTTAGAGCGGATTTTCTACATGACACTATTCACATTTCTTAATCACATGCTGTTTTTTTTATATAGTTTGCATTTTTTTTTTTATTGATTTTAAGTGTGTACTTCTCCTGCGTTGCACTAAATCACCCACACATTAGATGTCAACTTTGCATGCATGTGAATAACTCACAAAATATTCAATTTGACAATAAAAATATTGGCCACCTCTATTATCATGCACTCTCAAAAACTGTACAATAACAGTAGGTAAAAACAGCAATACACTACAATAAAAGCAACAATATAAAACAATAATAACAACAGGAAAAGTTTCCAAGAAAAAAGCAATTTAGTATAGCCTGGAACCGCCATTAGGAAATATTAAATGCACTCATATAAAGATACGTCTTTATATGAGGACCCACAACTGCAAAGGCTCTATCGCCCCTACAATTGAGACGAGTGTTTGCAATAGAGTGGAGGAACTATGAAGTCAATTTGTATGCAAAAACCCAAAAGCGAGTTAGCATTTTAGCAATTCCGGTTCCCTCATCCTAAAATCAATGGGTGTTTTGAATGAGGTTTCAGTAAAATCGCTTAAATAAGGTTTGTGGCGAACACAAACTCAAGATACTTTCACGTTTTGTTCTACGACATTAAACACATCAGTTACATCAGACTCTTGAATTTTTAAATCGTTTATGCTTCTTTAAAAAGACGGTTGCTATCAAGTTGCTAAATGGGACTACAGACTGTGACGGAGACATTATACGTCATCAAGCTGAGCTGGTCTGGAGCGCAGCTCGCTTGTGTTGGGCATTTGGATTTATCTGTAATTTAAGTATTTTCATAAATAGTATTTAAGAGTTTGTAGTATTTTTCTAACTGGAAATTCATATTGCGTGTAGATAATTCCTTCACTTGTAAAGACTGTCAAGACAGATTCATTTGTTGATCATTTATTTTAATTACCGTATTTTCCGCACTATAAGGCGCACCTAAAAGCCTTAAATTTTGTTATAAAACGGCCATGCGCCTAATAATCCGGTGCGCTTTATGTGTGCACGGAGTTCAAAAATCTGTCTAATCTGGACAGTTAGAAGACCAACTTAAATGAATTCGGAGCTTGCTGTCATTCCGGGAGGACTAACAAAAGAACTTCAACCGCTGGATATTGGTGTAGACGGCGTTTAAAGTGAAGTTGCGAGCTGCGTGGGAGCAATGGATGACAGACGGCGAACACACTTTTACTAAGACTGGTAAGCATGCCGGGCGAGTTACGCCACCATATGTGAATGGATTGTGGATGCCTGGGCTAGGGTGTCTGCTTTAACTGTTGTCCGAGCTTTCGCAAAAGCCGGAACAGCCACCGGGCAATGAGACTGACTCCGACAATGATGAGAGAGAACCCGGCGTGTTTGATGACGAAACTGCCCAGCTGTTCAATTCAGACACAGAAGATGAGGACTTTGATGGATTTTTGGGAGAAGACTGATTGAAAAAAATAATAATGTGAGTGTATTGTTAAATAGTACAATAAAGTTCAACTAAACTATGTTAACTGTTTTGCTTCTATTACCTTTTTTGCAGACAGTGTATTTTAGCGTGCGCCTTATAATACGGTGCGCCTTATGTATGGGTCAAGTACAGAAATAGACCCCGTAATTGAGACTGCGTCTTATAATCCGGTGCGCTTTATAGTGCGGAAAATACGGTAAACGATATTATGAAGATACTGCTTACCTGTGTAGCCTTTCTCTACTGCTCTAAGTAATGTAAACGTGTGAATAAATGTGTATAAATGCACACATATTAACTGTCATTTTAACGTGATCAAGTGATTTTTCGACAGGTTTTTTCTTCATCTGAGCACATTTAACTCTGTCATAACTGCAATATTTACACTTGTCCATAAAATGTAAAGCATATGTGACTGTATGGACTGCTTTTCGCTGTACTTCATGACAAAAGGAATATTGAATGTTGCTCTGTGTCCAGGATGGAACTTGCAGGCATATAGACATGTTCCTTACGCCTTATTTCTGTTGTCTGTTAAGGTAAGCGGGCTGTTTGCATGCGCGCGATACACTTATTTAAATATGTCGTATGATAATACTACGTAGGCACATTTAAACATACAGTTTTAAAACTTTTACAACAACCGTAAAGCAAAACAGATGTATTTCCCACGTAAAAACTGTCCAAAAGGCACGTAGGTCTATACAGATGGGTTTTTGTGTATTTATTTGTTTATAATATATAGCGTGCTTTATATTATAATAAACAGAGAGTAAATCGTTGTCATGAAGCATATTTTTTTTTAAATAAGCTTGAAAAGTTGTCTGTAGCAGGGTGCTGCTGACTTCACAGGCAATGCCCCGAATGCTCTGTAGTCCGTTTATAGCCTAATGTTAGCTTTTTAATTCTTGCATTTGCATTAAAGATCCAAAAGTGCTAAAAGTTATATTTTCGTGTGAGGATTATCCGGCTGGGCAAAACGTGTAAGTGTAATGAGCAGTGTTTGAACACAGAGCTTATTATTTGCAATCTTCGAAAAGCCTATGGGAAAATCCTATAGGGATTTTATAGAGGGAACCAGTTTTATGCTAGCAGCCGATTCGCCTACAAGGTGACGTCATAGTTCCTCCACTCTATAGATGGCAATCAGAGTTATCTACTAACTTTGTATGTTTATGCTGCTATTTTCCCTTAAGTTTGTGGTTGTTCCATGCATAGATGACAGATGAGCCAGAAATGTGGTACAAGGTTGTGTGTACTGTACACACAGTATTAATCATTTTATGATGTAATCTATGTAATGGCACACTTAAGATAATATTGACATACAGGCATAATAACAGATCTTGATACATCACTTAAGAAAGATGAATTTTTAATGGGGAAAAAATTGTTTTAATTGTTGAAGAGATGACAAACACCAAATCTATTTTTTAAAAGTGTTTTGTAATTATCATTACAAAACTGTTTTGAACACATTGCTGCAGACACAACTTACATAAGGTCATTTTACAAAATAAGGGTGATACAAAAATTGACCTTAAATCAATTTTTAAATCATTTATGAATAAAATGTTAACTGGTGTTAATAAGAAAATAACAGCAATCTTTGTGAATGTTGAATCAGTTATAATAATCACTAATAATAAGTGATAGATTTTAAAATATTGGCAGTGAAAAGTAAAATGGATATTCTTTATCATTGCAAAAAAATAAAGTGAACTATTTAATCTTATAACACTCATAATAGCTTATTATGAGGAGGTAGAACTCACAGCTCTGTGATACTATTAACAAATACATTAAATACTGTTAGTAAATACGTACTCATAGAATTATTCTGATAAGACTAACAAATTTAGTTTTTTAAAAGACTCATTTATTAGTCCCTTTATTCATCAGAGGTTGCCACAGCGGAATTTACCGCCAACTTATCCAGCCATACGTTTTACACAGCGGATGCCCTTCCAGCTGCAACCCAGTACTGGAAAACATACACACTCATTCCCACACATACACTACGGCCAATTTAGTTCATTCAATTCACCTATAGCGCAAGTCTTTGGACTGTGGAGGATACCGGAGCACTCGAAGGAAACCCATGCCAACACAGGGAGAACATGCAAACTCCACACAGAAATACTAATTGACTCGAACCAGCAACCTTCTTGCTGTGAGGTGACAGGGCAAACCACTGAGCCACCATGCCACTTTTTTATATATATATATTAGTAAAGTATTAAACTGTGTTTACTATAGCATTTGCAACACTTCGTTAATGAATTTTACAGTTTACATTAGTGTTAACTAGGCATGAGCCAGTATAAGTTTCTCAAGGTATGATAACCTTCATATAAAAATATCATGGTTTCACGGTATTGTGATTACTGTGCTAAAATAAGTTCTTTTTAAATGTCTTAGTAAAAAAAATACTTTTTTCCCCCCATTGAACACAATATAGTTTCTTTTAAGAAACATTTATAATATTTTGGAACATTAACCTCGTCAGGCTAAAAAGTTAAAGTAAATCATTGACTTCTGCCATCTTAAAAAACTCAGGTTACTTTAAAACTCATTATAAAAAAAAAACTTTACATATACCTTAAGAATGGTATAACAGAATTTTTTGGTGGTTTTAAAACCGGGACTTTTTCAAACCGTGGTATACCTTGAAACCGGTTATAATTCTATGCCTAGTGTTAACTGTATTAAATACTGTAGTATACAGGCCGGTAGCCCGAGGGGGTTCGGGTTTGGAAGACCCACCTCACATTGACAAAGGTCAAGAATTTGTCCCATATATGAGCTCATTTGTGCTATTTTGACTGATTTCCCATCATAAATAGTAAAAATAACCCATCGAAAAAGGCTTTAGATGAAGTGGAATCCTGGTGTGACCTCAGTTAATCAGTTTTGGCCAATTTAAGCAATTATTTTTCAAGAGTCCAACATCCGGCTGTGCAAGAAAACATCTGTCATAAGCAAAGTCGTCTTTCACTGCTGTATTGTTTTTAAAAAGACAAAACATTTGACAAGCAACTTTTATTCTACACATCTTGGACATTATTCTTGAAAGAAAACATGACCAGAAAAAAAGTGTGTAGCACTTTTTATAAGAGAGGCTAGAAACTTATTAAAGCTCTAAATGATTATTATTATTATCATATCAAAATGATAATTATTATCATTATAAATTATTATTATTAAAACTATTTTTTTTCTAATGATATATGATGTAATAAATGTCTATTTTAAAAACAAATATTTGTCATCTTTCTTTATTCTAAATATTTGGTACATCAAAAAGTGTGGTTATGATGACCATCCAACAAGCTTACTAATTCGATAAATTCAGCTAAAAATAGAGCAGTATATAAATCTTAGAATTAAATAGAAAATGAACCGAATAACTGCAAAAACGTCCACTTTTTGAGAAAAAAAAGAACAATCCCTTTCACCAGGCTGGCTACAGGCCTGGTATATTGCAGTAAACCGTGGTGTATTGTAGTGTAATATATCCTACAGTTGGTTCATTTTAATATAGTAGTTGAATAGAATTACCACAACAGATTAATTCAAGTACCTTACTATACTATGACAGAAAAACATTATAGTGTTTTCAATACATTTCTATAGTACTTAATAGTGTGTATATTCTTGTTGTGTTCATTCATTCAGGTTAGATGCTGAGATCTGACTAATAACATGATAAATCAAAGTTGAAATTATTTAAGTCATAAAACAAACTCAATTAAAGGTGTAATTTCCACACACACACACACACACACACACACACACACACACACACACACACACAAATAATAATAAAAGTAACTTATGAATACAAAACAATACCCACACTGACACATAAAAAACTATTACGAATTACTAAAAACTATCAAACTAACTATTAACCAGACCAGGGCAAATAAATCAACACTAATCTGCACTTTAAATAAACATTCGCTTTAAAAAGAAAATATTTCACCTTTCGACTAAGCTAAGCGAAGAGATGGCTAACGTTAAGCGAGTTTACAGTTGATGTTAGCAAGTGTGCTAATCAACATATCCACTGGAGTTAGGTTAAACTTTAAATAAATGAACACAGCACCATTGTGATACAAAAACAAACACAAAGCCATGAATCTTACCGAAAGATATCCAGTCTGAGTTTGAAAGCGAGTCCATAACCCGAGTGAAGTCATTCATAACAGACGCGGATAAATTGTACAGTAACACCTTGTCAAACTCTGTTCCTGACATTTTCCCAAACCCTCCGCGTTTTCACTAACTTTTCTCTTCTCCTTTAGTGTATAAGACTTTTAGATATTATTTTTACGTGGTTCTTGCGGGGGTTTTTCCTGCTTGTGGCTGCTACTTTTCGGTGGTCGCTTTCTTCTTTTGAGTCACAAACAAATCACAATGGCGAAATGCCTGGTTCATGAATATTCATGCTTGTTAACTAATTACTATTCATGAGGTAGCGCAAAGACATTACACATGAGCACCGCCTACTTACTAACGTCAGACCTACATCATATTACGTTTATTAATATTCATAATACTCCCCTTCGCCATAGTAGAAGAGCTCGTAAATTCCTTCGCCATCACGTCTAAATTACTCACATTTTCCATTTCCTTTTTCACATTTAGTAATAGGGTAATTTCACTCTAGTGTGTTTTTTGCAGCCAGTGATGCAATGTCAGATAAAATATTTAGCCTATTATTTTCTAACATTTTTGAAAAATAATCTTTATGCTAAAAAGTAGGCTATATATATATATATATATATATATATATATATATATATATATATATATATATATATATATATATATATATATATATATATATATATATATATATATATAATAAGTAAAGGAAGCTTTATCTTCTTAAAGTAAAACAATATATTTTTAAAAAATAAGTTTACAAACTATGTACAGCATTGGTCTTGGAGGGCTGGTGTCCTGAAGATAGCTCCAGCTTGCCTCAACACACCTACATGGATGTTTCTAGAAAGCCCAGTAATGCCACAGTCACACTAGAGTTTGAGCATGCAAAATTCTGTCGTATCAAGGGGCTGGTTTAAACAAGATGATTAGACATTTTAAAAAAACTGAGCGATTGGTCCATATTTTACATTTCTGTCCAGAGAGGTCATGTTTTTATCTTCGATTGGTCTCACGCAGTCAAGTGATGCGATTTTGCAGGTCAGAGTTCACAAAGCTTGAACTTTGCAATGCAGCGAACTACGAAACTTGCTGCACAAGCTTGCGTTTCTGGTCTGTCGCATTTGTGTGGCTATGAATGGAAGCCTATGGGGTGAAAAGTGCGATGTGACCGCGGATTAAGAGCTTGATTAGCTAGCCCAGACAGGTCTGATTGGTGTTGGTATGGAAGGAACATTCCATTTTTCATGCGGTGCACGCGGATTTGAAAAGAAGTAGTAACGTTAATATCTTTACATTAAATACGTTAAAATTACAGCATACAATAGAACATTTATAAAAGAGATATATGATTAATATAGGCTTCTTGGTATTTGTGGGGGGCCCTTACTTCCCCGGGGCCCTAAGCGGCTGCTTACCTCCCTTATTTATTAAGTCCACTGCTGACTATGATAATAACAGTACTAAATTACACTGCAAATCCGATTAAAATTATTAGCAAAACTGAATCATACCTTTTTCTGATTGGGCTTTTTTGTTAAAAGAAAAATTCTAATATTACATAAATAATATTATGAATTAGCATGTTGCTAGTATATTTCTAGTATGAATTAGCTCGTTGGTAGTATGATTAGTAAGTATTTTGTTAATATATTTTTATTATGGATTAGTATATTGTTGTTATGAATTGATATGTGGTTAGAATGTCCTATGTAAAGTCAATGGCAGTTTTTACAATGGAAGTCTATGGGACAAAAGTGGTTGCTAGGTTGTGGCTAGTTAGTTGAAAGGTCATCAGTGATCAAGTGGTGCTCACTGCAGAGCCACTTGGGCAGAGCTGAGCTCCAGCAAGGGGGAGCTCTAGCTCCTCCTTCCTTGCACTTCCTCTACGAGTGATGTCACTGGAGTTTGGGGTTAGAGGTGGGGTGGATGTGTGCATTAAAACAGCTTATAGGAGGAGGGGCGAGAACTCAAGCTCCCCATTGCTGGAGTTCAAGTGGCTCTGCAGCGAGCAGTGTCTCTCAGGGATTGGCAGATTGGTAGAGTTAAATGAGCCCAACCTTGAGTCTGTATGACAGTCTGGCGCAAAGTAATGAGGTCAAAAATTTGGTCCAATGTTGAGTCAATGGAAGTTTTCTGACATTTCAGGGTCGGTTTTTGGAAAACCATGAATTGGATCAGTTGGAATAGATATAGCAACTTAATTCAGTACAGTTTGGAGGTTTGGAGTTAGTTTGGTGGTTGTAGTATGAAAAGTCTAGAAGGAGTTGCGTTCTTAAAGTAGTCTAAGAAGACAGAAGAAGTTTAAGTAGTGTAACAGTATGTTGGCTTCTCAAGCAACCATAATAACCAAACGTAACGAATACAATGAGCTGAAACTGATTTGTCTTAAACTATGTTAATAACACTACAAAATTACACTACAAATTAAAGTGGTGTAAAGTAACTAATTACACTCAAATTACTGTACTTAATTACTTTTTCTCAGGAATTGTAATTTACTGAGTAGTTTAAAAAATGTGTACTTTTACTCTCACTTGAGTACATTTTTAGTGCAGTATCTGTACTTTTACTCTCACTACTTTCCTTCAACCTGCAGTTTATTTGTTCTTGTCTATGGGAATTAGAATAATCAGTCCTGTAATTCCTGTCCAATCAAATCGCACATAGAAGGTAAATTGCGTCATAATGAACTACTTCAAGACATGTGCACTTTACACTGCAGCAAACTGTTTGGAAGCATTAAGTGTCCAAGAAGATGTTCAAAATATTTACTCGCATTTACCCAGACACTTTTTATATCAGGGATGCCCAAACACAGGCTGTTTCACAATTCAAAGAACACAGAGAACGGACTCGCGTTCTTGTGGAGACCAGTCTTGCCAGGTGTCCTCGGAAGAACGAACTCGGGAGACCACGAGGGCAGAGAACGCGTCCTTTGAGAAATGAGATGCTGCATTCTTTCTGATGGTCACATGACCTTCACACGTTTTAAATGGTAAATTATTTAAACATTACAGCATTCATACAACGATTTATTGTTTTCTCCCCTTTTAAAAATATATACTTTGCATAAAACATAATCAATTTACTCTGCACAATATAAATAAAACTGATTTTAATACGAATTTCAGCAAATAAAACACCCTTAATGTGTTTATTCCTTTATTAAGATGTCCATGATAATGTTTACCTTCACTGCTTCATTTAGGGAAACTCCTCAGGTAAATAAGTTAAATCTCTGAACTTTTATAATAAATCTGCGCTTCCCACCTCCAGTCGCAATGACTTCTGGGACTTCTAGAGCGAGTTCGGTGCTCAAGTCTGCATTGGTGCGTCCTCGATATCAAGATCACATCCAGGAAGTTTCACGCATCCTCTGTTCTTGCGGTCTATAGTATTGGAACTGAACTTTGGCAGCTGATGATGACGTTACACGAGAATACGAGGACGCAAGACCGCTGAAGAACGCATTGAGAAACAGCCACAGTCCTGGAGGGACGATGTCCTGCACATTTCCGCTCCAACTTGCCTCAACACACCTGCATGGATGTTTCTAGAAAGCCTAGTATGAGATTGATTAGCTAGCCCAGGTGCGTCTAATTGGGATTGGAACTAAACTTTGCAGGACACCGGCCCTCCAGGACCGAGTATGGGCACCCCTGGTTTAGATGCATGTCTTTGTTGAGAAGATGATGGATATTTACTGTATGATAACTGAAATGGCCTTAAACACCCAGCAGGCACAAAACGTCAACATGCCGTCAGATTGAAATTATACCCTAACGTCGTGAAGACACTGCATTTTGTTTGGAAATGAAAATTGGGTTTACATCAGAACTAAATGTCATCCCGATGTCACTGTCCAACGTCCAACCTAAAACCAAGCAAATATCAACGACTACTGATGTTACAGCTTGACGTTGTGTCGACGTTACCACATGACATCTATCAGACGCTGTATTTTGTTTGCTATAACTGATGAATAAATGTCAGTATTTGACATCAATAGGATGTTGGTTTAAGATGTTGGCACAATGTTGGATTTTGGTCACTTTCTAACAACCTAAAATCAACCAAATATCAACATTATGTGATGTCATTATTGGACATCAAAATAACATTGTCCATAGGTCTGGCTAGATATTGAATTTTGGTCACCTGACATCACAACCTAAATCTAACCTAATATTACATGATTATGACGTTGTGTGCCTGCTGGACAATAACTAAATGTACTACAGAATGTTAGGCTTACACACATTCACAAATTACATGTAAATGCATTAACTTTTAACAGCATAAAACTCACTACTCACGAGTACTTTTAAAAGGGCTTCTTTTTACTCCTACTTTGAGTGATATTTACAACAGGTACTTTTACTCTACTCACACTACATTTTTAGGCAAGTAATGGTACTTTTACTTAAGTATGCTTTTTCAGTACTCTTTCCACCACTGACAAATTCTGAGGAAAAACTATTAGTAAAACTGAAACTGCTTTCCTGATTGGACTTTTTGTTAAAAGAAAAATTCTGATATTACATAAATTAGCATGTTGCTAGCATGTTTCTAGTATGAATTAGCTTGCTGCTAGTATGATTAATATATTGTTAGTATGTTTGTATGGATTAGTATATTGTTAGCATGGATTAGTATGTCCTATGTAAAGTCAATGGCACTTTTTAGAGTGGAAGTCTATGGGTTAATTGCTAGGGTACTGTAAGTGGTTGCTAGGTTGTGGCTAGTAAGTTGAAAGGTCATCAGTGATTGGCAGATTGGTAGTCTCAGTTAAATGAGTGTAACCTTAAGTCTGTATGACAGTCTGGTGCAAATTTATGAGATCCCAAAGTTTGGTCCAATGTTAAGTCAATGGGACTTTTCTAAAAATTCAGGATTAGTTTCAGGAAAACCGTAAGTTGGATCAGTTGGAAAAGATAATTCAGTATAGTTTGAAGGGTCACACTTTACAATAAGGTTCATTAGTTAATGTTAATTAATGCATTTAATAAGATGAACAAACAATGAACAATACATCTACTACTGTATTTGTTCATGTTAGTTAACGTTAATTAATGAAAATACAGTAGTTCATTGTTAGTTCATGTTAACTCATTGTACATTAACTAATGTTAACAAGCATGGACTTGAATGTTAATATTGCATTAGTAAATGTTCAATTATGATTAATAAATGCTGTACATGTGTTGTTCATGATTAGTTCATGTTAGTAAATGCATTAACTAATGAACCTTATTGTAAAGTGTTACCGTTTGAAGGT